TTCCAATGTGAGAAGAGAAAAAAAGACGTCCTCAAACAATTTATTTCTAATGATGAAAACACCGAATGACGATGAGGATAATTAAGGTGATATTAACTGAGACCCTAGTATCTACATTTCATGTCACCAACATTAACAATGACTGACCGGGAGGACGTTTGGTAAAGAATTAAAATTGATGTTTTATCGTCGAGATACTGGTTAATGATAAATAGCATTAACGAATTTTCATTTTTTTTTAAATCGTATTCTTAAACTCTGGATGTATATATTTTGGCCGTTATTCTAAGCAAAAGTGCATCCATGTGTATTTATACTGACATCGACTGAACATGTACAAGCATGTCAAATCGTGCAATGTTGAGATATTCTGTTTATTCGACGAAAAAGTATATTATTTTTGTACAATAACATTTTAAAGTTTAGTAGCAAATAACTGCGTACTCAAAAGTGCTTAATTTAACGTTGGATGTTTTCCCGTGAATTAGAAACGTCGCAGGTCTCCACTTACAACTACCATGCATGCGTACATGTAAGTTTAATATCCACCTCGATAAAAACAGGGGGGGGGGGTGTTGCAAACCAAGCTAGTGTTTATTCGGCTATCAAAATACATAAAACTTACAATGAATAAATGTACAAGCGATTACGATTGATTTAAACAAGCTGAAATAGAGTGAAATGAAATGATATGAAAGAAACGACATATTTTAAACCCAATTTTCCATTTGTAACTATCGGAGTACACAATGGATTTTCATATATGCCCACTGTTCTCTGCAACCACGTGCTTGTAAACGAGGACCGGGTAACACAACTTTAGAGACAAAGTTGGATAAAACCTGTTTGCTATACCGGTATTACAAATACGTGAACAATAGTATATTATAAATTACTTTTTATGTTCAATGTTTATTTAATCTTTAAAAAAATGATACCCCGGTAAATGGAGAAACAAAAGAGTGATCATGGTGAAAATAAAACGTACATATACAATATTACCTATCACTATCCATCACTAATTATAATTATTTGCCGAAGCCCCTTCTCAATTACAATTGAAATAAAATACATTAACAAAGAATAGATTTTTTTTTTATTTTGCGAGAACAGGCCAAAGAAAGCGAACACAGTTCAAAATGATTTTATGCACCATTGTTTGGAATTACGATTAAATATGAAAGATGGGTAAAATAATCTTATTGAATCGCGATGTAATTAAAAACACAGTTTTTTTTATTAATTGTTAAGTCTTTCTACACAATGGTCTAATACAATCACAAACACTTGCTTTGTTTATGTCCACAGGTGCCTGATACACTCGTGACCTAGATTGACAGCGTGGGATTTGCGGTTTTGATTACATAACTGTAAAACATCTCGCTGAACAATGGGATCGTAAATGATCGTGAATTATTCAATGTATAAAGTTTAAGATTAATTATATAGTTTGTTACAATGATAAACGTAGAAAGGTAGATTTTATATCTTCCGCTTTTAAAGACGTGTTCACTATAAAACTAATTAAATTCTATAAAGAAAAATAGAAAAAGTAGTTGTAATACATGATTTAATAGTTAATCATAAAACACGTTTAAAACCTTATTTTGAAGAAAATCAACATAAAATACCGTAGGGTGTATTATTTACAGCAAGTTGTACACATGATGAGGTCAGATTTACTTGCCGAATGAAAACGCTTCATGTTTACCTGACCTGCTTTCGACTGCATATTATGCAATAACCCCGGTATATTCGAACAAATAAACATTCCTATCAGATCAAAAGGGTGTTAAAGAACAATTTTGCTCGATATATCTAGATCGAAATATTTACCGTTTTTGAGTTATAAAGCAAAAACTTTCAAGCTCCAGAGATCCCTTATTTTAGGGGCCAGCCCCTTTTCTTTAGTATTAAATGAAAGCCCTTGCAATAATGCACAACTTTTGTTCAACATGTCTAAACAAAATATTTTTAGTTTTCAAGATAAAAAGGAAAACATGTGTAAATTTTTGCTCTTTTAGGCGTTCTATTTTTTGACCCCTGTATTGCGCCATTTTGAATAGAGAAATCGAAAAACAAAAACCGATGTGCACAACTTCAATCCTTCTGTTATCTAAAAATAGTAAAATTTCTGCTCCAGCTCTAGTGGTCTCTGAGCCTTTGTCTGGAAATGAAAGCCTATAATTTTTCGTTTAAAGGGAAATAACTCAAAACCGGAAGTGACTTTTTGAAATTATTGACAGCATTCTGATAGAGTTTATTACCGTCTATAATGTCTGAAAATTTGAACAAAATCCATTAAAAAATGAGCGAGATACGAGGCCTCAAAGTTGGCGTCTAGGAAGAAAAAAAAAAAAAGAATAATAAGAATAATCTTAATCTTCAGAATCAGTAGAAGGTCTTCCGTTGGAAACGGAAGACCTTAAAAATACTCCACTTTAATTACATCCTTGCTCATACAGTAAAAGAAATAATCACCTACAAAATGTATCAAATTAACCATCGAAAAAAGATATTATGTCTGAAATAACTAATGTATGAATATTACTGACTTAAACATTTTATTCCAAAACATTCTCTTTTGAGTAAAAAGTTTCAAATTAACATACAGGTGCCAAGTAGGGATAAAGTTTTCTTAAAAATTACAGAAAAAAAACTATGTATTTTCATTCTAATGCATTGAACTAACATAAGTAAATATATGATAGAATGGGGTTCATTAAATTACTGATATTAAGAACATATGGACCCTTCCCCCCGGGCCTCTGATCGGACAATGTCCGTAATTGACTCGGTCGGACACAGCGGTACCAAAGTCATCTAATGGCTAGCGAAAATTCATGGATTCGTGCCGGTGCTGCTTGATACAGAGGTTTGTATATCTAAAAACAAAGTACATGTTTATCATTTATTTTATGCAGTCGCTAAAATTGTTTTTACAAGGTCATTAATATTCACACACCAAACATGCAAATACAGAAACAAAACAAAATAAAATTTATATCTATAGGAATGAAATCAAGCCATGAAATTGATTTTTTTTTTTTGGCTTTTTTTTTTAATATATATGTCGAAAACAATTGAAAATTTATATTCTTTTTAGATTAAATGTAATTAAATTGAATGATTTTATCTCAAACTTTTTCAATAAAGAAATATACTTCTTTTTCTAAATTTTGCTTCATGTTTACATGTTAATAAAAAAACTGATAGCGAGTAAGAGATACCGGAGCTTCGCCGACCAAAAGTTTTTGATCCGCGCCTCTTGTTATGTGACGAGAGTAGCGGAGAAGAAAGCCCTGTCAAGCGGAGATCCATGTACCGAAGACCAGTCTGTGTGGGTGTATTTTACACATCCCTCCCTTTATTCCTATTCCCCCGCCCCCTTCGAGGTGAGGAAAGGCATGATTTCAATGACAGAAAATCGTATCTTTTTATTTAAAATGACAACAAATTTGTAATCAATACATAGGCGTCGGAACCGGGGGGGCTAGGGGGGGCTTAGCCCCCCCACTTTTTTTCCAAATATAAACTTAGTATAGACATTGAACATATCTTCGTAAGTTTAGCCCCCCACTTTCCACAGATACGTCTTAGTATAGGTTAAAATTGGGAGAAGTGTTGGTGTTTGGAAGAAAATTTTTGGTACTGGAGTTCGAACTTACCCCCCCCCCCCCCCCCCCCACGAAATAGGATTTTCGTGTTTGGGAAATAGACATTTCCTTTTTTTTTTTTTTTTTGCTTGTCAGGTTTTTTTGGAGGTACAAAAAAATTTTTCTTACACTTAGCCCCCCCACTTTCAATTTGCTTCCGACGCCAATGCAATATGTCTTTTGCACTATATAGATATATGCAAAAACAAGGGTTCGAAACTAATCGGTCTAAACGGTTACTTTATAAGCAAAAAAAAGATGCTATATGAATAAAAAAGAACGGTTACTTTATATGCAAAAAAAATGCTATATGAACAAAAAATCTGTTACTTTATATGCCAAAAAAGATGCTATATGAACATAAAAACAATATTCTCTTCCATTCTTCCCTCGAGGGGAAAAGCGAATGACATTTATCAGATTGTTTTTTCTTTCTTTCCTTTTCTTTTGTTGAGATATATTTCATAATATTGGATTTTTCGTTAGTGTCAAAATTGAAAAACAAATTTTAGTTTGTAATTTTTACTTCGTCTTCTAGTACTGACGCTAGAATACTAGTGGCATTTTTTGTTGATTTATTAAATGCAAGTTGTTTCATTCATATCTTAAAATTACTGAATAGGGGAGCAAGAAATTTTCTTTTTAATAAAAAAGGGCTGAAAATACATGTATATACTAGTAAATAAATTTTACTTAACATATATCGCAGGTCACTTTTCCAGCAACAGTTTAAGGTACGATAAATAAAAAATGTACTTATGCACAAAATTAATTATTTGAATTTTATGAAAATTTCTTTTTAAGGTAAAACTTTGAGATTAATAAAAAAAAAATCTAGTTTTAAAGAAGATCAATTATTGAAAATTTTGCAAAATTAAATCTAAACCGAAAGGGGGAGGGGGCAGGTTTATAAATATCGTCCAGAAAAACCCTCAGAATGTGTTAATGGTTAATGAATCGATCTTTTGATTAATGTTAGCATCAGTAATGGAATTCTCAAATCAAAAGTTTCGAAGACACACCCATAACCCCCCCCCCCCCCGCCGGTGTATAAATGTCGAACCCTGGAAACTATTTATGTTCCATTGGCATAAAAACAAGATCTTCCAAATATAGAAAACGAAATGATAAATTCAGAGACAAATTCTTGCAACTTACCATTTCATTTAATTAATAACATATATAATTGTCACAAGAATATAGAAAAGAGAGACATAATAAATAAATATGATACAGTCAACATAAAATGTAAATTTAACTCTGGTTTAAACCAGATTAAAACAGTAAACTTCCTTTTGAATTAATTAAACATAATGGATGATAATAATGAAAACCTTTCTCCTAATTTAATATACATTCATATATACAGTAGTAATAATTCTTTTATTTCCTTAGGTGAAATGCGCGACCAATATGAAGACTTGGTTGACATGGCGTGACTTATTTCTGTCTGGCGATTGCCGCGGGCGGACACATCCATCATTTGAAGACAAGGGTTTTTTACAGAGTCCCAATCTGCCTTACAGTGGGGGAAAATAAACATCAGGGCAAGGATCGGGGGACAAGGTCTAGTGAGGAGGGATGTTAACGTGACTGGCATCATCAGTCCCCAGTTTGGGGTATTTTGGGTTTTGAAGTCATTGAATATAGCGCTCTGGAATTAGTCGCGGAATGACGTATAGTTTGGGAACACAGCTGACTCACAATATTTCTTTAAGGTAAACATAAACTTCGTCTTAAAATTATTTGTTTGATTTTTTGTTTGTTTCTTTTGTTTTGTTTGTTTTGTGTTTGGGGGTTTTTTTTGGGTTTTTTTTGTTTCTTCTTCTTTGGGGGGGGGGGGTTGCTTGTTTGTTTGTTTTTGTTTCAAAATTGAAATATTAACGATGAATTTTTGTGTTATATTTAAAATAAAAATGAGGATAAATATTGTCGATGCCTATGAATATTGTTTTATTTTGGTTAAAATTTCAATAGAATTGGTAAGTTTTAAAAATTAAAAATACATTGCATATTTCATTCAAATATAGAAGTTCCACATGACTGTCATTATAAACAGAGAAGAATGTTCTACAACTTGTAAAAATTCTCTGACTGTCATTTGTCGCCCTAAATATTTCACGAATTATCACAGTTATAAGTTTTACTATCTGTAGATAACTTACTACCTTTTCGGTCTTTGTGTTAAATCTTCACTTTAATTGGGTAAACAAAATTGTGAAAATGTCAAATTAGCTCTTCGACCATTCTTCAACATCTGCTACACTGCCTCCAGTAAATAATCGAATAAATGAAACAAAATGATTTTTTTTTATTTTGCAAGAAATATGTTTTAATTTGAAGCACGACGTTTACATGATTCATTTTTTATGAATAATTAACCTTTGAAAATAATGAAAACTTGAAATCTAGTCATGTAAAATCTTACAAGAGGAAATTGTGTACAGAAAAACTACACAATGGTGAACTTAGCGTAAAACATGTGAGAGAAAAAAGGTTGCTACACGTTAACTCTTGTCAATTCTGTCTGTTTCCGCTTAAGAAATGTCTGACATAGAGTTTTATAGAACCGTCATCTTACCAACATCGTGTTTCAGAACAGCCTTTACTGCGCCCCAAAACCGAATAAATTAAACTTTAAAAACAATTTTAAAAAGCAATAAAATCAAATATAAGCTTGAACGTGATTTATATGAACAATGTATAGGCGTCGGAAGCAAATTAAAAGTGGGGGGCAAATTGAAAGGGAGGGGGGCTAAACCGACAAAAAAAGGTAAACCCCAATTTTCAATGCCTATATTATGTGCATATTTGCAAAAAAGTGGGGGGATAAGCTTCCCTATCCCCCCACCCCCACGGTTCCGACGCCTATGCAATGGAAATTCTTTTTTTATTTAAGGGGAAGGAGGGGAAAGACCTGGGGGGGGTTAGGAGAAAGGGGGTTATATATTTAAGCTATATACGACGAAAAAGATAGAAAGTCGAGACAAGAAAAAGAGGCGATGGGGGGAACAGTGGGAGTGAAAAGGGAGACTATATTGGGAGATTGAGAAAAGGGGGATACCAAACAGAAAGAGATTATGATGGGATTGTGTATAAAGGAGAGAGGGAAGAGAAGGGGAAAAGATGAGAGGAAATTAAAGTGGTCAACGGGGAAAGAGAGGGGAAAATATGAAGTAATGAGTAATATATGAGTAATACACATTCTTAATATGAAAGCCCTTTATCTTCTCATTCAAAAGTTATGGTCAATTCAATGTAATGTTGAATTTTTTGAAAAGTAGGTCAAACTTCAAGGTCAAGGTCACGGGCAGGGTAAAAAATCATATCGTATTTAGAAAGGTCTTGTCACAGGTAATAAACATGTGTAATATGACAGCTCTGTCTTTTCTCATTCAAAAGATATGACCAAGGTTAAAGTTTTTGTGACGGACGGACAGAACTACAGACGGACAGAAGAATGAGCTCTTATGTCCCCTCGCTTTCACGAAAGCGGGGGACACTAAGGGATAGAGAGAAAAAAGATGAGGGAGATCGGTATCTCTCGCCATGTAAATTTAAGCCCCCTCCTTTTACAATATTAACGCAGAGAGAGAGGATTTCTCAAATATTGAATATGCATACTAAATTGTACACACAATATATTGGATCTTTTGTTTTACTAATTGGGGGATATAGGGGTTTTGTACACACATGTACCTTTACATCGTATATAGATTCAATGGTCGCTTTATTCCAACACAGCAAAAATTTATTGTACTCCCAGATTACCGACTTACATTGAGCCTATATAATAGAGTATTCACGGCACTCTGTACTGAGTATAGATAATACACTACAAACACCACGGTGACAGGATTGTTTCGTAAATGACATTTGTTTTTTTGACAGTAAATTTTATTGTTTTTACGCCTGTCACATTGATTCATTAGATCACTTTTTCATTGTAGCAATACATATATATTTTATGTATGTTTCAAATTACGCATTCCGTGGATAATTTGTATCAATCTGACAAAGAAAACATCCATGATGTTTAACTGTTCCTGTCTGAGTTGTTTGCAGATTTTTAAATATATCATTATCTCCCAGAATTCACAAGATTTTACCCAACTAATAAATCAAAAATAAATACTGTGTGTGAAAATTGATATTTACCATTTAGAGAACAATTATGATGATTCAAAGCCCAACCTATACTTCGCTGAAGTTTTACAACCCCCAGGGAAAAACTCAGGGACATATTATACAATTTAAATCTTCGATTTGTAAATCAATCAATGGTTTAATCATCAGAAATTATGACAGAGATAAAGCCATGATGTACGAATTAACAATATACTAGAATAATGGCAATATATGCCGAGTGTTTCATACAGACTAGTACATTAATTTATAATCCAGTACCAATAGTACGAATAAACTATACTTTATTCAGGTTAACCACAAAAAAACTTCAACCTTTTACGAAGAAAAATCTAATGAAAGATGCTAACAATATATTTTTTAAAATAATTTTTCAGTCGTCTTGGAAACAGTCGGTAGTATTGTCAATCATAACAAAAGGAGTCTGAAGTGAGAGATTTTTTTTTCTACCTATTGATATATTAAATTCTTTGAAGTGGGAAAAAAACACTATATGTTCGTGTCAAACTTAATTTTAATCAATTCAGAGTTTTTTTTTATCGTATTATCTGATATATTTGAAACGACACAAATAGCTTTGAAATTCTTTCTGTTTTCGCGAGTTTATAGATGTGGTTTATTCTGCGAGTTCCTTGACCAAAATGCTGAATTACCGGTATTCTCTCCAAAACAGACGTCTTATGGGTGAAAAAAACTATGAATGTATCCAATGAAATGATATCCACCAAAACTAAAAGACGAATTATAAACTCTGATTTTTTAAAGAAAAATTCAGTCAAAATCTTATTTGTTTACCCGTGATTCTCTTCAAATCCTTGACCTTATCTGTGTGACCTTGGCCCGAATCTTCTGCGAACTACATACCGTTCAGCAGGATTCCATTATAATTAGTATGACTTGCAGTACTCCGTTATCCTGATCATAGAATGCCTTACAATTAAGACATAAAATTCCAATTCCTAAGCAAGTATGTAAGATTAAGAGGTCATTTGAAACATATCTAAGTTTCCATTAAACAATTTATACTTAACCTTTTAATTAATATTTTTAAATATACATGTATATATATTTTAACGTAGACTTTGTATTGGGTCTTATACAGTTTCCATTTTCTAAATTTCAGTTTGTTTTTTTTTTCTTGAAAAGCGCTACTAAGAGAATTTATACTTTTGAAACTTTCTTTATTTAATTTAATTTAATCAATATTTTATCATGTAAGATCACATAATTGGATTGGACATCAGGCATGGCCTATATAAGTCCTCTCCAAGGTCAAGGTTACAAATATTAAGAATTGACAATGATTTACAATGATGAAAAAAATTCCTAGAAGTTACATTAATTTCTTTTGTTATCTAAGGTGGGAAAAAAGAAAAGAAAAAAAGAATGGAATTAAATTATACAGAAGCGTTATTACTACGTATGTATACGTGGTATACTCGCTATACAATATAATGACAAAATAAATAAATAAATAAATAAATAAATAAATAATAATAATAAAAAAAAGTGCAAACAAACAGCAAAACAGAATAAGTAAACAAATAAAGTGCAAAGAACAAATATGTAAAGAAAAAACAGACAGAAGGAAATAGTGACATCAAAAAATAAATACTTTTTGATCAAGCAATTACACTGAGTAAAGAAAAAAATTAATAAAGTGCAAAGACAAATTTCCATTGAAAAATACTATACATATACATGGAACATGGAAATGCTGAGAGTTGAAGTAAATAGAAATATGAGAAATATCTGGATTTATTATTATTTTTTGTTTACTTAATTACAAAATACTATCAAAATCTTTTTGAAGACTTGATGTACAGTTGGACTGCTTCAAAAATTGAACAGTTATTTTATAAGGTAATTGCCTATCACCAAATAACAAAGTATTCACAATTTTCTTTATTTAACTGACTTACTTGTAAGTCATGGAGGGCTTGTTTTGCTTTTATAACAGACGGTTATACGGACATGGTGATTCCCAGTCTTAGAGTATAACAGCATACGCCCAAAGTATATGGGAATGGAGTAAAAATATGACAAAATCAAAAGTAGTGGGAGTTAACTATAACTAACGTACAGGGCTAAGACATATAGATGATTAAAACTGCTAATGGCTCGGGTTGTTAATTTATCCATGGGGAGGAATTCGATCTGCATTCAGGCTTCTCCTTTGTGGCTATTTCAATAATCGTAAAATCACAATTTCACATACGTTGCCATTCCTTGGACCTAAATTAAACAGTCTTTATTCACCTTTATTTGTATAAATATCTTTTTCTTTGGACAACCCACACAGCTGTTCTTTTTGTTGCAAATTTATTTCTTTTTGAATAATTGCTTGTTTACTTGTTAGATTTAATCGATGCCGTACAAATCTACGACGGAGGAAAAGGGACATCACGAATACGACTGTCGCAAAAGGACGTTAGGATTACGACTGCCGTACTATAGTTTATAATCAATGACTATATTCAATCACTGTTAATATTCAGATATCGATATCCCTTTTACTGGGAACTCTCAAGCCTTAAATGTCATACATTAAATTATTAAAACCTGCCATAGTAAAAAATGTAAACTTATGTGTAATCGTAGAATTAAAGAGTTCATTTGCTCAAACAGTTGAATTGATTAAAAATATTGAAATAAAGAAATGTATATTTGACAAATGTACAGTTTTAAAAATTTCTTCCTATAAAGTACATTTTTCAAAGTAATTCATTAATATTTTTTAAGAAATATGTTCAGATACTATTAAGTCATTCGGATTATAAAAAAAACGGCAGCTGTGTGTGTCTGACAATATGATGTATCTTTTTATAAGTAAAAGTCTTATAATCAATAAATCACATCAATTAAAATCGGAACACAGAATCAGGTCGGGAGACTGAGCGAGGAGTATGTTTCCACATTTACAAGAAATACATACATTTTAATGATCAATTAGATATAAATCCTACAATCTGGCTTATCTTTATTTTAGTTGCTGAGCTGTGGAAGTTTGTACAATGTGGAGTTCATTTAGAAGGTAAACTATTTTAATGGTTCCAATTAGATTGCAATCCCAATGTTAATTTCTTTTCAAATACAAAATATTAAGAAATATTTGCTGTATTTATTTCAGTTTTCATTTATTTTGTTTTAGTTTTCATTTATTTTATTTAAATCTACTATTTTATTAGAAGTGCTAATAAGGCAGTTAAGATTGCAATATATAATCTTTATCTTCTGAAAATGTTTTTTTCAAATGCCACATTTAATGAAACAATATCAAATTAAGATATTTTCTGCTGATGATTTTTTTTAATGAATCAAGATCAGATTACTTTTTTTTGAGTTTCTGGTTATTTTCAAAAAGCCTTCAGAAGAATCTTTGAGTGAGACCGATATATTTCAAGTTTTCAACCTGTATATCAGTTTATGTTTAATGTGACAGTGTCATAACTCTTTATAATCTTGTAAACTCTTTTGTCTTTGAAGGTACTACTGGGTTGCCGGACTTGTTGTCCTACTCTACACGATATCAGTGATGGTAAGAATGAACACACATCCCAGTGACGGAATAGGCGGACTATACAAAGAACTCGACCTCCGCGCCTCGCTGATGGAGAGAAAGTCTCCTTTGGGCTGTAAGAAGAAAACTAACGTGGCCTTTCTGAAAGTCCACAAAGCGGGGAGTACCACGGTAATGAATATCTTCATACGATTCGCCTTAAAGAACGACCTCAATTTAGTGCTACCAAGACGTAACAACGGTACAGGGTTTAATTACCTCGGGTATGGAACAACAGTGGACCGGAGCAAGATCATTCCTCTTCCGGGAAACGAAACCTACAACATCCTGTGTAATCACGTGGTCTACAATAAGGAGGCGTTCGATTCTGTGATGCCCAAGGATTCTGTTTATGTGGCCATTGTGAGGGAACCGAAAAGTCACTTTATTTCGGCTGCTTCCTATTATGGGTTTATTCATTTTCTGAAGAAAACAATTCCTCACCGAGGTAACGTCACTGATGGGATGCTGTTAGACATATTTTTGCGGCGGTTTGCCGTCAGCGGAAACCACTCCCAGGCTGGGCTAAACTACATCAACAATAGACAGGCGTTTGACTTTGGGGTTCCACGTACCCTGTTTAGAAACAAATTTGTCATCAATAAGTACATTCAGAAGCTAGACAGTGAATTTCCCCTTGTCATGTTGGTGGAGTACTTCGACGAATCACTGGTTCTCATGAAGAGGTACCTCTGCTGGGATCTAGATGAAATTTTATATGTGCCTCTTAATATCAACAAAGGAAAGAGAAATCATCCCGTCCAGTTACCCAAAGATTCTGAAAAATTCCTCCATTATTTTGATTATGCAGACTTTCAGTTATACGACCATTTTCAAAAACGCTTTATGGATCAGATGAAGTTAGAAGGACCAGACTTTCAAGATGAAGTGAACACTTTTAGAGAAATAAAAAGTCATGTGACGACATTTTGTCAGAGCAGGCCCCTTTCTAACCGCTTTATAAACCTTAAGTCCACAAAGTGGAATTCTGAGTTTAACGTGACAACGGAAGACTGCAAGGAAATGATGATGCAAGAACTTCCGATGATGCGCATGCTCATAGACTCAGCTAATACTCGATATAGAGATTGGTTAAGAGTGCAAAAATTTAAAAACTCACGACAACGAATGGTTGGTTGAAAACACAATTGTGCAATTATTAGGTCGAATTTTACTTCTTATAAAAAGGTAAACAAGCAAAGTTATCTGACCATTTGAAGCAGGTATATATATGATTTCAATTGGAAAAGTTATGACTGGAGTTTATTCCAAGTTATTGTATTCCACATCTTTCCCAGGAGCTACTGTACTTGATGGAAACTCAGAATCTAGTCTGTGACGAATGACTTGTCGCCATGACAACACTGACCAGTACCCCGTATCAGACCAAAGCAAGAAGACCAAAGAGTCCCGAGTGAGTCACAAAGAATGACGAATGAGACTGATGTTTGAAATCACAAAATCTGACACTTGGGTTTAAAGTCATTCCACCATTTCTTTCATTTCATTACTTAGACTTATTGTGATGCCGGTGAGTCCAGTGTGTGGTAAAATCGCCGTTTGCATACTGTAATTCATTCCAATATAATATAGACAGACTGAAGATCGTAATATGACTGAAAAGGAGTAGACGGCATTCAAAGCATGCATAATATATTTCATGATTTTTTAGAAAGTTCATATTCTGTTAACTGTTGCTGCTAGACTGGTAAACTAGCGAGTATTGTTTACATAATATTGTTAAAAACGAATGGAAATATTTATTGTATGAGTGACAATTTTTCATTGCATGTGTGCTACAGTTATCGAGTTTATTTTTTAATTAAAATGTGTGAATAAAAAAGAACGTCTTTTAAAAAATTTCTGTCAACCCTTTAATGATAAATCCCCTGCAGTTATTCTACCTACTCTAGAAAAAAACTGAAACAATGGGTATATTGTGAAGGAAAAACAAGACGTGTCGTATAAATGACCTTGGATAACATAATCATGCTCCCAAAAAAACACGACCCTGGGGGTTAAGTTCAGCCATAAAGTCATGTATCTTCATTTTTAACATTGGACAATAATGAGTTCATTTATTTCATACACGTGAAAAATTATGAAGTTTATTACACTCGTGATTAATTGTAAGATTTACGTGATTAATAATAATTTATGAAGTAAATCCTCTTTGGAACGTAGTTTTTTTTCGCCCATACTAGATAATATATATTAATATTATTTCATATTTTTTTTTTGATTAGTTAACCCCTTTATACACTATATAAGTTAAAACTGAAAATCTGGAACTAATGCTATTTTTATGCTACTTTTTACTCGTGAAAGAAAGTCCATTTCTCGGTAAAGTTCATTGCAAGCAAAATAATATTAAAAATTTATCTGAATATTTAACATTTCTTTGAACTTTTTAGGTAATCATATTTGAAAGAAAATAAAAACACTGCAATGCAAATTGATTAGTATTCGCACAGTACTTTAATTATTCGTACTTTAATTCATTCGTTATATGAAACCGGTGTAACAAATTAAGGATAAAAAAGTGCGTCATTTTCGCCTTTTTGTGAAAATGACAGAAATGTATTCTTATACATTGTATATTTAAAAAGAAAGCAATTTTGGACTTTGGGTTCATTTTTTTTTTACCCATAATACAATTGAACAAATCAAAGAAATTTCTGTGAAGTGTGAGGAAATATCAATTATAATATAATTGCTCATAATGGAATAAGTACAACAGTGCATAGTAATCTCACATAATTAGGATTTTATATTTAAAATATTTAATATATTTAGTAAAATGGAAGGATCACAAGGGTGGGAGTAACACTTTCTAACGTGTTTATAAAATTACTAAACTCCTTCAAATGAATGTTTTATGTTGCGTCTACGTTGCCGTAGTTTGACGCGGCATCGATTATACGTTTTTCATGCCAAAAGAAGCAAACTACTTACAAAGCAATCAGCTGTGTATGTTATCCAAATAAAAATACGATTATGTGATTTATATTGAGGAAAGGATTCGGTTTACTCGGGTAAAAACGAGATTTAATCACCATTTTAAAAAAAGTAACAATGAATTGTCCTGTCCCCATATGTTACAATATTTAGGATACAGTTGAGAATTTTTTTTTCGGAAAACAAGAGGCCCATGGGTCACATTGCTCACCTGAGCACATTAACTAGATGAAAAAGCACAAATCAGTTTAGTATTGAAAAGTTTAAATTAAGGGGGAGTGTTTGAATTTTAAACTATCTGAGGATGCTTTCATAACAATGACAACGGTTTGCTGTTCTTGTACAGCAGATTTTTAAAGATTCTTCCTATAAATCCCTTTGTAAAAAATTCATTCCTATTGCGGTCCCTCTCTACTCCCTGGGATCACTATCTCAGGATGCTTTCATATCAATATGACGAAACATGGGTTTTCTGTTCTTGAGAAGAAATCATCTCTCCTTTTAGTCTGTATTCCTATGTAAACCTTTGATCTTTTATTGTGGCCCCGCCCTTCCCCCACGGTTCATTTGAACAAACTTGATTCTACCAGAGGATGCTTCCATATAAACATGACCAATCGTGGTTTTGCAGTTCGTGTGAGGATTTTCAAAGATTTTGCATACACTTTGTATATATTCTTGTGGAAAACTTGGATTGTCCATTGTGGCCCCGCCTTGTCCCCGAGGATCATGATTTGAACAAATTTAAATCTACACTACCTCAGAATGTTTCCACATAAGTTTTATCTTCCACGGCCCAGTGGTTCTTGAGAAGAAGATTTTTAAAAGAGTCTTGAAAGAAGCATGGCCCTTCATTTTAATAGACATTACTCCACTCACTCAAAAACAGACTGTGGCAAGTTTAGTTGAAATTGGCCCAGTAGTTCTTGAGTAGTCGGAAATATGAAAAGTTTTCAAACCGACAAACAGCTAGACAGACAGACGGATGTCGGACAAAATGTGATCAGAAAAGATCATTTGAGCCTTCGGCTCAGGTACGTGAGCTCAAAAGATAAATTCCAGTTTAAAAGTTTCAGCTTTCCTGGCTCAGTGGGTTTGAGAAGATTTTTAAAGTTTTTTCCCATTTATATTTTTATGCCCCGCCATGAATATGGCCGGGGCATATTGTGATTGTCATGTCCGTCTTCCGTCCTTCTATCCTTTCGTCTGTCCTTCCGTCACACTGTGCGTTTAGCTCAGTTCAAAGCTCAGTTTCAAAGAAACTATCCAAGATATTTTCATTAAACTTCATATGCTGATAGACATTGATAGAAGCTATGCAACTGCATCAACATTTTTTACCTTGACCCTTCCTTTGACCTTGACCTCACTTTTCTAAAATTAGTGTTTAGCTCAGTTTTAAAGAAACTATCCAAGATATTTTCATCAAACTTCATATGCTGATAGATATTGATGAGAGCTATTCAAGTGCCTCACCATTTTTTTTTACCTTGACTTTTCCTTTGAACTTGACCTCACTTTTCTAAAATTAGTGTTTAGCTCAGTTTTAAAGTTATCATTCAAGATAGTGTTATCATACTTCATATGTTGATACATACTGAAGTGGGCTTTTCAACTGCATCACCATTTTTTACCTAGACCTCACTTTTCCTAAATTAGTGTCAAACTTCATATGCTGGTACATACTGATGTAAGCAATTCAACTGCATCAACCATTTTGATCTTGACCTTTCATTTGACCTTGACCTCACTTTTATCAAATTGTGTTTAAGTCAGTTTTAAAGAATCATTCATAATTTTTTCAACTTCATAAGCTGATACATATTGCTGAGAGCTTTTCAACTGCATCACCATTTTTTTTTTACCTTAGCCCTTCATTTGACCTTGACCTCACTTTCCTAAATTAGTGTCAAACTCCATATGCTGCTACATACTGATGTAAGCAAATTCAACTGCATCAACAGTTTTGACCTTGACCTTTCATTTGACCTTGATGTCACTTTTATCAAAATTGTGTTTCAGGCAGTTTTGAAGAAACCAATCATAATATTTTTTCAACTTGTTACGCTGATACACACTGATGAGAGCTTTTCAACTGCATCAACATTTTTTGACCTCAGCCTTTCCTTTGAACTTGATCTCACTTTTCTGATATCAGTTTCAAACTTCATATGCTGATACATACTGATGTAATGAATTCAACTTCATCACTTTTCAAGATATTCTGACTAAATTTCATACACTAATGCAAATTTTCATGTTGCATTACTAATATTCCCTCGGCAGGGCATTCATGTCCTATGGAAATATTTCTAGTAATGTAAAACTTGGAGTCACTATTGTGGCCCAGTCTTACCCCTGTTGGTCATAATTTGAACAGTTTAGAATCTACACTACCCCAAGATGCTTCCACATAAGTTTCAACTCTTTGGGCCCTGTGGTTCTTGAGAAGATGTTTTAATGATTCAAACCTATTTTTGTGTTTCCTTGGTACTAAGTTTGGTTTAAATTGGCTCAGTGGTTCTTAAGAAGAAGTTGAAAATGTGAAAAGTTTACAATGCGTGATAAAAAAAAAAATAATAAAATCATGTGTTATCACTGTTTTTCACCTGACAATATATAGTTCCAAGAAAATGTATACAGTGTTCTAATACATGGTTCATGATTGTGTAAAGTACTACAGATTTATACGAATAAAAAAAACATTGTTATGACAGTTTCAGATAGGGTCAAAGATTTAATTCCTATAATTGATTCTTTGAATAATATTACAATTATTTATATTTAATTAACATACACATTCATTTACATTTATCATATCACTATCACAATATACAGTGTTGTGAATTTTTTCTCCAAGATAATACACCATACTTGTAACATGATAGAGTTATCATATCTATTTTTTTGTTCAATGTCTACTACAAAAAAAAATTGCAGTGATTACCTAAAAACAGAGAATGACAGTTTTTACAGTGTTATATTTTGAAGACTTGCAAGGTATGATTTAGAATTAATTATACATGTATTAACCACATCTTAATTGTTTTCAACACAGCATTAACTTGGCACTTTTTGCAGTGCAATAAAGCAAATTAGTTTCACATTTGTTAATTTTTTAAAACAAAGTAATGATTGTTTGGCTGTTTGTTCAGTAAATCGAAGAGGAATCCTAATTCAGAGAGTTTTGATTTTCAATGGATTAATACAGATTTATGACAATGTCCAGATTTAAGATCAAGTCACACTCTGGTTTAGGAAACCATTATGAACAATACACCTCACACAATCATAATCCACAGATATACCCAGTACACTAAATCCCCAGAAAAATATATGCCATCCCCAAGAAAAATAAACAGGACTATACGTAAAATACTCCAGAAATATAATGTAAAATATCTAATTCTAAAATAATGAAAAGTCCCAACTCTGTCTCACAATGGTATTACAACCATAAAATATAAAATACTCTTTATTGCACTAAATAACACATGAGTGAGGCACCTTTATTAAGGTGCCTGACCCCTATTAAGGCCGTATAATGGAGTCCAATCACTTCAGACATCCTCTTGTATTATTAATGTGTCCTGACATCACAGGTTCAAATGACAGTCATGCATTATGTTTCTCATGTTTTCCACTGTTGAAGAACCTGCAATACATAGAAAATTACCTTTATTGTAACCTGCTTTAAAATGAAAAGAGTATTACTTTCAAGTCAACTCCCATTTTAATACAATTTACAAACCTCCCCCTTAAAAAAATATATAAAGGATTTTCTACCTTAAAAATCAAGAGAAGCAATTCATGTCTTGTTTTTCAATCTAAGTATTTCTTGTATACATATGAGTAAACTGACTGTAAAGAATTTTTTGTTTGATCCTTCTGCAGCTGCAATGTAGTTGATCACAAAAAAGAATCTCGATCTGCAAAAACATATCTCTAAATTCTAACATTTTAATTTCTAAATTCTAAAGTAGATTTCCCTGCTAAGTCCTACAACTCCTACTTTCATTGTGACTTAGATACAAAGATTATTTTTCCAGGAGGAGTTATCTCTCCCTGTTGGAGACTATAAATCAGTTAAAGACCCAATTTTTTTTCCGTACGGTCACCTGAGGAGGGGAAGTGGTCTAGGTGACAGTGGTGTTATTTACCTGGAGACCCCCAATACCCAAGATGTCAAAAATCTATATACATGTAGCAGTACACAGGAAGTCTGCATTTGGTAATCAGGGTCAATATTACATATTTTGTTTCTAATTTTGAGTAAAACTACTTAAAATGATTTAATTATTTCCATATAAAATTTATCTATAAAATTTATTTGTAAACTAAATGCATTCATCATAATCTTTTGAAGGATAAAATTACGAAGAAATTTCCTTTTCTTAATTTTTTTGGTAAAATTAAAGAAAGATCACGATTAAAACAAAGCAATCAAATCTATTTTTTAATCTTTACATAAATCACCATGATTTAAAAAAATGTGTGTATACTATATTGAAATAAAAAAAAATTCCTTTCATCTGACATGTGAACATTTACCGAAATCGGAAGATTTTTTTCATATTTTTTGGTCAACAATGTTGTCCATAATATTCAATATTTCCGAGTGTTTCTGTGTTAACAATATTTTATTGTTTGAAAGATTTCTTCTAAGGATTGATTAGTGTTTGTTTAATATCTTCATTACGAATATAGACAGACGATAGAGGAAATTCCAGCAATATTTTTGACATTTATTTACAACCAGAAACATCTTTGTTAAATTGAATCCACAATACAAAGATAAAACATATTTTGTAAACCATGCCATTAGTGCTGAATATCTTTACTTATTCGTTATATTCTTTTTTTCCCCATAATTTTGATTATTGGACTAAAATTTCAATTGCAGCTACATTATGTAATGAGAGTTTCTTTGGATAGCCTATATCCTACAGATATCTCGGACGACATATCCCTTACAAGTACCAAACAGTCGTGAGGATAGAAAACAAATATTTATTCAATCAGAGTTTTGATTTACTGTGAAATCACAAATTTTCGTGGTGATTTAATTTTCGTTGTTTTCAAGGTTTGAAGAGACCCATGAATTCTTGTCCACCACGAAATGTAAAATGTGACATACATAAGTACTCAATGATTCTACATCAAAGAAATCAAATCCCCACTTACCCAGAAATTTTTCCTGAAACCGCCAAAATTTTACCCCGCGAAAATGCGTGATTTTACAGTATATCTCCTCTAAATTTTTAAAAAAATAAAATTACCAACATTAGACCTTAATGGTTTTTGTAACCCGCGTTTATCAGCTGTGTATACAAAGCAGGTACATGAAAGTGTTTGATGCGTGACCAAGCAATTGTCTTCAAAACATGCATATTATATTTCTGGTAGCAGAGGTAGCTGGCCTGTCAATCAAATCAGAAGGTTTTGTTTTTTTTAATGATTGACAGGCGGTAAATTATTGATCTTGATTCAGGTAGATTTTGTGGGCGTTAACATAAAATTGGGTGTTTGACATCACTGTCAACAAACTCGCACAAAACCATTTACATCCCTTGCCTATCTATTCTCTGATATACCAAACCACTAAGAAATAGAATACAGATTTTAAAATCTGAATCCCCTCTTCTAGGGACTATTAGACCTGAGAGTTTTGTTAAAACCACAGGTGCTTCCCCCTCCAGAAAGTCAACCCTGCTGTTTTATAGTAGTATGTGTGTTAACTGTTTGCCAATGTGATCACTCTGAGTCTGGTTGAAGCTAATTACCCGGTTTGCTCCCTCCAGGCTGGAGATCAGGTTCCTCAGGTCCTCCCCGGTCAGCTCCAGAGAGTGGATTTCTGTTGCAGCCTCACTCTGAACATCAAGGTCAAGGTTCAACAGGGGTTCATGAATAGAAGACAATTTGTCACTGGACATGGCTAGCTGTGGACCACAGAATTAAGGATCAGCTGTTAGCTATCAATCTATCACATACAGGCAAATCATTTTTTTTTTTATTTCATAACAATCAAATTAAGCTATGAGTCTAGTACAGTTTAAATCATATTTTAAACTAGAACTGTCCAAACGGGACAAAGGCATCCAGGACCTACAGCATGTAGCATCGTTTTTAACAAGTTGATAGCTGGGTTTTTCAGAAGTAAGTTTTTCCATAATAAAGATATGTATCACACATGAATTATGAAATATTTCTTCCAGTGACCTTGAAGATCCCCAAATGACCTTGGGTCAGGGTCACGACACACCCTTGGGTCATGGGCAATCTTTGTGTGAAATGACAACCTACCAAGTTTATCCATAAGAAAGATATCGACAGGACAAGAATTATGAATTTTTTCTTCCAGTGAACTTGAACCTCCCCAAATGACCTTGACCTTGGGTCAAGGTCATGACACACCCTTAGGTCATGGGCAATCTTTGTGCGAAATGAAAACCTATCAAGTTAATCCATAAGAAAGATATGGACCGAACACGAATTATGAAATTTTTCTTCCAGTGACCTTGAAGTTCCCCAAATTACCTTGGGTCAAGGTCATGATACACCCTTGGGTCATGGGCAATCTTTGTGTGAAATGAGAACCTACCAAGTTTATTCATAAGAAAGATATGAACCGGACACGAATTATGAAATTTTTCTTCCAGTGACCTTGAACTTCCCCAAATTACCTTGGGTCAAAGTCATGACACACCCTTGGGTCATATTCGATCTTTGTGTGAAATGAGAACCTACCAAGTTTATTCATAAGAAAGATATGGACCGGACACGAATTATGAAATTTTTCTTCCAGTGACCTTGAAGTTCCCCAAATTACCTTGGGTCAAGGTCATGACACACCCTTAGGTCATGGGCAATCCTTGTGTGGAGTAGTAGATTCTAATGTCCCTCTGTAAGAAAGATATGGACCGGACACGATTGCACAATAACACCAGTGAATAAAATATTGTTTAAATTTAAATTAGACAAATCATTTTTATTTTTTTTAAAATTTATTCCATAACAATCAAATTAACTATGTTTGCGGGGGGTATAAAAAATTATCTCAACAGCTTGGAGAATAATACGAAACAGTATACAAGTTTGGGTTTTATTTGCCATTGATTTGCTATGTAGTGTCCCACTTAAAAATTGACATATTAATTCTTACAATTAGTTCTTACTTTGACTTGCCAATCAAAGTCTCTTAGTGTGGACTTTGAGATTGAGTTTGTATCAGTCAGTAGCTGTTGGTGGACATCTGACCGCCGGGCATTCAGGACATCTATAATTAACGACCGGAAATCTTCTGGAAGGTTCTCCAACCTCTGTAGAATCTGAAATAAAAACTTGTTACATGGTATTGGACAATTTGTTTGCTTCTATTCATTGAAACATATGGAGATAACGAACAGTATTCAAGATCAAAAGTCCATAAAACAATACAAAATAGGAGCAGCTAGAGCAAACACGGACCTCCGAAACATAAGAGGTGGGATCAGGTGCCATGGAGGAGTGAGCATTCCCTTACAATACAATAAGTGTCCAAATTAATAACAGTTGATATTATAATTCTATGAACAACTGATCACGTTTACAGTTCCAATTTAAAAGTACGACATCAATCTTATAATTAAAGGAAAACAATACTTTTATGGTTTTAAGTTCAACATCTTCCAAAAGCAGAACATTTTTATATCAATAAGGTAAAATTTTGTGTCCGTTGTAAACTGACCTGGTCTTTATTCAGCGAGTCTCGGACTACTGCCTTAATCAGATTTTCCCAGGATGCAGTCAAGGCCCACCACTCCTGTAGTGTCCAAACCTGATCGTAGTTAGAATAATGTAGATGTCCTCTTTTACAGAAGTTATCCACTAAACCATGGAGCAACTGAAATAATGAAGACAGCAACAACTTTCACATCATAGCACAAATTCGCTATTACTACATTCCTTTGAAACAAAACTCTAAAATATTTTTCTTACCATATATCTTAAATCACAGGTGCTTGTTTCATACAGTAAGCAAGTTTTCTACCATATAATAATGTGTTATGTGACCGTAAAAAAAAACCTACACATGTACTGTTATCATTCAAGAAAACTTGAAAGCAAAAAGAATAAACAAAACAATAAAAAAATCATTACCGTAAGTGCTTGTGTGGTGCTACTGGTGGTGCGCATTATTTACATTATGTCAACAGAAGTCACACATCCAAATTGGAATTTTAGGCCTGTATTTTATGGAAAAGAGATTGCATTAAATCGTTCTTTTCAACATAAGTTGTTGCCTATGTTTTAATCAATGTTGCTATGCACCGCAACGTTTTCCGAGACGGGGTCAACCGACATAACTTTCAAAATTCTAAGATTTCACAAATGTGATTTTTTTATACAAGGTGAAGGCCGGTGTTGTGGCATAATTTTTTTAACAAACTAAGGCAAAATCAGAACTGTAAATATTATAATTTTTTTACGTGTTTTTCATTTAATTTGAAAAGAAATTTCAATAATTGCTAAGTTGCTAGAAACCTTTTTGAATTGTCCGAATTTCACCTGTTCATACACGTTAATATTTCTCCGGAAGTAAACAATGGATGATGCGTACGCAGTCGTAATACTACGCAGGAATGTACTTTGTTTACTAGTGTGCTTTACAATTAATATTTTGAGTTTTCGTTTACAAAAATGCTTCATTAATTTCATTTATAAAAAAGTTCATATCACTTTTTTCAGTTTTATACAGAATGTTTATATTTTGATCAAAACAATTTCTGCACTCTTTCATATAGCGTAGATTTACACATCATGTGTTATCACCACGGCTTCCTTTTTGAGAGCTTTTGACAGTAAAGTCACGAACATAGGGCCTATGTTTAAAAATGGTGCTGGGTAAATATCGGTACTTTGAATAAGATGTAAACAAATATTTATGATTGAGGTGTGACTTACAAAATGAAACAATATTTCAAATCTATTTACAAAATAGATAAAATCAGATTAGGGTAACGACTCATGGATGTCCAAGGATATTAATAGTGAGCACAGCAAGCTCCAATGACAATGAATAGGAAAAGAGAAAATTTGGACTTGCACATAGATCCAAAGGAATCTTTTTTCTGTATTGACTTTGGAACCACATTGACTACAAGACTTAGTGATAAACTCACTTGAATTTGAATTTTCGGCAATACCTCAGACAATTTAAATCAAGCCAGTTGATCGCCTGTAGAGTTGACTATAAAGGGTCAAGAGGACGGTAAAATATTCAATTTGTTAATATGTACCAAAGTTGGAAAGTGGAAAAATTCTCCTAGACAGTGTAGGAAAAATCTTGCACCGTACATTGCACATTTTTTGCAAAACAAAATCTGTAGTATTATGATCAAAGACTACCGGTAATATAAAAAACCATATCGCTACAGTTCTGCAGCTATGTTCAAGTCTTAATTGGTTTGGTAATGTAGGCCTAACTTTAACCTGGTCCCCTTTCTCATCCTTGCCAAGGCACCAGGAGAGCCAGGTTGATTTAAGGAATAACTGTCTTATTTTTCGAATTCATGAAGTGATCAATGGATTGGCTTGTGTGATAATTTGCATAAACGCCGAAGGCGTTTTTGCATAAAATTATCACACAAGCCAATCCATTGATCATCTTCATGAATTCGAAAAATCTGACAGTTATTCCTTATATTTACATGCTTTGATTCCGCCAATCCATGGGCTCCAAGCCTGCTTCTCTCTAGGTGTTGTCCTGCCCTGCACGTGGTTTTTTTGGAACCGCGCCAAAACATTCATGAGGAAATCAATTACATTTACAATTGGTAATTTTATCTCGGACAAAGACATTGGAAATGTAAATATTACATTCTATGCTTTCCTTAATGCGCATTAAATCATGGGTTTTGAGTCATTGCCATTCACTATGGAAATGACTATCGATGTCACAATAAGACATTACATTGGCGGCGTAGAAAAATACGACATTACAATGTACTTCTACACAGGAAGAGCATACATATATGACATCACAATGGGATCAGTTTCAGGGCATATTCACCCTGAATCCACTGTAGTCTACCTGGCCCTAGTGACGTGGAGTATACGAAGCATAAAAGGGACAGGGAACAGAGATACCCTAACTTACACTGCGTACGATGTAAAGTGACGTCAGAGTCTAGACGCACCAAATGTCACGTGAGCTTTGACGAGCCCGATCTAAATCAAAAGTGAATAATTATCTGCGCTCACCCAAACGGTCAACATAGTATATTGAGAAATATTTTAGTATTAGCATAAATTAAAGATAGATTAAGATGCTCTCTTGATGAATCCGCCCTCACTAACGCTTGCATCGTCTTGCATATTAAGATTGGTAAAAAATACATATATATTTCGTACTTTTGTGGCAGATTTTACTTCAATTTTCTTGAGGAGCTGAAGTTCCACCTCTTCGTTGTCCGCCATGTTACTGTCATGTGACAAAATTTTTCGTACTACATAAAACTAAATCTGATTGGATAAAATGGAAAGGGTTTGCGTGAGTATGTCCAATGAAATGAGATGTCTTTGACAAGTTACATCACGTTCGCACGATTGATGAAACGATAACAGCAATTGGACAATTACCTGTCCTCAACCAATCATATCCAAGTTAACAAATTTGTTTGGTCGCTAATGAAGTGTTGTCTATATTGTTGAAAATAGAGCACCTGTACTAGATCGATAAAGAAAATGGTCGTCAGACAGATGTTATGATTTGTTTTGAAATATTGGATTTTGTCCAAACATGTGATTTTCGGAATGGCTAGTCCTAATGGTCAAGAATATGTCAAAAATCTTGAAAGAATATAGCTGTGACGCAATGACGTGGCTTTGTTGATCAGTGAACGGATTTTTTATCTGCTGCAGGAAATTGTGAAATCGCGGAACTGGCATAGTGATTCTTAGTTGTCAAAATACCATGAAGATGTCAGTATGATTTAACAGTGTAACCATTTTTGTTTTGACCAAAACTCCACTATATCTGTTAGTAAATACAAAACAAAATGGGCAATCTTTTTAACAAGAGTAATAAATCTGGGCCTGGGTTTAGGACGGTGGTACCAAACCATGTGGTTGGGGACATCCCACCCAAACACAAGAGTCACCCTAACCGGGATTACCGGAGCAACAGAATCAAAACCACCAAGTACTCCATTGTGACATTCCTACCCAAGAATTTATTTGAACAGTTTCATCGATTTGCCAATTTATATTTTATATTAGTTGTAGCCTTGAATTGGGTCCCCCAAGTCCAGGCCTTTGGAAAGGAGATAGCCATGATACCTGTGATATTCGTACTTGCCGTTACGGCTGTGAAAGATGCATTTGAAGACTTTAGGCGATATAAATCTGATAGAAAAATCAACCATCATACTTGTCGACGATATTCTAGGTAAGCTACTTCACACTCAGAAATGGGATTTTTGGTGAAATAAATTGAGTGTGAAACTATGACAGAAAAACAATTCCAAATTTAAACTAAAATATTCTCACATTCGAGGTTTCAAAAGAGCATCATATATCATATCCATTTCCATAGCTCTGACATGCAAAGAGTTTTTATATTTCCTTATATCTGGTACTACACAAGCTTCTGATACTGAATAACACACATTTCTGTATTAAAGAATTCATCATTTAAGTTTTATATCCCTTGCTGGTATTCCCTGTACATATACTGTTAAAGCCTATCCTGGATGTGGAAGTTGAGGTAATAATATCCTTCAACAAAGTTACAGCCTTACAGGGCACACAAGGAACACCTTGTCTGTCTGTCTGTCAAATTCTCTGTATTAATGCAAAGCTTAGCATTTCATTCACTTTACCTAGTTTATTTCAAGGGGTATCAAATCCAAACTTTCATATTTAGTGTTACTTTTGATGCATCTGAAAAGATGCATGATCCATATCTTCTTATGGTAGAGACATAATATTAAATTTTAATCTAATATAATATATAGTTTATGCTTAAATATACATACTCCAAACAAAAGGTCAGTTGCATGTAATGGTGAATATTTCTGGACTTATATAAATGATTAATCTATATTTCAGTATGATAAAAAAATATATAAAACCTCTAAAATCATTTTTACAAGTTGAAGACTTCAGTGACCATGTTCATTTATTTTATCTTTTGCCACCACCCTTATAAATCTATACATTTGTTTACAATTTTATAGGGCATTATTTAGACATATTGAATGAAAAATAAAACATTATGTGACTCTAATACTTAATTAGTTAGTAGTATAAGGACAACTTTTTAAAATCTTTGCTTGGCCTCTCCTGACTCAAAATAAAGAAATTTGTTACAAGTAGGTTTAGGGGGAATCTTTTTTTTATTATTATTTAAAAAAAACACTTCTGAATTTTCCAAGATGAAGTTAAGATAATTAACGGAGTGAGAAAATTTATGAATGAATTTAAAAAACTATTGTTTCTTAAACATGTATTAAGAGATTAGAAAGTTAGGGTGATATTTTTAAAACATGGTAAAGAGAACCACAGAATTTTTTTTTACATATATTGGGAATTGTCATGATTTTTGAGAAAAGTTTGCAATGCATGATCATCTGTCCTTAGGTGACCCTAGGTTGACCTAAAACATTGTTGACAACAGTTATACCGGTACTTTAAAATACTGCTACTTTTGTGATAATTGAAATTTTGACTTGGGAATACCAAATACAGTTAAAATCTTGTCAAAACAATTTTCTTTTCATTTTTGTGACAATTTCTAGAAAATGTTAAATTAATGCAGATGTTAAGAGGTGAGGAAGTCCTAACAAACCACAAGGGATTGAAAAAAACCCACTTATAAAGAGAGCTACTATATGTACAATTATATGCAACTATGTCCAATATGTTTCACTTTTAATTTTGCTTCTTATGAGTATTATGGTCATTTTTTAAAATTTTTTGAAAAAGGATTTATCTAATGAACGCCAACTAATCTATTTAGATTAATCTACCCGGTAACTTTTTTTTGTATTTAAAATTTTTTTTTTTTATGTTTGTTTGTTTATTTTTCGAAACATATATGACTTGATTGTTTCAAAGTTTTTACACAGCAGCAATAAATATTATGAATCTGCATACTTTTTTAATGTGCAATAAATTGTGAAAATTTCAAGAAATTTGTAAGTTTGGGATTATTATAATGTTTATTGTGTCAAACAAAATTTTTATTCTGGGTTTTATACTACATGGGTACATCTTCCCCATACCCTCATTGTCCCTGACAAGAACGCTCTACTGGGTAGGATAAAACAGAATTTTGTAACAGAAATTGCTACATATACTTTCTAGTTTGACCAGATCTTCCGTAATATTAAAACATTCTTTTTTTGTTACAGTTCTGACAAGCGATATGTGAAGAGTGAGTGGATGGAGATCCACGCAGGGGATTTTGTTCACCTGGCCTGCGATGAAATCATTCCAGCAGACATTCTACTGCTCCATTCCAGTGATCCGTTAGGGATCTGTCACCTAGAAACCAGCAACCTCGATGGAGAGACCAACCTAAAACAGCGACAAATCGTCCACGGACTCAAATACGAAAGGGTAGGTCAAGGTTGAAAAGTATTCAAAGACTGATCAGTCACAGACCTTAATATGGAAGGGTAGGTCATGGTCAAATTGTTAGCAAAGACAGGTCATCCACAGACTAAAATATAAAAGGATAGGTCAAGGTCAAATTGTAAAACAAAGACAGATCGTCAACATACTTAAATAAGAGAGGTTAGGTCATGGTCAAATGATTAATTAGTAAAGACAGGTCATCCACAGACTAAAATACAAAAGGATAGGTCAATGTCAAATTATTATCCAAGACAGGTCAGTCACAGACTAAAATATAAAAGAAGAGGTAAAGGTAAAGGTAGGTCATCCATAGACTAAAATATGAAAGATTAAGTAAAGGTCAAATGTTGGGATAAAAGTCTGGTAGTAAGATTTCCCTGTATTTCAGTAAGGAAGGATATATCTGGGTTGCAGTATTTTAAATCTATGTGGCTCACCATGCATATACCCCTTCAATTGAAGTGATTTCTGTGGCTAATTAACAGTTTTTTAACACCTCGGCAAACAAAGATATCCTGATTTATAAAACACAAATCGATGAATTTTCAGACTTTATTTTATTGTTCATATTTTAGATTGGTTTTTTTTGCAAATGCTTAATTTAAAAAGTCAAAAAATTGGGATGATCGATTTTGCGGGTGAAAACAATGACACACACGCGGGTCATTAAAATGAGTGGGGGGTATTTCCTTCAGAGAGGTCCAAATTAGTATAAACCTAATGTTAAATTAAAAAGATTAACCAAAATCACTGTGCAGTGTTTATACACACTGCAGATTAAGCAATGTTTTGTTCTAAATTTTGACATATAGATGCTGCATTCTGTGTTCATTGATACTATGTCTGTTTTTTAATCAGGTTTGGGATAATTTTATCGTGATACTTCAATTTATTGGGCTTAAATCGGGATATTAGTACAGAGAAGTAATTTTTAATAGAAAAATAAATATTAAAAAATCCTTTTACAAATTCCTACCATAAGAAGATCAACTCTTTTAATTAAGAAAGGAATAGAAAAATACTGATGTAAATTGAATTTTAAAGCTTGATCTGATTACTTATAGCTTGGTCGTGCAAACAAGGGTATATTTAAGTTCCCTGTAGGATATTTTTTCTCAAATTATTGAATATTTACATGGCTTTCAACCTCTAATCTGCTACCATCTGTGGCAAAATTGAGTTAACCTGGTAGTCATTTCATAAGTGTGCGATTAATGTTGATAGATAGGACACAAATGGGTCAGAGAACTCTCCAGAATGTAACAAAGAGGGGACTATATAAAGTACAGATATATCATATATAATTAGCTATACAAAGTAGTATTATTATGCACATGATATAGCAAAATGAGTTACAGTGCTGTCTGCAGTGTTAGGGATATTAGAGATATTAGTGTTCACCATTGCATGTATAGTACTCTGTTCTTAAGCATGATATTGATATAAGATCTGTGTGCAGGCTAAGGAAAGACTTCTAGACTTCTCTTAATAACCAAAATAAAAACTTGTTAATTAGAACATATTACCCGAGTTCAAACTATTTGGCAATCTTTGATTTTTTGGAAATTTTAAATGGACAGTACTGCAGACATTCATTCAGTAGTTCAATATCTGGATTATACGTGTTTAAAGGTCCCCAGATATTGATTTAAGGTGTGGCTACCTATGAAAGGTGAAGAAATGCAGGAGTTACATATTGTGACATTGGAATAAAACTCCCAGCCATAGCAGTAAATGTTGAGGTACACACCATCAAAAGTTCACCCACCCTTATCTCTGACCTAAAGTCAGGTGCAATCAGGAAGTGACAGTTTGGGGGATAATGGGGAGGGGGAGGTTCACAAAAAAAAATGAAGACAGCCAAAAAATAAGTCTTAAGAATCTCAAAGGGGGGGATTCTCTTACGTAGAATGATTGATCTCTGTCTATAAAATAATTACAATTTTTACAATTTGATAAATGTGAATCATTCATATTTTATGATAGGTGATAACTAGGGATGAACTTGTCAATAAGACTTTTTTTTCATTTTACTTCTCTCCCACTTTAACGTCCCCCTTTCTCAGATAAATACAGTGTCCTGATCCTGATTATAGGTTTATAGAAGCAGTAGTTGAAGCAGTGATTAATATTGTTTGGCCTCTATATAAAAAAATATGTCTTGACAAGAAACCCCACCCCACTCTCCCTATTTTTATGGCAGGTATGAAATATACCAGTAACTGTCATTAAAACTGGAGAATATTCTTCTATATCTTTGTGACAAGATAACCTGGCTGCACCCAAGGTGTAAATAAACAAAGGGGGGACACCAAGACACAAGATTTCCCCAGTCACTGGGTTATCAAAATTCAGACACCAACTTGTTGATTGTTATTGTGATAAGACGTAATAATATTCAACAAGTTAAATAATGAAATATAATCATGAGAATCCAAATCAGCTAGTGCATCTTGCTTTTCTCTTTGCCCTATTGAAATTAGGAAATATTTGTAGCTTTAAATTTGTTGAATAAAGCCAAGGAATATGTTTATGGATTAATCCCTGGCCCTCTTCTATTGTATTTTTATGGTCTTATCTAACCTTAGCATCAGAAGTCAGCATCAAATTTCAGGAGTAATTTTTTTTTACACTTTGCTTCCTTCATGTTCATGTTTTATCAGAGAAGACACAGAAACTTCAATTTTTATTTGATTAGTCTCTTCAGTCACCTTAAAACTAGACAGGTTTGAAGTTTCCCTACTCCCTTCACAGTGTTTTCCCTTTATTTCAAAGTAAAGGGTGAGACAGTGTTTTCCCTAAGAACCGGCAACCGGCCAAATTGACCGCTTCAATTGACAAAAATGCCGGTTTAAAATAAAAAATTGTTGTAAGGTCCACAGAGATTCTGTTCATAAACATCAGCCCTTAGCCTGTAACAACTGATCTCTAACCCTTTACTTTGAAATAAAGGGAAATCACTGGTGAGAGATCAGTTGTAACATGCTAGGGGCTGAGGTTTATGAACAAAAATTCTGTGGACCTTACAAAGCGGCATTTGTGCCAATTGAAGCTGTCAATTTGGTTGGTAGCTGGTTCTTAGGGAAAACAGTGCTTCACTTTCAAGAATTTAATTTTTCAACAGGATGCAGAATACATTATTAAATGACAACTTACTTTCTTTGCTTTCAGAAAAAGTTTGCTGTGGAACAATTCAAATACAACGTAGAATGTGAACTTCCCAATGCTGAAATTTACAAATTTAATGGCTTCATGTAAGTATATTAATTATCTACAATTACTTGTAAATTTTATGATGTATTAAGCTTCAATTTTAAACTTTTCTGATGTCAAAATTGACCTGGAGATTATGCTGCATTCTGAACCAATTTTATCACCATGTATTTCTAACAACGCATGAAGCCAATATCTGTACTGACTGTGCTTCGTCTGTTATAAGGGGGTAGATTCTACTAGATTGTTGATGAATCATTATTTTGTAATAAATGTAAATTTAGTGCTTGATAATCTGTTGATCCACCTGAATTGACTAATTAAAATAATAATTATAAGGAGACTTAAAAGTCTGATATCAGGAAGTGTGATAATTCTCTTTTTTCAGTCAGTGAAATTGTAAAATAATTAACAGTCAGTACACAAGTGAACCAGATGCCTGGGATATTGAGTTTCAGACTGGAATGAGGAAGTTACACTCTATTGGCTTCTCACATTTAATGATCAGATTTTACGCTCAGGGGCCAGTAGATATTGCTTTGTTTGAGTTAAATCTAGCAGAATATATGTTACTGGCCCCTGAGGTTTGGGGGACTACAGATCTGATATCTAAATGTTTTATTTCCTTTTAAATTTTGAGAGCCATGGCTTCAAATATTAAAACTTTGTTTGAGGGTCTAGATAAGTTATCCAAGCAATTTCTATCTAAGACAAAGGAGTAGTCTTCCATTAAGAGGCTTATTTCCTTGACAACTGGTGCTCAGTCCAGCAGGCTTTCTGACCAGTGTCTTGGAGAACCGATTCCTGGATAAAACTCAGGTGGTCATGGTTACTACATGATCTCTATTGATTTTTTGTGAAGAAGGTCAAAATTTTTATGTTTTTCTGCTATACCTAGTGATTACCAAACAATAAATTGGGAAATCTTGAGTGACTGTCATAAAAATTAATATTAATGTAGTGTGAAAGAAGAACCTGTAATCACTTCTTCCTGAAGGCATAAGGCGAGCATATATGTTAACACCATTTCTTGCTCTTTGTTAGTTTCAGTGAAGTAAGGCATGCATAGTAAATACATGTAGGTTTAAGTATTTTATCCTGTATCTACACACATCGCATGTCACAATTGACACGGGAGGCTTTATGTTTAAGGTCCTTTGACTCTCTGTTAAGAGAGATAACTCTTACTTGAAGTAATGACATTCTTCTGAAAGATTGTCCAGCTAATAAATAATTTTATTATTTGATTGAATAATTTCCATCTCTCTGAATGGCTGAGATCCAACTATGTTAGAAAAATACTACGTTGTATTGACCTGCACGTGACGTTCCAGGTGAATACAAGGATTTATTTCCTCTACATTGATCTAAAAATAGATCGGGAAATTCCAAATTGATACAAATTGAATTGGTAAGCTATTTAAACGACTATGACTTTTTTCAATTGAACAAAAGATAAGAGAATATATATTTTCGGGTGAGGATGGTAAGAGGGGATGCAGGGCCCCCCTCAATACTATTACTTTAACAATGATTTTTACTTTTTGGCAGTCAATTTTCCCTAATAATACTCCTTCGTTTCGAAATCTATCCTATAAAAAAGACTTATTATTTTTTTATGGCAACTAAAATTGATTATAAAACATTTCAAATTGATACAACTGGTAAAGTTTATTTACATTTTAATTCTACTTCTGTCTTGTATTTGGCTAGGACTAAATTAAATGCAAACAAATAATGAGCTGTATCATTTTATCAGTGAATCATATAATAAAACAATTATTGCTGTTTTTTCGGTCAATACAATGATTTAGCCATCTTCGAAGTACAATATTCACCTTGCCCTTCGGGCTCGGTGAATGTTGTACTCCTCAGATGGCTAAATCATTGTATTGACCTCAAAAAACAGTAATAATTGTATACTATTTAATTTTTCACCGCAAGGTATACTGAAATCATTTGCATTCCAATTTGAAGTTCTTTTTTCTTTTTGTGAAAAATTATGAGTGTCATCATATAAACAAAGGTTTGTGTGAATTAACAGGTTGATGATGAACATATTAAATGTCATATCACTTGAAATTACAGTATGTTGTTGAAGAAATAAGGTGCCAAGATGATAAATGTAATCCAGAGTGACCAGACCCCTTTATAATTGGTATGCGTCCTATATGGTACGTTCTATTTTACAGTAAGCTGGAGTCGGGGGAGAAGGTGTCCCTCAACAAAGACAACCTCCTGCTGCGGGGGTGCACCATTAAAAACACGGACTTTGTGGAGGGGATCGTCTTATACGCTGGTGAGTCCGGGTCACTGTACATTATATCTGGGTCTTATTGAAGCTTTGTTTATTTTTTAGATAAAAACTCATTTATCACATTTCTTATCACAAATACTGTTAAAGTTTTTCAAATGAAAAGAAAAAGTTGTATATAAATTTTAGGAAACAAGGAAATCCTTTCATGAAAGTGTATGTGCTATATACTTACAGCAATCTATAACAAATGATTATTATTCCTTGTCAATTATCAAGATAACAGAAAATAAAATTAGAGAGAGAAATTAACACTCAGGTTTACTTCACAGATTTGCTGCAACTCTTCAAAGCTAGAAAGAATTTATAGAATTTTATTTTTGGTCATTGTTTTGGACACACTGACATCTTTGATTTTTGTGTTCAATGTAAAACCCCTTTCATTACTCAGAGCATGGAAACAGAAGAACTGTTGGTCAGTTTATATTTGATTTGCTCAAGTCTGATTCCTTGAATGATGTATTTGAAATACAACATGCTTTTTTATGTGTAAAAATCATGAAATCTTAAGCCAACTTTTAAACAGTTAAAATTATAATTCCAGCATTGTCAACTTTAGACATTTCTTATCACAAATACTGTTAAAGTTTTTCAAATGAAAAGAAAAATTGTATATAAATTTTAGGAAACAAGGAAATCCTTTCATGAAAATGTATGTGCTTTCTTACTGATTATTATTCCTTGTCAATGAAGTCCCTTGTACTTTTGAATTATAACAGTTGACACACTGACATTATTTTTCCACACTTTGCTCATTGCTCAACATGCTATTAACATGATAAGCCGGATCTTATTGAAAACTAATTCCAGCATTGTCAGTAAGACAAAGGTCACATTTCCAATAAAGTCCCGACTTTTAAATTCATATTAAACAGATGAAAAGGAATTATCGCCTTCATTGATTTCATCATAAATTTTCAGGACACGAGACCAAGGCAATGTTAAACAATCGTAATCCGCGGTACAAGAGAAGTAAGCTGGAGCGGCGTATTAATCGTGACGTCATCTACTGCGTCATCCTCCTGTTATTCCTGTGTCTGTTCTGTGCCATCGGTAAGGACATGTTCACTGGACTCAGAATTTATTAAATGAGACATATTTATTTATCGTATTGAAACAACTGAATGCATAAGACACAACAATGGTGTTTTGTGTTTTCCCATGAAACTTCTGTTAAAATAGCTGTAAAAGTTGTTTAAATGTGAAGGCCAACAAGATCTAACTACTGTTAGTTCCAAATAGAAATCCTTACAGACAGTTACTAATTTGAACTCATTAATCATTGCATACTCTGTATTAGAAACTGAGGAGAACCTATTTTGATTTTGCAGCCAGTGGGATATGGCTGTCTAACTTTGAGGACAGTACCACCGTTCTGTTTATCCCCTTTGAGAGTCTGGAGTGGTACAACCCATATTTCCAGGGATTTGTTGTCTTCTTCACCTACATCATCATTTTTCAGGTAAGCTATTTATGTACCCTTTCCCAAATTTAAAGGATGCAACTGAATTGATTAGATTATTTTATTCGCTTGTAAAAGTTAATTCCTGATTCTTTATCTCTGTTACCACTGTTACAATAAGTTTGAGAGCATTTTATTGCCCCTGACCCAGATAAGTTTCATGACCTTGACAATGACCTTGACACAGATTTTTCCCTGTTTCTATTTATGATCTTTCAATTTTTGTAGACTGTGATACCTCTTCCTTTATATGTCTCAGTGGAAATTGTCAAACTAGGTCAAGTGTACTTTATTAATAACGACATTGAGCTTTATTACGAACCAATGGACAAGCGGATGGAATGTCGAGCCTTAAACATCACGGAGGATTTAGGTCAGATAGAGTACATCTTCTCAGACAAGACGGGCACGCTGACAGAGAACCAGATGGAGTTTAAGTCGTGTACGATCGGCGGGACGGATTATCCACATACTCCAGGTAGGCTGTGTAGTTGTATATTAACCAGTAATCCATTTTACAAAATACTTACGCAGGTTATATAGTGTTTTCTGCAACAGCTGCAATGTTGAGTCATGAACAAACAAAGACAGACATTTTATTGTGTATATAAAATTTTATATCTTTACAAATAATCATCTAAAAATGGATTAAATCGATTAAACATTGTATTGTTCATTTCATTGTATCTGTATTATATGCTAAGTGTATGTGTTAAGTAACTGATAAACAACATTAGATTTTAGAAAAGAAAAATACACAGCTGTCCAGAATTGGTTTTTGCTTATATTACTTTTACTTATACCAGTAAATTGAATTTACATATCAAAACAGAATTTGATTTTCCTGTAGAGATAGATTAGATAATCTTTATGACTTTATGTTTACAGAGTTTGAGGAGGAAGATGATTTTAGTGAGACTGGCAGCAGGTACTCTCTGGCCAACATCAGCAGGACAAGCTCGGTACGTCACATAGCTCAATGTATGCCACATACATGTATATAAAACCTAGCTCATACTGTAAAATAACATCAGCAGAACGTGCCCGGTACATCACATAGCTCAAACCTAGCTCATACTGTAAGATAAAATCAGCAGGACAAGCTCGGTATGTCACTTAGCTCAAACCTAGCTCATAGTGTAAAATAAAATCAGCAGAACAGGCTCGGAATGTCACTTATATAAAGTGTAGCTCATACTGTAAAATAACTTCAGCAGAACATGCCCGGTACGTCACATAGCTCAAACCTAGTTCATACTGTAAGATCAGGGGTCTAGAATTACGCTTTCCCGTTGCCCGGGGTGAGTAAAAATCCATACGGGAAAGTTCGATCTTGGGTCATGCTCACCTGCTCAGGAAAGTAAAAAATAAAAGACAGTAGACACCAATATTGTTGAAAGTTGTTCTTTTCATGAGTTTGATTGAAAATTGAATTAATTTACTTAGCTAGTAAGTTGTGTGAAGCGGTATGAAGCGTTTTCTGTCAAATTAATACATTATCACTACCGGAAATGCTTGCTGTATAAATGAAAAACTGAATACGGTACACTTTTAATTTCCCGGAATTGATACGAACGTAATTTGATGGCTGTAACTCTGGAAACTTAAATGATTATTAGTATTTACATAATAAATGTATCCACTGAACAATAATTTTGACTTTAAAAATACAATTCAATACAGCATACAGTGTATTAATATATCTATATCAAAACTGCAATGCAATATAGCATATTATTTTATAGTGTATCAGAGACACAAATATGCTACGCATATTAAATATTTTAAGGTAGGTCCGTACTTTCAGAATTTTCTGTCAAACTGATAATTTTTCAATTTGAATACCTTGAACAAGTCTTATTCTTACTAAAACACCCATAAAAGACATATCTTTGCAGGTTAATATTCATACAACATGTCTCAGCGCACATACCTCTAAACACTCAAAAGCCAAAATTGAACATTAAAAAGTGTGATATCATATTTCTCTTAGTTATGCACCTAATCACATCAAATTTATGTTAAAACTTATGAAGATCAAAAATATTCATTTGCCAAGAGAATATTTGAAATCTTTACTGCAAAACATTTACAAATTGGTGTTGAATCTGTCCATGTCTTTCAGAAAAAAATCTTAAAATATCTTTATTTTTATTTTTTCTCAAAATCCAAAATGTTTAGATGTCATTTTTTCTTCAAAACTATTAAGAATCATATCTAATGTTAACAAAAACAGCAAACTTTATTATGGTTGACCAGAGAATTTTAACAAAACAGTCTTTTGAAGACTTTTTTTCAGTTATTCAATGCAAAATTTAAAAAAAAATAAAAATTAAATGGATGATATAGGCTCTAAATCAATAAAAATAGATCTCGGGTTAGTTTGCTTAAAAGAAAATTAAAAAGATTTAGGTCCATAAAAGCAATTAAGAATTTTGTGTCTGTGTACGTAGTAAATGACATATAGATCTTATGGACAGAGTGCAAAGTGTTAATTTCCATAAATAATGTATATTAAATGCTTCATATGCACAATAACACTATAATAAACAAATATATACTTGCTAAATCATTTTTAATCACCCAAAAAGATTTATATCAATAGAAAAGTGAAAATCAGAATTTTATATTGATGTGTAAATTTAGAACCGGATCCGTAAAAGTGTGGGCCTTCCTTAATATGATGGAAAAAATTCACATATTTGTGCCATGGGAAAAATGTTAGTCTGTAATTTTAAAACTTGTGATTATTTCATGCTTTTGTTGGGCAAGTGAATTTTTTAGGCGGGCAAGTGAAATTTATTGTATCACTTGGGCAAGTGAGTTATGAAAAAATTTCTAGACCCCTGAAGATAAAATCAGCAGGACAAGCTCGGTACGTCACTTAGCTCAAACCTAGCTCATAGTGTAAAATAAAATCAGCAGAACAAGCTTGGAATGTCACCTATTAAATATAGCTCATACTGTAAAAATCAGCAGGATGAGCTCGATATGTCACTTACATAAAACCTAGCTTATACTGTAAAATAACATCAGCAGGATGAGCTCAGTATGTCACTTATATAAAACATAGCTCATACTGTAAAATAGAATCAGCAGAACAAGCTTGGAATGTCACCTGTAAAATATTGCTCAAATTTCAAAATTACAAGCTCGGTAGGTCACATATATAAAATTTAGCTCATACTTTAAAATAAAATCAGGGTGACAAGCTTGGTATGTCATCCATAAAATATAGTTTATACTTTAAAATAACATCAGGACAAGCTCAGTATGTCACTTATTTAAAATCTAGCTCATACTGTAAAATAACATCAGCAGGACGAGCTTGGTATGTTATCCGTAAAATATAGCTCAAACTGTAAAATAACATCAGCAGGACGAGCTCAGTGCTTAAGCTATAAAATGTAACTCGTATAGCTTCTGTGCATCCCTTTATAGGTCTGTTCTGTTAATGGTCAGACAATCGATTTAAAAGAACTTTCTTGTTCATAGAAGAATGTTCAAAGTTTTATTTTTTGATCTGTGGGTGGATTTACAGTGAGGACAGAGAAATGATGATAGTCTTATTGCAGTGAAGAATGTATTAATTCAATCACTTGTAATGAAGGAGGTTAAAGATTGGGGCAGAGACAATCTGAAAGAAATTACAATGTACATTGTAATTTTCTTTGTACATCTTAAAGGTCAAAATTAGTCAAGAAAAGACCTCTAAAGGATAGTGAGTTTATAGTGTCTAATACGGTACATAATCAGCAGAAGACCTCCAAAGAAAAAAAACAAATAATCAGCAGGTTTAAGTACAATGTAATCATCTGTATAATAGAATAGCATACTATACCAGAAAGAAATTTTCAAGTCTTATACTGTAAAATCACATATTTTTGTGGGATCAAATTTTCGTGGTTTGAGGAAAATCTGTTCTTGGGGATTTGATTTCATGGATCAAGAATTATTGAGCTCTTATCTATTTAATATTTTACATTTCATGGTGGATATGAATTTGTGGGTCTTGTCATAGCTCGAAAACAATGAAAATTAACCCCCCACGCAAATTTGTGATTTCACAGTATTACTGATTTATCAAGACAGTTTTTTTCTGATTTCTTAAACTGAAGAAAATGAACATGATGAATAGTAAAATTCAAGATGAAATGAACAATTTGTTTAACATGACAGTAAAAATGAAATTTTAAATCAAAATTCATAGTGATAATTTTTGAAACAGACATGCAGTTTCTTGAACATTTGGCAAAAGCTGTCCGTATTAAGATTAGTACTTATTTGTTGATGTAGATCATGGATATAACTATTGAACCACATATTACCCATGCTTTGACAAGTAATTGGAGTCTACATTTTAAACATGGAGGAATGCATAATCACTCCAAAACCATACAGGAATTTTTCCTCAATATTGCGATATGCAACACCGTCATTGTTAGTAAAAGCCACGAGGATATGGTAAGTGACGAGTGGTGTGTGGTTTAATCCTAACATTCTCTCTCTCTCATCAGGTGATGGAAAATCTCAAACTCGAGCCGGGTCTAGAACGAGAAATCTCACGAATGTGCCTACGAAGTTTAAACAGTGTTAATTTGGACCTGCCAGAGTTTATCTCCCCTAACTCTCAGAGAATTCAGGAATTTTTCTTACTCATGGCTATCTGTAACACTGTAGTTGTCACGCATCACGCTCATGAAGATTTGGTAAGTGGGACAGGGTCAAGGCTAGGTCAAGGCCAACTCTAGATAAATTCAGTAACCTTGTTAAGGAACAGGTATTTAATTATAAGGTATCAGTGATACATGAATTTATTTCTTTTCTCTTTTAGATAAATTGTGAATTATTTACAAATAAGTTTGATCATCTTTAAACATAACCTAGAAGTGAAAATTAAAATCATCATCATTAGATTTTTAATTGTTTTTGCTCTTACTGCTAACTTTTTTACATGCTTTTGCACTTGCAAATTGTTTACTGGTAATTGATTTTTGTGTTTGAAAATCAGGGTTGCAAAAAACATTAACACATTGTAATATCTTGATTTTTTTTCTCTGTGAAGAGCTCTTGATAAAGTTATTCGTGTGATATGATCATGTCTTGGCAAGTATTTGAGACTAATCAAATTATTTCAGATGGATGATTGTGGATCCATTCTTGAAGGACATTATAAAGGCAGAAATAGGTCACAAGATGACCTTGATAAAGTTAGTAAAAGTGAAGAGTCGCCCCAGAAGAAAAGTTTCCCGATATTAAATCTCCCAGATACCCCCATACAACGCAAGGGGGCACTTCCACCCTTGGGACAAAGGGAGGTAGGGACACCACCTCTCTCTAAGAAAAATGGAGGTATACACGTACCTCCGATTACAATATCTAATTCTGGGGACTTTGACAGATTTCGGGAGTACGGGATTAGTACGCCCTCAGAGGGCAGTATAGCCGGGTCGTCATATATCTCAGACGGCTCACAGAACAGTCGCTACGAGGCTGAGAGTCCAGACGAGCTTGCTCTTGTCAGAGCTGCCTGTACGTACGGATGTCGACTAATTAATCGTAGTGTGGATAAAGTCAGGGTGTGGCTACCCGGTAAGTTACACTATAAATAAAGCCTCAGTTTTTAGACTGTGTAAATTTTGTATGTATATGATACACAAATTAATATTTGGCCAAGTCACATAATTCATGGAAAAGTGCACAAATGCAGCTTTATAGTTCATTTTGTTTTTTGAAAATTTTTTATAAAATGTATGAAGTTTTCTTGCTTGAAAGTTACTTTGGACTTACCAAATTAGAATTACCAGTGTAACTCTTCTTTGTGGAAGATAAGAAAATTTAATTTGTTTGTGGTACGTATCCTTGAGCTTTTTAATTATGATTTTCTCCTCTCTCAGGTGAGGGTGAGGTAGAGTTTGAGATACTGGAGGTTCTACAGTTTGATTCGACCAGGAAACGGATGTCTGTGATTGTGAAGAACCCCAACAACAAGGAACTGGTCATGTTTACCAAGGGGGCCGACACAGCCGTGCTGGGGGTCCTCCACAAAAAGTTCAAAGGTAAATCAGATCTATTGAGCATGCATTACTTGGTTGTATATTTCCTTGTTAATTAGATAAAATTTTCACTTGACCTACACACATGAAATTTCAGTCTGTTTTATCGTGGCTTTTATTTTTTTCTTACAGAGGATAAGGAACTACACCGACTGGTGAAGGAGTCAGAGAAGCATATACTGAACTATGCAATGCAGGGACTCAGGACTCTATGTATGGCCAAAAAGGTAAAAACTCGTAAAATCAAATTATGTAATGCAGCATGTCAAGTCCCTATTTATTGCCTAAAACCTAATAACCCATTGACTCACTGAACAAAGCATGGACATGGGCCCATGTGTATTTATAACAATTTGTTAAAGATAGTAAGGTTGACACATTTGTTACCATATGAAGAACCTAACACATCTGTTACTATATATAGATCCTGACAGGTTCTGTTTCTATATATAGATCCTGAGTCGTAAGGAGTATGACGAGTGGAAGGTGAGATTTAACGAAGCCTCGGCCGCCATGGACAACAGGGAAGAGAAGATTCTACAAGTGGCGTGCGAGATAGAGAAAGACCTGGAGCTTCTGGGTAGGTCATAGAGGGTCAGAGGTCAATGATTCAGAGAGGTTGTAGAGGGTCAGAGGTCAATGATTCAGGGAGGTCATAGAGGGTCAGAGGTCAATGCTTTGGGGAGGTCAAAATAGGTCACATGTCAATCATCAGGAATTAAGGACAACAGCTAGTTGTTCCCTTTCTATTTTACATTTTGATGAGACATACACTTGGAATTCATATAATAAAACATTGACTTTTGTTATTATGCTCATATGGGAGTGGAGGCATATCATTTTGTGCTCTCAATGCTCATATTACCTCTAGCTGAAAATTGAATTCCTAGCAAAATGAATGCACTTCAATGCAGCTTTATAAATGTGATTGGATAACTACTTCTTATGAATGATATTTTATCGGGCTTCTATTGTGTTTTCAGGTGCCACAGGTATTGAGGACAAGCTACAAGAAGGTGTGCCAGAGACGATAGATAAGCTGAGGAAGGCAGGGATCAAAGTCTGGGTCCTCACAGGAGACAAACAGGTAAGGGGTGGAGAGAGACAGATGAGGGACAGGGGGCAGACAAACAGATAGGGGACAGACAAACAGGTAGGGGGACAGACAAACAGGTAGGGGGCAGACAAACAGATAGGGTGGCAGACAAACAGGTAGGGGGGCAGACAAACAGGTAGGGGGCAGACAAACAGATGGGGGACAGACAAACAGGTAGGGGGCAGACAAACAGATAGGAGAGAGACAAACAGGTAGGGGGCAGACAAACAGGGGGTTCAGACAAACAGATAGGGGGGCAGACAAACAGGTAGGGGGGCAGACAAACAGGTACAAAAACAGGTAGGGGGCAGACAAACAGATAGGGTGGCAGACAAACAGATAGGGGACAGACAAACAGGTAGGGGGACAGACAAACAGGTAGGGGGCAGACAAACAGGTAGGGGGCAGACAAACAGATAGGGTGGCAGACAAACAGGTAGGGGGACAGACAAACAGGTAGGGGGACAGACAAACAGGTAGGGGGCAGACAAACTGAGGAAGGCAGGGATCAAAGTCTGGGTCCTCACAGGAGACAAACAGGTAGAAAAACACAAAAAACTAAAGTGAGTAGGGATCAAATGAAAACCTCATGGGAACAGTTGTGTTGGGACAGTTGTAAAGGAATAATAAAATTTTTGATCCTTATGATCAAGAAGTGCTGGGGGTAGGAAGGAACTTGAAGATTTTGGTTTTACAGATCAGGATGTAGACCTTGGGATAAATGGATACATTAGAGAGAAAAAAAAGAGTCTATAGAAAAAGAGGGAAGGGGAAGGAATGCAACGTGATACTTTCTAAACATAACATTGAACATAACTCTCTCTCTGTTTCAGGAAACAGCCATTCAGGTAGCTTACTCCTCTAAGCTGATTGGACAGAAAGATCAGGTCATCGTCATCAATGCAGAAAATCTGGTGAGTTATAAAACAACCTCCTTTTGAGGAAAAAAATCTTGATCAGTTTCACACACACGCATCAGCTTTGTGTAGATTGTAACTTCCTTTTTTGGAGTCAATACAGAGTCAAAAACAAGGAGCATATAATTTATTAAAATATAGGCATAATTCATAAATACTACAAAACATAGGAAAATACTGTGTAGCTTATATGGTATAACCATAGTATTTCTTTATAGCAAATTAATGGCATATTAATTTTATAGTTTATTTCATTAAATTTACAACTCTGTGATCTACATGTGTAAGTGAGATGTAATACGCAGGTCTCATTCCATGCTTTCCACACATGTACATGTTGATGTTTTTCTGTAGGTATGTACAAGGGACCTCTTGGAACACCACATACAGCAGATCAATCGGGACACAGCGGTCACAACGTCATCCTCAGCCCAGTCCAAGAAGCAGGAGTACACCCTGGTGATCGACGGTCGGACCCTGGCATACGCGCTCAATGAGCAGCTGGAAGACTTATTCCTTAACCTGGCTCAGAAATGCACATCTGTGGTGTGTTGTAGATCCACTCCCATACAGAAGGTAAATCTATAGATCCACTCCCATACAGAAGGTAAATCTATAGATCCACTCCCATATAGAACAAAAATTTATAGATCCACTCCCATACAGAACGAAAATTTATAGATCCACTCCCATACAGGAGGTAAATCTATAGATCCACCTTTGTATAGTGTTGTAGACCCACTACCCTGCAGAAAATAAATGTATACATCCTCTCCCATACAGAAAGTAAATTTATAGATACACTCTCACAAGGAAGGTAATTTTACAGATCTACTTCAGTAATGCAGAGTTCTTGAAAACTTTTTTGCGACCATTTGGACTGTGTGTTGAAGTTTGTCAGTCCAGACAAATTTCTATCGGTCCAAAAAAAATCAATAATAAGATGAAAACTGTCAATAACTGTATTTGAATTTTCTTATCAATACATTGTTCATCCAGCTTCAATAAACACTGCACACTTCATACCGATTTGATCACTGTATATCAATTTTCGTTGAATTCTCATGGTGGTCGATTTTCTTCATATAAAAATTAATTCTAGTTCAATTTTCTCACCTGGCTTACCTTAGTGCCGTCAAACTAGTTTACAATTCATAGTTTGGCACTTGCATTGATCAAAGAAGCCATTACAAGATACAGAAAAGCATTTGAAAGATTACGATTGGTCGGAGGGAATTTGTACGCAATTTGGACGGATTGTCGCAAGTTCTTCTGTCAAAATATTACCTGTCATTTGGACTGACACAGAATGCAAAGTAATTGGTCCTTGGTAGTTTTTATTGGTTTTGCCGACAGGATGAGTCATTTTGTGTATATCCGCTTTAATATAAATTTATAACATTGTATTGTGTGATAGATCACTCCCAAAGTATTTAACCTTTATTGTGTCTGAAACATTTTAAAAAAAAAATTCAATAAATCTGTTTATTTTACAGGGCTCAGTGGTCAAGTTAGTTCGAGACAAGCTGAATAAGTTAACGTTGGCAATAGGTTTGTATTCTATCTGGAAATGAGTCATTTTATGTAAATTTTATGAATAACATTTTCTTGATGACATTTTGAAAGTATGTTTGAACATTTCTCAAAAAAATCAGAATTTATGATGACATAACAAAATAGAATTTTTGGATATATACTATAGCCTACATGTAGTGGATGAAGATTGTGCGTTAAATTCATCATAGAGGAATATCATACAAGACACATCTGAAAAAAAAATTAATGTTTCCTCTACATCTGATACAGGTGACGGAGCCAATGACGTCAGTATGATACAGGTGGCCGACATCGGGATTGGGATTTCTGGACAGGAAGGCATGCAAGCCGTCATGGCATCAGATTTTGCCATTTCTCGCTTCATGTTTCTCCAGCGCCTCCTTCTGGTCCATGGACACTGGTGTTACTGTCGCCTCGCGCGATTCTCCTCCTTCATGTTCTATAAAAGCTTGGTAGGTCTTCATTTCTGCTCTTATTTTTTTGTTATTAAATAATTACATATGAGATTTGTATTATGCTAAAAATAAGTTTGTACACAGTTTGAATATTTTTAAATATCAGAAGTTCAGAAGTTGAAAAGAATATATTTTATATCACTGTCACAGGCACTTGACTTATTTATCCTTTCTTTTCATAAATAAAAAATTCTCCAAACTATTATAATAATGTTTTTATTTTTAATTTATAGAAGAAAGGATAAAAGTGTGTAAAGTACCTGTGATCACTGAATGTTTTTTTTTTTTTTGTATATATATGTCACAATTGTGCTTATCACATGATTGTTTGAATTTTTGAAATGAAGATCCCACTTAAATTATGTCTCTTTAAAAAAAAAATGGCACAAATTTCTAACACACTGATCAAATCAGGGGAATCTTTTTTCTTGTTAATACCAGGCGTGCATTGTGCATGTTGATATTGCATAAAACAATTTTTTTTGTAACAATATTATAATCTGTCTTTCTGTTAACAATAAATGTTTGTGTTTTGGTAATCTTATAATTCGAACACATTTTATTTTCCTGATGATGGCACCAAAAAATTGACACATTCAGTCATGAATCATTTAGAATCATTTAGAATAACAACATAATATTACTGTAGTTCCCATCAAAACTTTGTGGTGATAGATGCTTTTGGTATTTCATTCTTTGACAAATTTTTTGCATACAATATATCTTTTGAAAGAAATCAAAACAGAATTGCTGACATTTAGTAACTAGTTGCTAAAGTAGTTAGTTGTTTTGCTTTGAATTTATAATTCCAAATTTTTAGACAAGAAAACATAAAGGAAAAATGATTACTACCTAAAAGTAAAACTGTGAAACAAGCTCAGAATGTAGATTGTTCATTTTCAGTGGATGAAGATCATTATATATCAATCAGTATATTAGAACATGTACCATACCTCATTGTTTGGTTGTGAGAAGTAAAAATAACTTGAACAATATTAATTGATATTGCACAATATTTATACAGAAATTATGTGTGATGAGTTGCTAGATTTTCTTGTATTATCATCAATCATTTTAACCAGGTTCTAGGCTAGAGTTACCTCCTCTTGATGTCACCTCACCATAAATGGCAGAGGTCACCTTAAACTGCTGTTGCACTGAATATTACATTTAGATTAGAATGTTTTACAATTATCAAAATTTTTAAAATGAACACAGTTAAAAAAAAAACACTATTAATTTACATAACTGATTTTTAATATTTATATATATATATATATATATATATATATATATATATATATATATCAAAGGTTTAAGTGCAGCAGTAAGGTGTATAACTCTGTAGACAGACTATGGGGAGATAACTCTGGCCTGAGATCTGTTTTCTGTGTTCTAACCCCATCTCGTCTGTTTCTAGATCAGTGTATTAGTCATGTTTTGGTACCAGATCTACAGTGCGTACTCGGGATCGATGCAATTTGACAGTCTTTATACCATGCTCACGCATGTAGTCTTCTGTGCTTTTCCCCCTCTGGTGAACGGGGTCTTAGACAAAGACTTGTCGTCAGAAACCCTCCTCCGATTTCCTCATATCTACAAAATGGGCATTGATGATACGGTAAATACTGCACTGCTTTGTATAATCATTGTACATTAATTGTTTTGTTTCCTGATTGATTTTAGGGAATTGAGTTCACCATGCTCTGGTTCCAGCTCTATAGCGGATACTCGGGCTCACTCCAATTCAACAGCCTCTTTCTGTTGTTTATCCATGTCTTATTCACGGCGTTTCCGCCGGTCGTTAACGGCATATTTGACAAAGACTTAATGCCGTCCACCCTGTTACACTTCCCCGAGGTGTATAAAATGGGGATTGAGGATAAGGTAATCCGTGGTAAACATGGTAACCCCGTAACCTCTTGCCTGCCGTAGCCATTTTCTCTTGGAGTTTTTGATGTGTATATTTTTTGCAGTGAGGAATGTAAAATGTCTGACTGGCCTCCATTTTATGTCTAACATGAGAATGTCCTTCCTCCTCTAGACAGGAGGAATTAAAACTCTAAAACTGAATGTATTGATCTAACATTTACATAAAGACATGTAAATCATGCTACTTGGAAAATTGTCCTTTTTTGCATATGCATTATCACAATAAGACATTTACATGTACATAATGCATGTTTATTTATAAAAAGCTTACAGTATTACATGTATAAATACAAGCTTTGAAGTACACAGTACAATAACACCGTAATATATACAGATTAAAAGAAATATGAGGTCAGATTGAATTACATAACTGATATTGTAAGGTCAAAAATCCCTCCTAATGCTTAAAGGTGACAGGCATTACATGTAAAACAGAAGTTTAATATATATATGCTTTGTAATTAATTATTAGACTCTATGCCAGTGGGGAGCTTTGCATTATAAATATGATATTGTAAATTCAGCTGGTTGAGGAGGGTTGTGTATTAGTTGTATATTATAGCTGCTTAGTTTAGAAAACAGGAAAGGATCATTAAAAATGGCAGGAAAAAACTGATTTAAATGAGAGGGGAGTTATATGTTATACTGCTACTTCAATAAATCGCAGGGCTGTGCAGGCAAGAATGTGTAGTAGCTAAAACTTAACGAAGTAATTGAATTAATAACTTGATATTTACTTGCTGTATTCAACTTAACATGATCTTCCTGACGTCTTAAATTCATTAACAAAAATCTGTACAAATCTTAATTAATATTTAATACACTAGTAAAGCAATGGACAAAATGACCTAAATTTACTGAGACTCTTTATCTCACACATTAATTACTGAAAGCTTATTGAGGTTTCCTCATACACTTCTATACTTGCAAACTTAAGTAAATTTTTATCCGAGTTACACATGCTTTTATATCACACAGCTGTTTAAAACAAAATGACTTTAAAATCATACATAGATTAGCCTTTTTTAAAACTCAAATGTTCACATGAACAGCTTAATTTAATTTGGCTGCACTATAGTGTTAATTGCTGATTACTAAGTTTATCAACAGGGGGTTAGGAGTATACTTAATGATGATAAAAATCCCCAGTCATATTATTGAACAGGGAGTTAGGAGTATACGTAATGATGATAAAAATCCCCAGTCAATTTATTGACAGTCAAACCTCATTATCTCAAACTCGAAAGGACCGAGAAAAAAAATCGAGAGAAATCTTAGGATTTGAGATATCAGGAGTAAAAAAAAAATAAAAGAATAAGTGGATGGGACTACCAAATAATCTCGACATTCGTATTCGAGACATCAATGTTAGAGATACCAAAGATCAACTACATTGTATATATTTATTTCAGACTGATTTGTAGTACATTTGGACTTCTATGGGGAAATTACTTGACAACTACAACAAAACAATAACAATGACAAAGTCTATCTATGTTCCTCCCTAAGTCTTCACTTTGGAAATGGTGAATAATAAACTAATTCCACTATGGGTCAGAGTTGAAGGGTTACTATGGGTCAGAGTTGAAGGGTTACTATAGGTCAGAGTTGAAGGGTTAAATGTCATTAAATGTTGATTCCAGGGTCAAGCACTGGTGTGCACATTTCCTACTCGATCACCTTGTATGGGACATTAACTTTATAACACCTATGGTCTTTGAGAAACAATATAAACGATGTATACTCCATTTAATGGTGATCTTGTTAGCTATATTTTGCTGTGTGCTACATTTAGATATGAAGCTTTGACAGAGATGCTAGAAATTTTAATCCAAGTAGATATTTGTATGATATTGCAAAGTAATATTCTGATTGTCTTGATTATGAATGTGCTTCTGTAATAAATTATAGACATTAATACTGCAATATTAAAGATAATCTTTGCATCTTTACATACTTTTTATATGGATTGCATGATGTTAAATGCTAATTGCATGGAAATGATTTTTTTATTGCCAGAAAATACATGTATTAGTTCTGTGATAAGCTTCAGTCTAATGCTAAATATTGTCATATCTTTTTGTTTGACATATAAAATTTTCAAGTAACTTACAATGTATTTTTTTTCTCTTTGTAGCAATATACTCGTTTTAGTTTTTTCTTCGCACTTCTGGACTCCATTTATCAGAGCATTATCCTTTATTGGGTGGCTCACTTTGTAAGTATACTGTATATATAGCATCAGAGATGTAACATACAAAGCATTGTAAATACATTTTACTTTACCATACAACATGTCGATACCATATCACTGGGTTTAAATCATTTGACATTGTAATTCCTTTTTTTGTAGGCCTACGAGTCGGAGCAGGTGGGAATCTGGGAGTTTGGCACCACTCAAATGGTGGCGCTCATCTTAATCATATTATTTACAGGGGCAATAGACACATACTCATGGGTAAGTTAATCAATGATTCTAATGCAGTTGTTTTGTAAAACACGTTTTGATTAGCTAATGCACTGGTGTTTGAAGCAGTAAAACGAGCATTAACGAGCGTGAAAGCTTTTTCATTGTGACGTCATAATAGAGCGACGCAAAAACACAATGCCCCGTGACGTATTTCATGTAACAAAATTCGACAAAATAAGACGTAAACAACAAACAAAATGCATGGATTGCATTAGAATGGGAATAACTGATCTTCTAATTTGGTATTTGCGACTGTTAATGCTGATTTAACGGTCACAAACATCCGTTTTACCGGCTCCGCTTATGCGTCGCTGGTAAAACTCAGTTTGCGACCGTTAAATCAGCATTAACGGTCGCAAATACCAAATTAGAAGATAGTTATTCCCTAAATCAAAGAGGACACTAGTTTACAAGCATTATCTAAGAATTCATTATATTACACAATATTTGTTCTGTTGATGGGTCTTATGTGCACCTATTACAGTAAAACTCGGTTATAATGAAGTCACTGGGACCTAACAAATAACTTCGCTATATTTGAAACTTGAATACCCGTATAAGGAATTAGTTATATTTATATAGCTGGGGATCCAAGATAACTTCACTATATCCGTGAATTCACATTATCCTTGTTCGTACTAAACGAGTTTTTCTGTATCAAAGTGTCCATGAAATAGCTAATTATAACTTATACCTGTATTACATATTGTTTGTTTTCTGTTGGCAGATCTGGCCTCAGTGGTTGACCATGATCCTGAGTTTTGTGTTTTTCTGGCTGTTTGCCATCGTCTGTCACGCCATCTGGTTCACGTTTGACCACCCGGCCAATCCTTACTGGGTGATGCAGAATACACTGGTCAAACCCATCCATGTTATCACTGTGGTCATCATCACTGTACTGTCTCTGTTCCCAAGGTATTTACATGTATATAACTACAGTGTATAACCCCCACCCCTCAACCCATCATCCCTGTACTGTCTCTGTTCCCAAGGTATGTCTATAACTACAGTGTATATCCCCCACCCCTAATCCCCATCATCCCTGTACTGTCTCTGTTCCCAAGGTATGTCTATAACTACAGTGTATAACCCCCACCCCTCACCCCATCATCACTGTACTGTCTCTGTTCCCAAGGTATGTCTATAACTACAGTGTATAACCCCCACCCCTCACACCATCATCACTGTACTGTCTCTGTTCCCAAGGTATGTCTATAACTACAGCGTATAACCCCTTCCCCATCCCTAAAACCATCATCACTACTGTCTCTTTCCAAGGTACGTCTATAAATAACTACAGTGTACAACCTCCACCCCCACCCCATCATTTGCTATAATCCCCTCCCCACCCCTAAATCCATAATCACTGTACTGTCTCTGTTCCCAAGGTACGTCTATATATAGCTACAGTGTACAACCTCCACCCCCACCCCATCATCTGCTATAATCCCCTCCCCACCCCTAAATCCATGATCTGCTATAATCCCCTCCCCACCCCTCACCCCATCATCTGCTATAATCCCCTCCCCACCCTATCATCTGCTATAATCCCCTCCCCAACTACCACCCCATCATCTGCTATAATCCCCTCCTCATCCCTAAATCCATAATCACTGTACTGTCTATGTTCCCAAGGTCTATCTATATAATATACCTACAGTGTATATCCCCGAATTTACTCTGTGGGTTCCTAGGGTATGAGACGTCTATAACAGCTTATAAACCCCTGTCTCACTCTCACTTTCATCACATATCTACAGCACATTTCTCATCACCATTCTCACTGCATTGTCTTTACCCACGGTAGAATAATTTCTATAGATAAGATTTATTAATACCAATTTGGGCCCATCAGGACATACAAGTAAAGAGAAATACAAGAAGAAATTCAAAATTGATAGTTATAATCTCTGTAAGTACAGTGTATACACTCCCTACTTTCCTCCTTAAAATCACTGATCTGCCCCCTCCGCAATTTTATTTAACTGTACCTGTTTCCAGGTTGTAACACCCTGATGTACCTACAGAATATACAGCCTTTTAAGAGGCTTTGCCACTGTTTTATAATATTGATAAGCTACAATGTTTGTAATAAATATGCAAACTTGAAAATATACAGTGGTGTAAATATGAAGGAATTATTGAGATTGTTACCTTGAGCTTAATTAGTTGCCTTAAAAAGTGTAATCATTACGGTACTCAATTAAATGTCAAGTAGGAAACTCAAGTTCATGCTCACTGTCAGTGTTAAACTGTGTGTTCTTCAGGGTATGTAAGGATTGCCCTATTTAATTTGACTGTTCATGTCTTCCAGATTTGTGATCCGGATATTCCAGAGAACGGTGTTTCCAGATTCAATCGTAAAAGCTCAATTCTGGGAGAAAAGTCAGCATAATCGTCGCGACTCGGCTCACTCGATCGATACTCAGGACACTGGAGACGTAATCTCAAGTCAGGAGTCGCGGACTGACACACGGACGTCTGAGCAGGACATCAGGATACGTAACGGAGGCAGCAGAAAAACTACAACAACGATAGCGTAACAATAGGTTCTGTATAAACTGATGAACTGCTACAGGTATGGTGCTGTGTTTGACTGGGAGAGGGCTGATGATGTGCCACCACCTAGTGACGAGAACAAGGGAGAGGGGAACCAGAACAGACGACCTAGTTACAGACCACCAGCTCACCAGCTTAATTGCTCCGACATTCAGTCCCAATATGGACGCTACATAGAGATCTCATTAGATGCGGAGGGGTGGTGAAATGATTCAGTGGAGGGAAGGTTAACGTAGAGGTAGCTTCATTCTGGACCAAACACTGTCTTTCATCATTATAAACAGTTACTGAGAGAGAGTGGGGTTTGATATAGACATCTATTTATAGGCAAGCTATGCTGCTGATTCTGATATGTTTTTGGCTGTGTTTCTGTATTTGTCTGTGTGTCTGTAGGAATGTGTGTGTGTGTGCCTTAATGTTAGAGTAACAAGTGTATGAATGGAAAGAGTTTAAATTTTATGTATTGTGAAACTTTTTAACATGTATTTTTGACAATTTTATATTCTAAGACTATTGTTAATTTATATAGCTGTATATTTGTTAATTGTGATCCTCAGTTCCACAGAGCTGCTCTATTTTTGAGCAACTCGTTTTTATTTATTTGTATTGATAACCATGTGTTCTTTGTCTCTATTGCTCAGCCTCTTCTCAGAAGTGACCGAGGTCTTCATTAATCACTCTTGGCATTCTACTTTTTTGATTTACTGGTGACCATTACTTTACTGTCTACTTATTCCTATATAGATTAACCTTTGCTGTAGTGAAAATTAATAAAAATGTGAAGTTAAACATTTGATAGAACTATAAAGCCTTAAGTTTGTACTCTTCACTTTTAGCCTTAGTATTACATGTACTATAAACAGAATACCCCTGAAGAAACCCTGTAAGGCCTTATAAATAAGGTCCCAAATTATTATAATAATACTGCTTTATTAATATATCTAATACTGCTTTAATATAACAATCAAAAGTCTTGTGGTAAATCACATAGTATAGTCATTAAACCTTTTATTAGCTCACCTGAGCTGAAAGCTCAAGTGAGCTTTTCTGATCACCCGTTGTCCGTCGTCCGTCCGTCTGTCTGTAAACTTTTCACATTTTCAACTTCTTCTCAAGAACCACTGGGCCAATTTTAACCAAACTTGGTACAAAGCATTCTTGGGTGAAGGGGAATTTAAATTGTTAAAACCAAGGGCCAAGACCCTTTCCAAGGGGAGATAATCAAGAAAATTAGGGTGGGGTCATTAAAAAATCTTCTTCTCAAGAACCACTGGGCCAGAAAAGCTGAAACTTATATGAAAGCATCCTGGGGTAGTGTAGATATTAAATTGTTAAAATCATGACCCTCGGGGGTAGGGCGGGGCCACAATAGGGAATCCAAGTTTTACATAGAAATATATAGAGCTAATCTTTAAAAATCTTCTTCTCAAGAACCACTGGGCCAGGAAAGCTGTGGAAGCATCCTTGGGTAGTGTAGATATTAAATTGTTAAAATCATGACCCCCGGTGGTAGGGCGGGGCCACAATAGGGAATCCAAGTTTTACATAGAAATATATAGAACTAATCTTTAAAAATCTTCTTCTCAAGAACCACTGGGCAAGGAGAGCTGAAACTTATGTGGAAGCATCCTTGTGTAGTGTAGATATTAAATTGTAAAAATCATGACCCCCAGGGGTAGGGCGGGGCCACAATAGGGAATCCAAGTTTTACATAGAAATAAATAGAACAAATCTTTAAAAATCTTCTCAAGAACTACTGGGCCAGGAAAGCTGAAACTTTTGTGGAAGTATCCCAATGTAGTGTAGATATTAAATTGTTAAAATCATGAACCCCGGGGGTAGGGCGGGGCCACAATAGGGAATCCAATTTTTACATAGAAATATATAGAACAAATCTTTAAAAATCTTCCTCTCAAGAACCACTGGGCCAGGAAAGCTGAAACTTATGTGGATGCATCCTTGGGTATTGTAGATATTAAATTGTTAAAATCATGACCCCCGTGGGTAGGGCGGGGCCACAATAGGGACCAAGTTTTACATAGAAATATATAGAACTAATCTTTAAAAATCTTCTTCTAAGAACCACTGGGCCAGGAAAGCTGTTATGTGGAAGTATCCTTGGGTAATATTAAATTGTTAAAATCATGACCCCCGGGGGTAGGGCGGGGCCACAATAGGGAATCCAAGTTTTACATAGAAATATATAGAACTAATCTTTAAAAATCTTCTTCTCAAGAACCACTGGGCCATGAAAGCTGAAACTTATATGGAAGCATCCTTGGGTAGTGTAGATATCAAATTGTTAAAATCATGACCCCCCGGGGTAGGGCGGGGCCACAATAGGGAATCCTAATTTTACATAGAAATATATAGACCTAATCTTTGAAAATCTTCTTCTCAAGAACTACTTGGCCAGGAAAGCTGAAACTTTTGTGGAAGCATCCTTGGGTAGTGTAGATATTAAATTGTTAAAATCATGACCCCCAGGGGTAGGACGGGGCCACAATAGGGAATCCAAGTTTTACATAGAAATATATATAGAACAAATCTTTAAAAAAGATCTGCATCACCCAAGTTACTCAGGTGAGCGATGTGGCCCATGGGCCTCTTGTTTTTATATGGTTTCTATTTTCAATTGTATAGGGGTATTTAGTTTTGGTTAGAAATTTTTTTTGTTCCTAGTGTGGGTTATGCTGCCTATGTTTGATTTGTTTATATACCTTTAGGATATTAACATTCTGATTTACAGACACTGTACATGATCTCCTGTTTCAGAACTGAGAAGGTAGATAAAGTCATAGTCCCATCCCTAATCATGGACCAATTCAGATATCTGATTTCTCTATCTGTGTGGAAGGAATTGCTGTTTAGTTGTCATTGGGATTTTTTTTATCCAACATTGAAAGTAGAGGCTTTTAATTGACATTTTAAACATTTTTGTGCCAAAGTAGATGTGACATTCCTTTGTAAAATATCAGTCGTTCTGAGACATTTCTTGGTCTCTCTGCATTACAGTGTAAGATCCATTAAATGTAAAACTTAACACATGAGTACCAGAATTATAAAAATGTATCATAATAACTGAATAGGAACTGAAATGAATTGAACCAACACCAGACATTCCGTCCTGTAAAATTATAAATAGACATTAGTAAGATATAATCAAAAGTGTATCATTTAAAAGTATGTAGCCCACTTTGAAACCTGTATGACAAACCATATCATTGTGATGTAGAGAATTTTCAGTATGGTCAATCTAAGTGTATTATCTTTGTTCTACTGGTCATGTTGTTTGTGCCATGCAAAATTTGTGAATTTTTTTGTTGTGAAATTGAGAGAACCATGATTCAAGCAGATTTTTTTTATTACTTGTTCAGGGAAAACTTTTTTGAGCTGTCTAAAGTTTTGAATATTTTGTCCTCATATCTATTTATAAGTTGATATAACTTGGTGTCATCAATTAAGACAGACTGTGCTTATGAATGGCAATTATCAAAGACATTCATTCATTTATATATTCTGTATCACATTTCTTTGCCTTTGTTTTATATTTTCAAGTTTTTCTAAGATTTTATTACATGTATTGATAATTTTAATTTCATTACCAATATAAATACGACATAAAAAATGTACAATTGAATTTTGGGTTGGATTCACATAAGAATTGTTGCTGTTATTTGTGAGGGCTGTGTAAATTTATAATATTGTGATAGAAACAATGGGAAAAAACACTGTTGTTTTGAAACCTGTGCTTTAGGGCTGAACTATTTATAAAAATGACAAAAAGATGACATTAACCATTTTAATGTGATTTTTAAGGAAACCCTTGTCCCATTTTGTAAACCGTCTTTCTTCCCACATTCTACAAATGTCACCATGTCTCTAAAAAAAACATCCCCCCAAATTAGTGCAAGTTTTGCTGACGTTTTTATATACATGTAGATATTGTAGAATTATTCTAAAATCCAAGTGATGGATATTTATCAATTTGAACTAGATTTATATTTGATTGTGATGTTTTCTGTATGGAAAGCCTGACTTACGACCAGTTTCTGCTAGTGGTGATTGTGATAAACACACTGTCATGTGTTTTCATATCATAAAAATGCTTTTGAAATCAGCTGTGATAAAACCAAAACCTACTGTGCTTGTAAATTTGTTTTTATGCCCAATAGGGCCCAGAAATAAATTATAATGATGCTGTTTATCATGTCTTATTTTTGTGCAGGATCCAATACAACTGAGTTAGATTGTTTTACTGATTATCAGAAAATATGCATGGTTTTGATAAATCTCTAATATCACTCAAGAACACACTTATCTACCATTTGTACATGCAAGCGCATTGTATAGTAAGGAAGTTTGAGTTGATATATATGTAGTCTTTAGAGACCAGGTCTTCCAAAAATTTTTGGAATTACAATGGGCACTAATTGTATTCCTTTATTAGCTGACCTGATTTATATGCCTTTGAAGCAGAAACACGGACCTCCAAAACATCAGAGGTGGGATCAGGTGCCATGGAGGGGTGACCATCCCCTGCTGACCGTTCACTCCCACTGTGTGCTTTTTGTCATGATCGGAATATAATTCAATTGTAAATAATGGCCTTACAATTAGTATGAATAACGTCAGTCAGACATACTATTTGTATTCATCTTTGATAACACAGTCACTTTTTTTCGACATTTTTATTTTTTTCAGTTACATCATACAACAAACTTGGAATGTTATTAATATTTATACCAGTCTTTCTATAATTCTTTACCCTGAATTTCTGGTAAGCAGTTATGTTTTGTGCACACAACCTTTAGTTATTTAATTTTGGTAACAATATGAGAATCATTGACTATATAATGCAAACATAGGATACAAATATAAGGGACAATCATTATTTGAAAAAGGGAGATAACTTGTACATCAGGAATTCAGATCTGGCTAATAAGTAGACTTCAACAGACACAATAATGGATATTTCATATAATATGTTTGACAAATCAAAATGCAAACATTCTAAAATAGCACTATATTAAAACATCTATATATTAATGGAAATTAAATATACATACAGATCCATAAAATATGTCCCAGTGCAGTCCTATCATGTACATACATGTACATGTATATAAATATATATTGCATTCTACTTGAGGTAATTTTTATTGACTAAATTTATGTCAAATATAATGATTAATATTTGGGGGGAAATGATTCAAGCAAATGATACAGAACAGAAATAGTAAATATAAGAATTAAAAATTGTTAATGTTAAGCACCAATCAACAATGTCTAGCAAAAGTAGCTTGTAAAACCAAACAGCAGCACAGATCTTACAGTTTCCTCCAGAGCTAATAACCTCGAAGACTTAAGTGGACTTCACACCAGCGATCTGCTCATTCACCGGGTCGTCCACCAGCTGGTTGTGTATGGTCATCAAGTCCTTGAAGTAACGGACGGTTTTGACCTTCAGTTCTAGTGTGGCATCCTCATCACAAACAAAAATAGAACGGGGGTGTTGCTGGAAGGCGGAGACTGTCCACATGTGACACACCCCCTCCTCTATAGCTTTGTGGAGGGCTAGAGCCTTGTGGGCCCCAGTAATCAAAATCATCACCTGTAAAATCAAAGAGTACATAAACTAGTCACCAGGACTGGGCATTTACTTCTGTTATCTTACGTCTTGCAAGAAGCAAAATCATTCATCCCTGGCACTTTTTTATAAGTGTGTTTTGATGAAATACAGATGAGATGGAAAAAAAAATTACTTTGACCTTCCTTTTAACCTTGACCTATTTTTTATGAATTTGCTAATACTGTAGTTCAGTTTCAAAGAAACTTTGGAAGTTATTCTAATTAATCTTCATGTGCTGATACATATTTGCAAGTGCTATTAAACTGCATCAATTTTTTTAACCATGTGACCTTTGCTTGACCTCATTATTAAACTTATTATACTTACCTCCCTGGCATCCATGACTGTCCCCACCCCAACCGTCAGGGCCTGGCGGGGGACCTTGGACATGTCACCATCAAAGAAGCGGGCGTTAGCTATAATAGTGTCCTTATTGAGAGTCTTAATCCTGGTTCTAGACACGAGGCTGGACCCGGGCTCATTGAAGGCAATGTGACCATCTGGACCGATTCCTGAAATACATACAGGAGACTGACCAATACAAAGAGAAATGTTTAATTTTTCACACAGGAAAAACACACTCTCTACAAAAAATATGCAATGCCTCCTATACAAGATACAAGATATATTTGCTTCATGCATATATATAACTTAAAACCTTTTAAAAGTTATACTCCTTCAATACCTCCTATATTATGCACTCCCTACAACTTAGTACCTCCTATATATCAGTGCCTCCTATATATCATGTACTCAGGCTATACAAAAGGCTAAATTTCTCTTATGATACCTACTCCATACAAAAAACCCATAGTTCCATGTAATACATGATTATTTTTCCTTCAAATAACAAAAATCTTCCAGCATCACTAACCTCCAACAAACAATTCTACACCTCCTGCATCTGCAATTTTCCTCTCAAAATCATTGCATTCCTTCACCACATCTGGGGCGTTGCCATCCAGGATGTGGGCATTTTCTGGCTGGATGTCGATGTGTTTGAAGAAATTAGTCCACATGAAGGAGTGATAACTCTCTGGGTGATCTCTCGGAAGTCCTTCAAAAGTCAGTACAAAGAATTAATAATCTTGAAATGTTCTTGTCTTCAGACAATTTAAGAAAAAACCTTATACAAAATTAGATGCAACTCATCAGATTTACTGGTATGGTAAACCTATAGCTTATCTCTGTACATGTTATCATTAGTAGAGATATAACTTACCAACATATTCATCCATGTTGAAGGTCTTGACATACTTGAAGCTCAGGGCCCCAGCTTTGTGGAATTCTATAAGCTTTTTGTACATTCCTAATGGTGTGCTTCCTGAAAGTAAAAATGAATAGATAAAGAGTCACAAATTTTAAGGAGATTTTGTCTATAACGTGGATGAGATACAGATCAAAAGTGAGCAGTATTTGAAACTCACTGTAAAATTAGCTAGACATGGAGGGCTAATAGCTAGTTAAAGTTGTCCGCCCTGCCAAAAATGTTCTAACCCGGAAAAACAATTGTCTTTGATAAGTTTATTTAAAGCAATAATGTGAATGGGGGAAGCTAGATACAATCGATCCTGGATCTGTAGGCTGCATGATGAATTCTGCACGTCTGCTTGTTACATATTGCAACAAGTAATAGCGAGCGCAGCGAGCTCAATAGACTAACGTGTATGAACAGAGGAAATTCGGATTGAAATCTGTACATACGTCAGCCAAATTTCTCTGTGCAACATTCCCAGAATTCCTGCACTACCCAATGTCCTTTGCGCGAATAAATCAAAAATAGTAAAAAAAAAATAATAAAGGAACATTGTTTCTTACCGAAATCTTAACGAAATGATTTTGCCTTACCTTATTCAAAAAAATACCCCCATGCCACAACACCGGCCTTCACCTTGCCCTTCGGAAATGATACAAATGATGTCACCGGATACTTACGAATTTTGACGAAGTTATGTCGGTTGCTTCCGTGAAACTCGGAAAACATGTTGCGGTGCATAGCAACATGGTACATAGCAACAACTTACTTGAAAAGAACGATTTAATGCAATCTCTTTTCCATAAAACTAGCGTTTGCGTCCTAAGTCAACAGAACTTTTTATCTGACGTCATACTTTCGTCACTTCAACGGTTCGGGTATTTCCGATATTGTCGGAAACTTCCGAGAAGTTTGGAATCTCGATCCCGATGCTTGGGAAATGATTTCTTTTTATTGTTTTATTTTATTCTTTTTGCTTTCTTTTTCTTGAATGGTAGACAGTACATGTGTAGGTTTATGATAGTAAATAAACTGCGCTCGCCCCAACGGTCACACCGTAAAACATATTACTAGTAATAACAGATTACAAGGACCTATTTGTATTACCTGTAGGTAGACCCAGGGTGAAGAAATTATTGGGTCCAGGATTATAGTCTAGGATCCTCCTCCTTATGTACTTGGCTGCCCACTCACTGACTTTGTCATAGTTGTCTAGAATCGCCAACTTCATCTGTAACAGGGATGTATTCAAATAAACATAATTTTTAAAATTACACCTACAGAAAAAACTCCAAAAATGTTTTAATACCACAACTTTTCATTTACCCAATGTCACTATGTGTGCCATATTGATATTGCACGTTTAAAATCATTACATTATTTTAAATTATGTGTTTGTCTTTCAATGAAAGATACACAAAAATAAAATATACCGTCGGGTTTTTTCTTTCTATTCGGTAAGTGGTGTATTTCTTCTTCGTTCTTTGTCACAGGACGTTGAGTGGAGACCAAAACAGCTGATACTAACGTAAACTGGTTCGTCATTATTACGACTTCGTAATGGCATCTTAAATATTCAACGTTCGATGACAATGGATTTGATGCAACAAAAAGTAAACCTATCAAAATTTTCTAACAATAAATGATTGTAAATTTTAATGAACACATTTGAAAGTCCCTAATGTCGTTAATTTTGATGTCGTAAATGTAAAGTGAAAGTAAGACCCACTTGTGTTATGATGGCTGCAAGAATCTGCAGACAGTTTGTCCGTAACACTTTTAGTTTTGTTTCTAGGAATAAGCATGTTTTAAGATTTGATCAAGCAATAGAAAGTAAATCTCTGCCTAAATACCACCTAAAATTCTTAAATTTGAACAAATATCAGTCATTTTTAGCCCGATATATCGGTGCTAGAAGTAGGACAAGATTAAAACACGTGTTTGGGACCGGTACTTTTATCTGTGCTGTAGCATACTGTTATAATGGGTCTAAAAACAGTAAGTAAAAAAAATGACGACTTGATATGTTAAAGATGGGACAGTAATTGATATAAAACAGAACAGTGATGACATTTATTATTCTTGTTGCATCATCAATGTTAAAACAGAATAAAAGAATGTTCGCGAAAATTCATGAATATTTCGTAAAATGAAAACATGAAAACGATGAACTGTGATTTGTTTTATTATAAACTAGGGCCAACGTAGGCTATTATGTGAATTAATGAGTCAAATATCATCTATATTTCACAGACGCAGCTCAACTGCTTTCAAGTGCACGAAGAAAAGATTATGGAGAGGTAGAAAGGTATTAATTTAACTGAAATTCATCATATCTCTATCACAATTATAAAAGATTAAAGACCATGTAAAGCTGCCAATCAGCTCAACATTACAGCATAACACAACTTCAGATTGGAATTATTTTTTTCCTCCAGGGTCATAAAAAGTGGGGTGGATGTTAATTCCAGGCATCAGCTGGGGTGGACAGCACTACATGTGGCTTCAATCAATCATGACTCTAGGTAATAGCTACAAAGCAACAGCTCTTTATATCTAATCTTATACTAAGAGAAGGGGTAAACCCCAAATTTTCCTATTGACTTATAACTGACCATCTAATATTCCTTCCCAAAAAATATGACCCTTTTATCAGACTTCAAACCAAGTGACATCAAAATATTGAAAGCCCCAAAAAAACCATAAGTCCAGTAGGTTTTGGGTGAAATACAGAACTTCCCATTAATTTTTGAATAACTCTTTGATCTCTCAATAGAGGATCTACTATCTAAATCATATAGGTACAATGTAATAACTTCCTTCTATAGACTTGTGGAACTCCTTTTAAAGTTGGGAGCTGATCCAAACCTTGGAGATGAATATTCTACATTCTATTCCATGGCACGAGAACAAAGATTCGATCCCATGAGTGGTAAGACACTGAAAACATACTTATTTTTCCAATGGGTCATCATTCCACAGAACTGCAATTTCTGTTTAATCTAGGAATAGAAAAATATAGGATTTCACGAACTGTCATTTGAGTTTTTTTAATGTACTTGTAATATGCTTTGAGAAATTTTACTGGATATCGTAAAATGTACGATATCCAGTAAAATTTCTCAAAGCATATTACAAGTTAAAGCAGAATTTTTAGTGAGGATTTAATTTTGGCATTATTAGCAAGGTCGCTGAGATCACTAAAATTGAATATCAGTAATATCAATTGCATTTTATTTGTAATAGTTCTTCAGGAAACTTTTTAAAATTGCTAAAATTGCATTTTGCTAACAATAAAATACCAATTTTTAAGGACAAATCACTAAATTTGCGTCTCTCTAAAATCAAAAGTTAATTTCCAATCATATGGTAATTTGTGACATCATATACATAATTAAAATCATGTACAGTAAAAAGTATGTCTTACAGTACATTCCTGTAGTTGATTTGAAATCTTTAATTTGCCTTCAGTTCTGGAGGTCAGAGAGGAGCAGTTCAATAACCGCCTCAGTCAGAGAGCCAACTTTAAAGGCTGCACCCCTCTACATTATGCCGTCCTGATGGAGGACTTCACCATTGTTAAAATGCTGCTCGATGCAGGTAAGAAACTTAAAAATTAGAGTAGAACTAAACCAAATAATCTATGTTACCCAGAAGTTCAAGACTTACTAGATCATGTTTTATACTAACAATAGTTAAAAAAATATTTTAAAAATAATTAGGGCCCCGCAAGGATTTGCGGGTGCCCTATAGTAATCACTCTGTCTGTCTGTCTGTCCGTCTGTCTGTCCGTCTGTCATTCTTCCGTCCACAAATTTTCTGTTTTTTTCTAATAACTTTTTTTATTGTAGTCCAATTAAGTTCAAATTTCGTATGGTAGTTCAGTAGGCAAAAAGACATATTTTGATGCTAAGTTTGTTTCTCTATGTCCTCTGGTTTGGAGCTGGGGTGGTGGGGTAGATTCCTTAACTTTATGTAAGAATGAATTGGCAAAGAGAGATAACTTCTGAAAATGTTCCCATTGTAAACTGAATACTGGCAATGAATGAGTCCCTTGGGATTAATTAGCTTTCCTCCTGAAGAAAATCCAAAGCATTATCTTTATCTGTCACATTGAGATTAATTACCACCTCTGTCTGCAAATGAAGTTTGTTTTGAAGTTAAGTCCATTTGGAATGCTATGAACACTCTGAAATGTTGATTGAAGTATAAATGTTTTTACTTTATTTTTGTTGAAATACCCTACACAATGAGTTCTGATTTCATTGAATTCTAAAAACAAGAAATAGATTAAAGAAGACATATTTTTTTCATTTTTATTTATTTATTTATTTTATTATTTTTTTTTTTTGCTTCATGAAAATTCAAGAATATTAATTTTTAAGGCAGTAGGATAAAAACCTCATTCTATCTTTACTGAAAAGTTCTTATTATAAATTAAGAAGAAGATGATGAGAGAGAAGTACAATTAATCCCTTGGGATTAATTATCTAGTCTGCTGCAGAAAATTTAGAAGGCTTATCTTTATCTTTCATTTTAAGATTAATGAAAACCTTTGTCTGCAACTGCTGTTTGTTTTGAAGTTAAGGTCAAGCCTTCATGATATGTATTTGCATTCATTGAAGGCTGGCATTTTATATAACACAAGCTTCATTATTGTTTAGATATACATTCAGTGTTGAGTTGTTCTTTACTGGCTTATGTAAAATAAATAGAAGGATATTATTTACAGGTTTTTGGATATTCAGGAATTATCTTGAAATTTTAAAAATACAGTTGCTTTTTCTTATTAGTCATATATTTTTTAATCATCCCATAAGCTGCACCCTTATAATTCTACCCCATGGTGGGGCCCTTGCTGACTGGTCAGTTTTCTAGTTAGCAATAGGCAAGAGAATCTATTCATTGAAGTAAAAACTTTTCATTGATATTGCTTTATTGTACTTAGCTTATCTATTATCTATGCCTGTAGGAGCAGATCCAACTCTTGAAAATGTTAATGGCCACAAACCTATAGACTACACCAAAAACCAGTCAATGCAAAACATTCTTACAAATGCAGAGAGCAAGGTATGGTCATTTAGTCTAGTGCATAAAGGAATTGAAATGTGCATGGTGTACTGAGGTTTTGAAATGTGCTATGTAACAGAGATAATTTTGTGCATCAGCTGGGGATTGAACCCGGGGCCTCTGGCTTCAGTGCTCTACCAATTGAGCTAAAGAGTTAACCCACTAGCCCAAGCTAGTAGGATGCTGTGTATCTTACACTACTACACTATAGCTTTTGATCTTTAGATTTTTACCTTTTATTTTTGTTTAGTTTTTGGAGCTGAAAGAGAAGAGGGCTGCAGAAGAGAGGAGAAAGTTCCCCCTGGAACAGAGACTGAGAGAGCACATCATAGGGCAGGACGGGGCCATTAATATTGTTGCTGCAGGTAAGACCAGGGAAGGATTGGGGGGCATTATATGACAGGGGGCCATAAACATTGTGGCTGCAGGTAATTACAAGCATCCTAGGGGTTGGGGGAACTTGGTGTAGGGCAGGCAGGATGGGGCCATTATTTTTATCACTGCTGGTATGTATCATAAAGAGGGATTGGATGAAGACATAGGGTAGGGTGGGGCCATTTATATTGTCACATCTGATAAAAGCATCCCTTGGACTACATGGACACAGATTAAGGTGTGATGATGCCTTTAATATTATTACTGCTGGTTTGAGAGAAGACAGCACAGGGCAGGATAGGGCCATCAATAATTTAGACCTATGTATAATTATCAAAGAATCATAGAAGAAAAAGATACGAATTTATCATAGGGTAGGACAGGACTAGATTGTTTATAGTGAATGGATACATGTACTCATCTCTGTTATTGTTTTGTAGCAATAAGACGTAAGGAGAATGGTTGGTATGATGAAGACCATCCTCTGGTTTTTCTGTTCCTGGGATCCTCTGGAATTGGTAAGTTTTCTGGGATCCTTTGGCATTGGTAAGTTTTCTGGGATTCTCTGGTATTGGCAAGTTTTCTGGGATCTTCTGGTATTGGTAAGTTTTCTGGGATCTTCTGGATTTGGTAAGTTTTCTGGGATCTTCTGGTATTGGTAAGTCTTCTGGGATTTTCTGGTATTGGAAAGTTTTCTGGGATCTGCTGGCATTGGTAAGTTTTCTGGGATCCTCTGGTAAGTTTTCTGGGATCCTCTGGTATTGGTAAGTTTCTGGGATCTTCTGACATTGGTAAGTTTTCTGAGATCTTCTGGCATTGGTAAGTTTTATGGAATCCACTGGTATTGGTAAGTTTCTTACCAATTGATTATTCATTTAATTTAGCTTTGGTTAATAAGATGCCTTGAATAAATACACAAAACTTAGAAAATGATCTAATCAATGTTCCAAAACAAGTCATTTCCCATCTTTAAGCCCCTTCAGATGTTAGGAATCACAGGACTTTTCCATCTTTCTCTTTGAGATTTTAAAGGCTCATGTTTTACTGCCATCCATTGTAGGTAAAACAGAACTTGCCAAGCAGGTCGCCAAGTATCTCCATAAAGACATCAAAAAGGTAAAAATAAATCTCTCTTCTGTATATAAGTAGCATTTTTATTGTGGAATTTTCGAGTTTTTGTTGATGGACTATAATTAATATTGAGGCTTTCAATTGGATTTTTTCAGGGATTTATAAGAATTGATATGTCAGAGTACCAGGAAAAACACGAGGTGAGAATTTCTCTCAACTCAAACTTTTATTTATCCCAGACATTTGAGATGATGTAATTTTATTAAAAAAAAAAATTCATTTAAATTGAATCTGTAAAAATGTGTAATGGTAATCAATAGATGACAACTAAAGAAAAGTAAATTTCCTTTGTATTGATCAGTCACCTTTATTTGTTTAAATAGCCATTAAACAGAGATATTGAATGTTCATTTCTTTGTATATATCTTTGTTCTTCTTCAATCCATCTAAATGTGATAGCATAAACGTTATATATTTTTTACAGCTGACTAAATTTAGATATGTTTACTGTACATGTACTTCTTTACATTTAGATATGATAATTTACATGTTATCCATTTTTATACAGGTGGCTAAATTTATTGGCTCTCCCCCTGGGTATGTTGGACATGAGGAGGGGGGACAACTCACCAAAAAATTAACAGAATGTCCGCAGGCTGTAGTTCTGTTTGATGAAGTGGAAAAAGCACATCCAGACGTACTGACCATCATGTTACAACTGTTTGATGAGGTGAGGACTGAGTGGGGTTGTATGTTGGTGCTGTGTGTTGTTGATGTTTTACTGTACATACGATGGTAATTTTTTTTTTTGCATTATGTTTGCCTGTTGTGGTGATTTTCAACATGGACACTTTGTTCATATGATTAAATCTGGGATTCAACCATATTGGTTCAAAGATAATTTTTAGCAATTTTTGTAGATTTGAAATACTGTAACAACATGTGTTAATCATCAAGACTACATTGATTAATTTTTAGGGTCGACTGACAGATGGTAAAGGTAAAACTATCGACTGTAAGGATGCTATTTTTATCATGACCTCTAACCTGGCCAGTGAGGTCATTGCCAGTCATGCGTTACAACTACGAGCAGAAGCAGCAGAATACAATAAACGGAAAGATGCAGAGACTCTGGGTAATTTTCTGTAAACACTGTCTGTACTTCATTGTGTAAAGAAAATGGCTTTGTAATTTAGATGCTGAGTAATAAATTATTTAAGATACATTATTACATATATAAAGAAGTTGAGTACAGTGGACCCTCATTTATCCGGACGCTTTGGTTCCCAGTCAATTTGTCCGGATATGTGAAGCATCCGGATATCTGAATCGCCAGTTAAACAAGACAAAATGACATTTAAAAATTTCGTTCCGAAGAAAAGTCGTCCGGATACTGAAGCATCCGGATATTTGGTGTCCGGATATCTGAGGGTCCACTGTACTATCAAAATTATACAAGTTTTCTGAAATTGATATAAATGTGTACACCATTTGTAGAGGAGTTGGAGGCAGCAGAGAAAATCACTATTTCTAGAAAATTTAAAGACGATGTTGTACGACCAATTTTAAAGGTAAGAACCAAAAAAATTATTAACTTGTAGGACATAAGAAATGTAAATGATATCAATAAATGGTGAAACCATTATTAATAATTTCTGTTTAGATGGCTTTCAAGCGGGATGAGTTTTTAGGCAGGATCAATGAGATTGTATATTTCTTACCGTTTTCCCGCTCAGAACTGAGTAAACTGGTCACTAAAGAACTACAGTACTGGGCCAACCAGGTTTGTAGCTTCATTGATTTTGTTCACATACATGTGCACAACATGCCTACAAGTACTTTACCTTTAGTGCCGTTTAAAAATGTTGAGACACAACAGTTTTTTTTATTTGTCATCAAATTAATTGTTTTTATTTAGGCAGAGAAGAAGCATGACATAAAGTTACTATGGGATCACAATGTGGTGGACGTACTGGCTGACGGGTATGATGTACATTACGGGGCCCGCTCTATTAAATACGAGGTATGTTTACAGTGCTGTAATATGATATATTTAACATTTCTTTTAACACAAGTTTGTTTACAGTGCTGTAATATAGGACATGTTTACAAGGGATATGTAATAGATGTTTTGTATAAAAATTATGTCTAATCACATTGAAACGCTTTAAAATAGTTTACATTAATAATTGCTAAAAATTATGATTCTTGAATACTAGTATTTATATTAGAATAATAGAAGTTTGAGAAATTAATACTTATAAATTTAGATATAAAACCCTTCTTACTTTGACCCTAGGTTGAGAGGCGGGTAGTGACCCAGTTAGCGATGGCCCACGAGAGACAGCTGATAGGGAAGGGGTGCGTGATCCGACTGTCAGCCTCTAATGCTGAGGACCTGACAAAGTCTGACAAATCATCAGAGGACCCTCCGACAATTAAATTACAGCTGCTACAGAAAGGAAAGGGAGATAAATATGTAGACATTAACCTCAGAGGGGGAGATAATCCGTTCACAGAGGGGTTCAAATGAGACAGTTGCATAAGGCGGAGTGCTTGTTTCTTTGTCTTTCTAGTTTGCAGCCAATATCTTGGATATGGTTGTTTTTCTTTAAGAAAAAATATTTGAATCAATGTAAAATGTTGCATTGACTGCAAGATATTCAGTTTTTAAAAAAATACATTTTATGGGCATATCTATCCTTTCATATCATATTACAGTGCTGCTTCCTATTTGTTGTAAACTTTATTTTTTCTTATATTAAAGACATTACAATGATTAATACAGGTTTAAACCTTTCTTTCCAAAATGTAAAATGTTTATATATACATGTAATACAAATGGTGCTGAGATGCATTACAAAACATACTATCAATGCAATTAGTGAAGCTTTGATTTTTTTTTTTACAGATGTGTATATTATTTGAATTAGTGTTTTGAATGATTTTTGGTCACTTGAGTCATTTAGGTGACTTCATGTTATATGCTGTTTTGCATTTTCAACCAATTCATAGCATTTATTGATGAAGGGAAACAAAAGCATTAATTTTGTTGCTTTTTTGCTTTCGAGCATTAAACTTGCATTTATTTCTATATATTTTAAGATTGATCATGGTTTGTGACTGGGTACAATTTTTATCCATTTTTTATGTGTTCTTATGTATTTTGAAAACCAGTAATTTAATGATATAGGGATATACATATCCATTTTGTTATGGAAAACTTGCTTGTATGGCATAAAATCTGCATAGCATTAAAGTAAGGTTGTATTCAGTACAGAAATTTACTTTTGTTATCCATAATGCAGATCAGACCCTAAACTTGTATGGTTTGACTTGGCTCAATTCTTTGATTTGTGGGAGTTAAAATTGCTGATCTTCTGGATATCTTTTTACAGCACTGTAGCCTGACAAGGCCAGTAATATTTTACAGCTCTGTTCATATCTAGATCAATAACATCTGATCTGGCAATATCTATTTATAGCTGTGAAGCTATACAAAGCCAGTAACATTGTCAGCTGATATATGTCTAAAGCTGTCAAGTTTGAGAAGACTGGTATTCATTTACAGCTGTATACTGTAAATCACTTTTTATTCGCAAGAACTTTATTTTCGCGTAATTACGCGGGATGGAATGCTCGTGAAAATTTCATTCTCGCGTATTATAGAATTCCTTAAGATTGTATAGAGCAATGACCCCAATTAGTGAAAATTTTGTCTCTCTAATAAAGAGTCAATGACTATTTCGCGAAAATAAGGTATCGCGAAAATTAAGTGATCTACAGTATTGGTAAGGGGTTAACAGCTGTAAACTGTGACAAGGCTGATAACATTTACAGCTGATCTGCTACAGTTTACGGTTATGAAGTGTAACATGGCCTGTAATTATTTCAGCTGGTCCGCTATCAGTTTAAAGCCATAAAGTGTGACAAATTCAGTAAAATTTTACAGAGAAATATGGAGATAACAAACGGTATTCAAACTAGCTTAAAAGTCCACTCATCTTTATAACCTTGCATTAGGATGCAAAACCTCTTACCCAAGAAAAACACTTGAAATTTTAGGAATAGGATCTACATGTATGTGAATCTTTACAAAACTGAATCCGCAAGTTCTATAATGACAAAATACTTGTTGCGAATAAAAAAAGTTTAATATCACTCAAAGCAAATATTGTCATAACAAATTATATAATGCATGCTATGCAACAGCAGACAAAAGCTTAAGTCAACAAAATAATAAACTATTAACTTTCACCTAAATCTCATTCATACCACAGAGCCCAGACCTAATGGACAGAAAACTTCAGGCAGATAGTGCAAGCTGGACAAGGGAGGTAATCCCAGTAATGGTAAAAACTGACATGCTGTGAGATTTAGTTTCCCCCTATTGTGGAAATGAATAATATGTACCACCATGTGAAAACATATCTTAAAGTATTAATGCAATTTTGTAAACCAAATAGATGTAATTCAAAAGGGAACTATTTTCACTGTATAAAGATGATAAGAAAATAAGACATCATTTATGTATTACTACGTGTATTTGAAATCTGGTTATATAAGTTGTAACAAGAGGCCCATGGGCCTTATAGGTCACCTGAGCATTATGCAACAATTTTCCAGTGATTGAATTTGATTCATGTTTTAATCCAGGTGCTATGGCATTCACAATTTTGAAAGAGGCCCCATTGATCATCATAACAATACACTTAGCAGTTGCTTAGTTTGTTTACTTAATACCCATAGGCAGGGTAGGGGAACAAAAAATGCATTTCAAGTAATCAGTAATATTCAGCATGATCAGTAATGCCCCAATTACACATGAACCCCTCACCCTTAGGCCTAGATCCACACATTGCACAATTTTTGAAAAGGCACCCTTGCTTTTCAAAAATATTTGATTAATACCAAGGAGCATATTTCGAACAATTCATCCAGTTTCAGTATACAAGTACAGCCCCCCCCCTCCTTTATGGTACCCCTGACCCTGGGGCCTTGAAATTCACAATTCTGGAAGATTAGTACCCTTGCTCATCATAACTATATAGGTAGTTCATCTGCTTAATACCAAGGAGCAGAGAAGAAAACTTTCAAAGATTCAATGTATTTTCACTATATAATTAATAGAGCCCCACCCTATCACTAGAACCCCTGACCCTAGGGCCATAAAATTCACAATTTTTGAAGAGGTATTCTTGCTCATCATAACTTTGTAATTAGTTTATTTCATTCCTAGGAGCAGAGAAGAAGATTTTCAAAGAATTCATGTATTTTCACTATATAATCTATAGAGCCCCCCCCCCCCCACCTTACACCAAAACCCCTGACCCGTGGGCCATAAAATTCACAATTTTGGTAGAGGCACTCTTGCTCATCATAACTATGCACTTAGTTAGTTTATTTAATACCCAGGAGCAGAGAAGAAGATTTTCAAAGAATTCATGTAATTTCACTATTATAATCTATAGAGCCCCACCCTTACACCAGAACCCCTCACCCTGGGGCCATAAAATTCACAATTTTGGTAGAGGCACTCTTGCTCATCATAACTATGTACTTAGTAGGTTTATTTAATACCCAGTAGCAGAGAAGAAGATTTTCAAAGAAATAATGCATTTTCACTATATACTTATTTAGCCCCGCCCTAGCACTAGAACCCATGACCCCGGGGCCATGAATTTCACAATTTTGGTAGAGGACTCAATGTTGATTACAATCATGCAAACAGTTTGATTGCTTAATGTCCTGGAGTAAAGAAGAAGATTTTTAAAGATTACACTAATTTTAGTGGTTTTTGCCCCACCCCCAGGCCCCAGGGGGGCAGGGACCATGAAATTCACAATTTTTGTTCCCCTTTACCCATAGATGCTATATGCCAAATTTGGTTGAAATTGGTTCAGTGGTTTCAGAGAAGAAGCTGAAAATGTTCAAATGTTAACGCACGACGAACGACGGACGACGACGGACGAAAAGTGATAGCAATAGGTCACCTGAGTTTACTCAGGTGACCTAAAAAGCATGAAGTACAATGATGCTGAAGTCTGTATTTTATATCCACCATTTACATATGAGATTCACTCAGTAAATCCCATAAGTATAGTCCTGTACTTTATAACAATACCATGACATAACAGTATACATAGCACCCGATATAATGGGACCAGTCATAATTTATCACAGATACTCAATCAGCAAATTCTCAAAATATAACTTATAAAAAAAACTATATTGAAAACATTCCTGCAGAAATGTACTTGTAACGATAGATAATTATCATATCCTGTAATTTTTTTAATCTTTGTCTTGTTTAACAAATTTAATGGAGACATCAGAAGACAAATCGGGGTCCGCTACTGTCAAACCCCGATGACCCCCCCACAGCTCCAAGGGGGCCCCAGGTCTTTGTCCTGTTTGCTGGAGACTTTAGAAGACAAATCGGGGTCCACTGCTGTCAAACCCCGATGACCCCCCACAGCTCCCCGGGGGCCCCTGGTCTTCGTCCTGTTTAATGGAGCCATCAGAAGACAAATCGGGGTCCACTGCTGTCAAACCCCGATGACCCCCCACAGCTCCCCGGGGGCCCCTGGTCTTCGTCCTGTTTGTAGAACCAGGAGGAGGTCTGGGAAACAGGTCGCTTCCGAGAGGCTCTCTTCTGTTCACTGACTTCTTGTTCCTGCAAGACAGAAGGATAATGCTCTTTAATGCAACCCAGGGAAAATAAAACTATGTTGACACCTATATTAATTACTTATTATCTATAGGTTGGGAACATTACATAAGTTTGAAAATCTTTGTTGGTTGCATTTTGTTATCTGTGTAAGTAACATAAGTATGCAGAATATTTTGATCATGTGATGGTACAGGTAACATGTAACTATGGAGATTACCTGTAGATACAGAGCATTGTCCTTGCTGACTAATTGTCTCAGTTTATCCTGGAGGGGTGGGTCCACCTCTGACGGTCTGATGGATTTATTTAGATCCACCCCTCCGTTCTCACTATTCTGGGGGTCAATTCTCTTGTAGAACAGTAGGTAGGCGGTGTCCTTTGTGAATCTCTGAGTAACGCTACAGAAGGAGTTATACTGGGCGTACGACACACGGTTATCATTAAACAGGTACCACTTATCCTGTAGGAAGTCAATACCATCCTCGTCTGTACAGTCCGATAATGTCGTCATCACAGACTCGGGATCCTGAAACAGCGAGTGTCGGGAGTACGCGTAATAATGTCCCGACTCAGAAGATGTCCCAGAATGCACCACTACAGCGTTAAGGCCGTACACCTCCCCTTTCTGGGTGTTTAGATCCACCCCACATTTCTCTATCTGTCTAGACACAGCACTCCTGAGTGACCTCCGTGAGTTGGCATTCTTCGTTTCTGTGGCCTGATTTTTGGGTAATATAAGAGTCCGCGGGTATTTGACCTCCTGGAATATCTTTGACCTGGCGTGTATTTTAGGGTCGTAGGAGAACCGTAGGAGGGTGACGATGAGGTGTTCTGGGGGCTGAACGATTGAGATCCTCCTCTCCCCGTCCTGTAACGACTCACACTTATCACAGAAGTACTGGTTATCCCCCGTCAGCCTCTCCGGCTTCAGGTAATACTGCAGCAGGTCGTTCAGGTGTAAACACTGGGTTTTGGGCTCAGTCTCTGGTTTGGTTTTATCTCCGGATTCCTGAGTGATGATTGGTTTATACTCTGGGAAAGCAAGAGGTATGTCTGAGAATTCTTCTTTACGTGACGACTGGGTTTTACAATTTAAACACGTGACCGTTGTTACCATGATTCCCCCAAAATGATCCTCAATAAGTGACGTTATCACAGATTTCTTATCACAACTGTCCGTATCAGTAGCCGTTTCCTCTGTCGCCTGATTTTCACTGTCTGCCAATTCCTTGGCCAGCTTCTCTTTTTTCTGTCGCGTGCGTTCCTGCTCGTGGATCTGATCCAGAAGATATCGTAGATACTCAGAGCAGTCTTGCTGGTGTCCCGCCACAAACCAGCTGGGTCTCGTCATACGACTAAACGTCATAGGGGCATAGGCAGGTCGCTATCAACAGAAGAATAGTTCATAAATCTAAAATAAGTACACATCTATAAATTTTTAATATCTGAGATATTAAAAGATTGATTTCTTTGAAATTTTGGGGACACCACTTTACATTTCATCAACACATACCCGTACCAGTTTTTAACTTTTTGGTTGTTGTGTGTAACAGTTATCCAATTTTTGTTTCTAAATAAATGAATGTTGCCTTGTGTAAGGTGCATTGTTATAACTAGTCACACGATATCAAGGACACTAACTAGGACCTGAAACTTGCTGAAATACTGATTTCTGTTACATTGATCATTACCTGAGTCTGGCTGAGGAAGGCAAACACCTGCTGTAACTGTGAGATGACTGGTTGGTCTGGAGAGGCCTGATATGACAATGTATCCCTCCTAAAGCTGAAATCATACACATAAAGTCATGAGTTGATTATGAAGATAAAACGAATCTACTGTAACAGTGATGATAAGGTACAATTATACATTACAGATTATACCAGTATTCCATAACTGAAACCAAAACAAACTGACAAAAGAAAGTGAATGTTAGTTATAAAATAAATGAATGAATAAAAACTCACATATAATATAACCACTGACCTGTCACACATGAAGAGAGCTTGTAAGATGCTGTTCATAAAACAGGTGTTCCCCAGGTTAAACAGTCCAGTCTTCCCGGTCTCTGACCTTTGAGTGACCTTTGACACATATTTAGAGGTACCCGATTGCTGGACTTGCCAGTGACTCTCTTCAAGTCGGGATTTGATTTCTTCTGAACTGGGGGCAATTCCCTACAAATTACAAAGATTTTATATATTGTAGATCACTTAATTTTCACGACACCTTATTTTCGCGAGATAGTCATTGAATCTTCATTAGCGCGACAAAATTTTCACGAATTGTTGTCATTGCCCTATATAATCTTAAGGAATTCTATTATACGCGAGAATGAAATTTTCACGAGCATACCGTCTTGCGTAATTACGCGAAAATAAAGCTCTCACGAATAAAAAGTGATTTACAGTAAATTGTAAAAATTTGTAAACAGACTTAGGCAAATGTCTTTTATTTCATATAAAAAACCATTTAATTAAAAAATACTATTTTATTACTACCAAAAATTCCTTACAAAGATTTAAGATAAGTTTCTTCTACAAAAATTACATAATGAGGAAGCAATCAAGGAATTTCAATTTATTCCTTATAACCTAGACAAGATAACTTAGTTCCTTATACAGAAGTATCTCCAGATTCTCTTGACCTGAACAAACGGGGAAGATATCCTTGTTTCTAGTATACAGTATTGTCAAAGGACCATCTTATCATTGCCTGTCCTTGGGTGCTATGATTTGTTTCCCTTTGGTTTACACCAAGTGTGTTAATACATGTATATTTATTTAAGAGAATCTGATTGGGGTAGGCTGCAGGCAATGTCTATAAATGGCCTCTGCAGTATATTACCTTAAGTGCCACCAATATTGGGTCATACAAATCAGGGTACCCAACAGTAAATGTAGTACTTGAACAGTCTCGAGTATCGGGATGTATTACCTTAAGTGCCTCAAGTATCGGGTCGTACAGATCAGGATAACCAGCAGTAAACGTATTACCTGAACAGTCTCGAGTATCGGGATGTATTACCTTAAGAGCCTCCAGTATGGGGTCATACAGATCAGGGTACCCAGCGTGGAGGAAGAAACAACAATGTAACAGATCTGACAGCTGTTTTAACATGGTGGTATTTTCCTTGGTCAGGATCTCAATGATTTTCACCATCTGGGGGAGGATCTACAAGACAGAAAGGCGGAACATGAAGGACAACATTCTGTTCTTTAAAAACAGCAGAACGCTGCCTTATAAAATGTTCACTTTACTGACATTTTCCCTACTTAGTAGCACTCATTGTTTATAGTGGTTCCAACCAGTGCGTAATTGATGACAGACAAGCATATACACAAACAGAAGTTTAGGTCTTGAGTAGAAAGTAAAGAATCTTGTAAAACATAAAATGTTCTCATGAGTTTAATAATGACTAACCTTATGGAAAGGTTCAGGTGAGTGTTGGAAGCCAAGTAACATGTGAGTGAGTACACTCAATGCTCCCTCTCGGACAGCAGAAAACTCCAGCTTCTGACAAACCTGTTGTAAAAATAACGCAAAATTCACTTCAAAGGATAATACAAGTTTTAAATTGAGACTAATCAAGATATTTTCAGCTTTGCAGTACCTTTTTTAAAATAATGAATCAAAAGAAACATAATCAATGTAACTTGTTTTAACAAAACACATAACAGATAATCAAAAAATCAGCCATATTTTCCCAATTCTGAATCTTTTTTTCCCAATTTTGTATTCTTAATTTTTTTAGAGTGTTTAGAAAGAAGTACAATACTTTGTTTCCCTGCAAGACGTCTGAAAATCTCAACAGGTGTCAACATGCAATCGTATCTTTGAGCTATATCATTATTTTTTTAACTTGTTAACTCTTTATATCTACAGTTGTTTAAAACACATAATTTTCATTTATTGTAACAAAATTGGTCCTTTTTAAAATTTTCCCAATTTTATCACATTTCGTAATTTTCCCAATTCTATGAAAGTTGTGCAGGAAAATCAAAGAGAGAATCCTACCTGCTCAACCTTTGTCTCTGTTACAGTAATTAAAATGCTGTATTTTTTGGCGCCAGCCAGACTTCGGAAAAAAGTGATGATCCACATGTGTACGTTAGTGGCTGTCGGCCACTGAAGCCAGTCCACCACTCTCTGTAGTGCTGTTGTCATTCGCGTATTGTCAACATTTGAACCTATTGCATACTTAACAATGACTTCTATCATTTTCTCAGGGATATTACGAACCACTGCACCAAGACAAAAAGAAGGCTCTGTTTCTTCTATAGCGGATATTATTCCAAAAATAGCTTTAAGGGAATCCATAATCACATCGGAGTCAGCATTGTTCCAAATATCATGAATCAGGAAACAAATTCGGTCCACATTCTTAATGTACTTAAATATTTCTGTGTGATCCTGGGGAATTGAACACATGCTTAGAGAGTGAATCAGTGACACACAAAACGTAGAGACAAAGTCACCTTTTGGAAGACATTCCCTAAATTTAGATAAAAAGTTAACAAAGTTTGTCAAGCAGTCGATAGAGGGATGTTCTCTAACATAACTAATGGCTTTGGCTTCCACCACTTTAACATGCCCAGAGTAGGAGGACGACCTCTGTAATAACTCCATACTGGCCTCCAACAACAATACAGCGTTCGCTTCCTGTTTACCTCTGTATGAAAACAAAGACAGGAGAAACTCACGGTCAAAAAAAGCCTCAAATGTTTTCAGGTTGTATTTTGCCCAAGAAATGTACACTTGCAGTCCCTCGGATACGGCGATGTCGGACTCTCCCTGGAGAAACCATGAAGACGAGATCTGTAGTACGGAGCGAATGACGTGAACCGGCTGGGGTTTGGAACTGTTCTCCGTTACCTTGGTTATCAGTTTCTTCTTCAGGGAGTCCGAATGCTGGGATGTGAGAATGCCATTCAATATTGCATCCATTTTTCTAAAATTAAAAAAATATACAAATATACTTTGTACTCATTTTAAGCAAGCTGCATGACCATTAGGACTCATGGAATGCATGTAGTTTATAATTAGGACTCATGGAATGCATGTAGCTTGTAAAATGAATAACTCCTGAGGTTAGTTTGGTCACCATTTGATTCCCATTTGGATAAATCTATGAAGCGCCGATTTGGTATTTACTGGCAAAAAGTGATATCACCTGTAACAGTAAGTGATATCACCTATAAGAATAGGGTGAATTCACCATGCATTGGACACCCTTGTACTTCAACAAGTTCTATCGATATCTCTACCGACGTAAAATTATCAGAATGGAGCTTAACATTAAGCATGTGATTAAAATAGAAATTTGGGACACAAATACATGCCTTTTATTGAGAAAATATCCTCAAAAATCGAGTTTTTAAAAATAACTCAGAATTCACCATGGATCGGATATTATTTACCATGCATCGGACAGACGGTATTTGGACCCTGAAAATATCATAATTTTATCACAGTGCTTTAAACTCCTTGATATGGATATACTTTTATCTTTTATCTAAGAAATAATCCTCAACTTAAATTTAACTGACGATATCGTTGCACAAATGTAGAACGATTCAAGATACCTCACTCTGCCTTAGAAATGCTTTAAAATGCTTGTAATGCGGTAATTCGCGCCTTTTTCTCATGGTTTATCATATGCTGGTTTGTAGAAATAAATTGAGTCAAATTCTAGACGTCATATATCGATAACTTGTATTTTGACAGAAAATATAGAGTTTTTATTTTCTATTTCCGCAAAAAACAGCTGTCAATTGGGTTCTGTATGAAAATGGTCATCGTTACCTTTGCATCGGAAAGTGTCCAATGCATGGTTAATTTGTGTCCGATGTACGAAGAAATGAACATACTAGTAAAAACCAGCTCTAAAAAGAATTATACGAACATTGAAGTGAAATTTCTTTAAAATTTATGTAAAATTACCAATCTTTAACAAAATTCACCAAAGTCTGACTCCTTCCGTTGAAGTCAAATTTAAAAAACGATAACTCTAAAAATTGCAAAACCATAAAATTTCTGGTTATTCCCCTTTGATAATGTAAAATATGACATAACTTCAAGGCCACACTCGGGGTATTTTTATCACGACATGATAATAACAATCGGTATCATTAAAAAATTTAAATCTTCAGCTTCAAGACAGAAACATATAAATACATGGAACTCTTAAGGAAGGCCCATACTTCTACGGATCCGGTTTTAATTTTACACATCAATGATCACTTGTCTATTCAAATAAAATCTTTTTGGAGATTGAAAATAATTATACAAGTATATATTTGTTTATTATAGTTTTATTGTGCGTACAAAGCATTTAATATACATTATTTATGGTAATTAACACTTTGCACACTGTCCATAGGATTTATTATAATGTCATTTGGTACATACACAGACATAAAAAACTTTATTATTGCTTTTATGGACCTAAAGAATTTTAATTTTCTCTTTAGCAAACTAACTTGAGATCTATTTTTATTGATTATAAGCCTATATCATCCATTTAATTTTTACTTTTTAAAAAAATTGCAATGAATAATTGAAAAAATCAGGGACCTATATACTTAGTATATAGGTCCCTGAAAAAATTGATATTCCAAAAATGGGCGTATAGGTCTTCAAAAGACTGTTTTGTTAAAATTCTCTGGTCAACCCCAATAAAGTTTGTGTTTTTGTTAACTTAAAATATAATTCTCAATAGTTTTGAAGAAAAAAGGCATCTAAACAGTTTAGATTTTGAGAATTACAGTGAGCGCAGCGAGCGTCGCGAAGCGACGCTCGTAACTGCGAGCTCTAACGACAACGCCTGGGCAAAGAGAAAATTCGGACTACTGCATATTCATTCTTTAGAATTTTTTGCTGCAGTAATTTTGACCCACAATGCATCACTTAGCAAAGTTGCGTTCTCGCGAGAATGACGGCAAATGTTCAACAAAAAGTTTACTCGCCTTGATTAAATGGATACATATTGAAGATAAATTGTAAACGTAACTTTTTTCATTAACTTTCAGCACTGTTCAGTTTTTTCTTGGTATTTGTAACTTACATACGACGTCAGAGTCTAGACGCACCAAATGTCACGTGCGGTTTGACGAGCCCGATCTGAATTAAAACAATAGAGAAGAGTTTGCGCTCGCTCTAACGGTCGCACCGTCAACATATTAGCGAGCGCAGCAAGGCGGCGCAAAGCGCCGCTCGCATAGCGAGCTCTTAAAGCAACGCCTGTGCGAAGAGAAAATTCGGACTACTGCACATTCATTCGATAGAATTTTTTGATGCCGTAATTTCGACCCACAATGCATCACTTGTTTTAGCTATGTTCTCGCGAGAATCACGGCAAAAAGTTTACTCGCCTTGATTTAATGGATATATATTGAAGATAAATAGAAAACAAAACGTTCTTCATTAACTTTCAGCACTGTTCAAGCTTTTTCTCGGTATATTGCGACGTACATACGTCATGTGACGTCAGAGTCTAGACGCACCAAATGTCATGTGCGGTTTGAAGAGCCCGATCTAAATTATAATAACAATAGAAGAGTTTGCGCTCGCTATAACGGTTGTACCGTCAACATATTAAAAAATAAAGATATTTTTGAGATATTTTTGGTACAAAAGGGATCGTCACGACTTATTTGTCTTATCAAAATTTGACTACCTCTATACTTTAAAATACAAGAATTCTTTCCTTGTGTATTTTATAGGAAAAGGGTGGTCAGAAGACCAATAAGTCTTACGAGCCCGGTTAGTATGATCTGCCACTTTAACTATAAATATATCTTACCCGAAATGCCGAACTTACCATCAGCTCTCACACATCAACAGTCTTCTATTCAATTAGTCTCAAAAAGCTAGAAAGAAACACCAATACATTAATACTTTCCCTATCTATTTACTTGATGACTTGAGTTTAAATAATCAACGTTACGTACAAGCTTCACTAATCAAGAACCTATTGGTCGATAGGGACAAGCGCAGATGAGATCTCAATCTGAAGCAATTGTATTGACTGGTTTTATGACACGCGGATTGTACAGAGCAGAGTGGCGCAGTGGAAGCGTGCTGGGCCCATAACCCAGAGGTCCGTGGATCGAAACCACGCTCTGCTAAAATTTTTTTTGTTGGGAGGGTACATCGATTTTATGATAATGTTTAAAATGATAAATGAATGATAAAATGGGTTAAAATTTGTTTTTACAGAAACAAGTGCATGTGGAACACACTTTCAGGATTGTCCCTCAATGAATATTTTGTGAAAGGTCATTCTGTACAAGCAGATTTATGAAAAGGCAGATCCAAGGCTGGCTCGCCCCGGCCCCCCCCCCCCGGTTGCGGGTCTGCCAATGAATATTTTGTGAAAGGTCATTCTGTACAAGCAGATTTATGAAAAGGCGGATCCAAGGCTGGCTCGCCCCTGCCCCCCCCCCCCCCCCCTAAAAAAATTCATTACTGTGTGGCGGTTGCGGGTCCGCCACTGTTATGGTTCTGAACCCCTCCCCTGGGGAATCCAATCCACACTTTGCAACAGTTATGTCCCTTTGCGGTACGTGTCAACCAAAAGGTCAAAAGGGAAAAAAAATGACATTTCTCCTCTTTATGCTACTAAAACATTTGGGGGAGTTCTGAGCTGTGTTTAAAGTTTTTTATTTCGATATATGGGTAGCCCCATCTTGGGGCAATCATTATAATATGTGATATGCACAAAATTTTTCCAGTCAGAAAAAAACAGAAAACTATAAACTCAAGGCTACTGTGAGGATCCTGTGGGTTTTCCCCCAAAGATGGCGGCCAAGGGACATAACTTTTGAAAAGTGTGAATTCAACTCAATGAAAATTAATTAAAAATGGCATAGCTTGGACAACGCCTTCGAGAAAAACACACCAGAGATCAATAATAGCAAAACAGAACGGAGAGCCCAGCTAGGATATTAACTTTGAAGTAAAGTTCCCCTCCCACCACCTCAACTGAAATTAGCCAAGGACCATAGCTCAGAAGGCTTCACCCATAGATGTTTTATGCCAAAGTTGGTTGAGAGATTGCAGAGAAGAAGCTAAAAATGTTCAGATGTTCATGCACACAACAACAGACAAAAACAGATTGCAATATGACATCCCCGAGTTTACTCAGGTGACCTAAAAAAATTCATTACTGTGTGGCGGTCAGCGGTCTGGTCTGCTGCATTCTCTCCTCTCTTGTTACATTTAGTTCCGTGCCATGCCCTGGAATTGACAGGTGAAAGACCTGCCAAGGATGAGCCTGGGTCGGGGTAGGGCCAAAGACCTTTAAGGAGGGAGGAATGTGGCAGTCAGCCAGGTTCGATCGCTGGTGGCCAGATAGCTCAGTTGGTGGAGCACCTGACCAGAGTTTCAGGGGACCTGGGTTCGAATCCCAGTCTGGTCCGCTGCATTTTCTCCTCTCTCCTTACAACTGTATGAGGTCATAACAAAAAAATACTCTGCTTGCCATATGGTGACAGCAGATAATAACTTGCCTCCCATATATATACAATAGACATATTAAATTACTGGTCAATGTCTACCCCCGGGGTCATGTGTACCGTACCTAAACTACCTATCAAGTACATGTATCTTTATATATGCACTTGTGTTTGGAGCCATAGTAGAAACTAAGGGTCATTTTCCTGAAGTTGGCAAGATAGAAGACACAATTTTGTGTCAATTCTTTCACGTTGTTTAAGAATTCATCAATATTTCTTCAAGAAGCACTTACTTAGGCCTAAATACCATCAGTCTTAGTTATTTCCCTTAGCAGAGGGCGATCTCAACTTCCTGGGCCTTTCTAACAAGTGGAAAAACAACCTTCAATGAATTTGTTATGAAGGTATCAATGATGACCCCCCAGTCACACCTTTAATCTGTACAGTCTGAATTTTATCTTCAATGAATGTAGATATTGATCAAAAAATATAAAAGTATAATATATACTACGAAAGAGATAATCAACTCTATAGCGCTACACACCTAATACTTTATTGAATAGAAGGAACTCCATTTTTTCTAAAAATATCACCCGGTCAGTCCTGGTGATGTAAATACTTTTTAGGTGGATTTTTAAAGTTTGCTGGAAAGACCTGAAAAGATGTAATTGTAGCAGAGGGTCATTTCACCTGAAGTTTTAATTTAGTCATAAAAAATATAAAATATAAAACTCAAATCAATCAATATTCTGTTCATACTTTTAATCATGATAAGCTCTTTAAACAATGTGTAAAAGTAAAAATGATTCACAAAATGTCCACAAAGTTGTGTGAAGTCAGATCACAGAGAAGAGAAGAGAGTGACTAGAAAACTGAAGTCATTGAGATTTCTTAAAGCCGTGTTGACAGAAATTGGTCCTTGTGTTAACTTCCTGTTTTGTGGATTTTATTGCTTTACATTTCTTCTCCTTCTTCCTCCTCATCAAACTCTGCCTCTTCTTCAGCCGTGGCGTCTTGATACTGCTGATATTCTGACACCAGATCGTTCATGTTGGACTCGGCCTCCGTGAATTCCATCTCGTCCATACCTTCACCGGTGTACCAATGCAAGAAAGCCTTACGACGGAACATAGCCGTGAACTGCTCGGAGATTCTCTTAAAGAGCTCCTGAATGGCGGTGCTGTTTCCTATGAAGGTGGCGGACATCTTCAGACCCCTGGGAGGAATGTCGCAGACGGCGGTCTTGACATTGTTAGGGATCCACTCCACAAAGTAACTGCTGTTCTTGTTTTGGACGTTCAGCATCTGTTCGTCAACTTCCTTCATGGACATACGTCCCCTGAAGATGGCGGCCACTGTAAGGTAGCGGCCATGGCGAGGATCGCAGGCAGCCATCATGTTTTTGGCATCAAACATCTGCTGTGTGAGTTCTGGGACAGTCAGAGCTCTGTACTGCTGGCTTCCCCGGGAGGTTAGGGGAGCGAACCCTGGCATGAAGAAGTGAAGACGTGGGAAGGGAACCATGTTTACGGCAAGTTTCCTGAGGTCAGCATTCAGCTGTCCGGGAAATCTTAGACAGGTCGTGACCCCTGACATAGTGGCTGACACGAGGTGATTGAGGTCACCGTAGGTGGGTGTGGACAGTTTGAGGGTACGGAAACAGATGTCATACAGAGCCTCATTATCAATGCAGTATGTTTCGTCTGTGTTTTCTACTAATTGATGAACAGAGAGTGTGGCATTGTAGGGTTCTACAACTGTGTCTGATACCTGTAAAACACAAAGTCACAACATTTACTTTCATCTCATTTCATCATATATCACAAATGATATGGATGAAGGAATTTCTTCCCATTTAATAATATTGTGCAAACAATAAAAAATAAAGTCTACATGGGAATTCCTCTGTATCTAAAGAACAGACAATTATTCATCACATCACTTGAATTCTTATCTAGTCACTGATCTCTTTTTATCAATAGTTTTAACATCAAAAACAGGAACAATCCTATTATTGGCATCATGCCCTTACGTAACACAACTTCCTTAATTCTCACTAAAGCCAAGTATTGATTTCTGCTGAAGGTTAGAATTAAGCCGATATAAAATATGCATTAATTGGAATAAGTCACTCCTCTGGAGAGCTTTTCCTGGATGAACCAGAAACTACTTAATTTGGATAATGCACAAATATATCATTAAGTGAAAAGCTGGCAAAAGCTGAACTGGCTTGTTAGAAGTGAGATCAATGCAGACGTTGAGAGATATCTTGCTTCAGCTTGGTTTAAGTGTCTCCATAACTAAGTACTATTAATGCGTGCAGCTTTAATTTGATAATAACTGCCATATTTTCCTACTTACTTATTATGGATATTCCATTTTATAAATATCAATAAATATTGAATTCAAGGTAGTGGTGCACATGTATAAGAATTTAGCTGAGATTTTTGATTCTTTTTCAAAGTTAGAATATTAACAAATCATAGCTCACCTTTGGTGATGGGACGACGGAGAATGTGTTCATGATTCTGTCGGGGTATTCCTCTCGGATTTTGGAGATGAGTAGTGTCCCCATTCCTGACCCAGTGCCGCCCCCGAGAGAGTGAGTCAGCTGGAATCCCTGTAGACAGTCGCAGCTCTCGGCCTCCTTCCTGACCACGTCCAGGACTGAGTCCACTAGCTCCGCCCCCTCCGTGTAGTGACCTTTGGCCCAGTTGTTACCAGCTCCACTCTGTCCAAACACAAAGTTGTCTGGTCGAAATATTTGGCCGAATGGACCTGATCGGACCGAGTCCATGGTTCCAGGTTCCAAGTCGACCAAAATGGCCCGGGGTACATATTTTCCTCCTGTTATAAAAAAAAATATATCTATCAATTATATGAAAAAAGAGAGAAGTCTGCAAGACAGTGTCTTATTACATGTTTTTCAAAAGCAATGATCCTTTCTGGAACAAGTTTGAGTAAAAAAAAATATATTGGAAACAGCCATATGTCATTGATTTGAATAATTTAATATACAAAACATTGCACTGAAAGTCTGGAACCATCCTACTTTTGCAACATATTAAACTTATTTTTATGTTCATTGTTAAGGCACATTTTATTTTACAAATGGACACAGAAGAAGAAAAGCTGCTAACCAGACAAAGCATTCTTTGTAATAACCAAATTATTCACAAGACTACACCTTCCCCAAAAAACCTACTTATTAATTCAATGCAATAAGATGTATTAATGAATAACATCTGTGCGTATTTCTGCCGATTTCCCGACAGCTGACAAACTCACCGGTAGCCTCGTTGTAGTAGACATTGATTCTCTCGAGCTGCAGATCTGAGTCACCGTGATACGTTCCTGTGGGGTCAATTCCGTGCTCATCAGAGATCACCTCCCAAAACTGAAAAATACAACAGATGTTCTAACTACATACACTCACATAAACGCTCATCTCAGCTCAAACATCTGTCCGATCTTAAGACTAATAATTTTTCAACAGATTTCAGCATCTGTTTTCATGGGTTTTCTCTTATCTGTACTCCAAGTATGGTGATCTCACTTTTACTTGCTCAGAAAATATTTCCCTCTCATCTTTATTTTTTTAATCTTTATCTGTCTGGCATCTTGGGCAAGAGATTTAAACTTATTTCAATTGAAACTTACTCAAGCATAAAAGGCATTTAAATTTTGTACTCATTGACCCAAGATATTGTCACTTTTTATAATTTAAACTTTGAAATTTTTCAAATGCGGGGCCCACACCCATCTTTGACGCACCCTAGCGTGTTACGATTGACACGTGGTTCATTTGAGACAAAACGAGAGGCTGGCGCGATGCCCGCTTTGTCAGCAATACTCTAACAATGAGTCACGTGTTTAAAAAAACACAATTTGTTACACTGTACTGTATTACTCTTTGTCACAAGTATTATAAAGTAGTGTGGCTAAGAGCGGCTAAAATATTTAACTTTCCTGAGCGACATTATTTTTTTTTCTCTTTTTCTCACTCTTTTTTCAAAATTGTAAAACCGTTAAAACCACGACAAAAATGCCGCATTGCACCACGCACTTCCTTTCTAAAGCATGAAGAAAATACGCCATACATTGTCAAATAATAATAGTTAGGAGTGATTGTAATTCACTGACCTTGGCTCCTATTTGGTTTCCGCATTGACCAGTCTGTAAATGTACGATTTCCCTCATGGTTAATATTCAAACACTGATGACTACAAAATGGGCGCTGTTCACTCTCTCTCGGCCGGCTTACTTTAATTTATTCTGAGCATCTGATTGCTCTATGACCCACTTCCCCGCGGCTGGCGAATCAAAAACTGATATGCTGCCATGGGAACGTTTTCATTGGCTGGGAAATTTTACGGTCGTTAGAAGGCCCCGAGTCGCACAATCTCTTTAAACCTGAAGGGACACTTTCTCTTAAAAAAAATAATTATGCATGCTGTAATTAACTGATTAAAATTTAGCAATTAACAGTTCCACCATAGCCAGCGGCTTTATTTCAAGTCCAGAGATCCTCTCTCTCTCTCTCTCTCTCTCTCTCTCTCTCTCTCTCTCTCTCTCTCTCTCTCTCTCCACATATCTCTCTTTTCTCTCTCTCTCTCTCTCTCTCTCTCTCTCTCTCTCTCTCTCTCTCTCTCTCTCTCTCTCTCTCTCTCTCTTACCAACAACACAAATAGGACTTTTGATTTCAAATTTTTGAAAGATTTTCATTTTCAGATATAAATTCATCAATATATAGGCAAGACCTAAAAATAATTATAATTATCCTAAAATTTTATTAGTTTTAAAATATATAGTAAAACGCTGAATCAATGGGTATTTTAAAAATATAACTTTTTCCCTTCGGGCAAAATTAAATTGAAAGTTCTGGCACAACAAGTTCTTGCAACTTACAATTAAGTTCTTCACCTGTTTCTCAAAATATATTTTACTATAGACTTAATTTGTCATGGAAGTATTGCAAAATAATTTTAACATGGCCAGCTTTTATATATATCAGCAAATCTATATCGGAATTCTAACAGCACTAGATGGGACTTTTGTAGTTTTGCATTACCACTAATTATTGATTAAGGCATTGCTTTGATTGCTAGTTCCAAAATATTTTCTTATCAATAAAGAACAAGACCTAATTACTTTATAAATTACAATATAATTTTATTAATTAAAAGTAAAATTCTGAATCAATGGGTATTTCCAAAATCTAACTTTTTCCCTTTTGAAAAGATTTACTTTACTATCATTAATTAATGTTCATTGAAAAGCTTCCTCCCCTAATTTTGTTAATGCATAGCTTAATTAGAACATTTTATTTTCAATTTAGAGCGTAACTTTAAGCAAATGAATAAAAATTTTAATTTTTATAACAAATAAATTATATGTGATAAACATGGTTTTAAAATACATTACTTTGTATTAGAATTGTTAGCATAAAATTAAAAGGGGGGGGGGGGGGGGGGGGGGGAAGAGGCAGTAACGTGCCGCTTTCCGACGCTCAGTACACCTCCTGAAGTATACTATATAGTATTTCAGACATTCCCTTGTCATTCATTTTATGTGAAAGGAATAATATCATCCTCTTCAAAATATAAAATATTCAATTATACAGTTTATTAGCTTTTATTTTATTTTATGAAGATGAAGACGGGAAAAAAATTTTTGTGTGCTGGTTTTAATATTTACAATTTGTTCGTCAAGTTCACTTGTATGCTTGATTAAGAATAAATTCCACGTTTCCTCGGATTTTGTTTTGACATTTGACTACCAAATATGAAAGATATCTAAATTAAAGAATTCAGTTTTTACACATATATTCTTGCTTTTCAGTGAATATATACAGTTAAATTTAGTCATTAGATTTTAAAATTATGATTTGAAAAGATGATTTAGCACGAAATGATTTCATGGAAGATGAAAGAGTGATGTGAAAATGGATGAAGAAGATGGTTTACAAAATCCAGAACAAGATGGAGAGGAGTCGTCTTCACTCCGCACAGAAATAGTTCATTTTCTGGAAGAGGATGGCAGTGAAAATCATTTCATTGTAGGTCCAGGAGTATTTCGCATTTGTGAGGCATCTTCAACTGTTGATGATGGATCAAAAACAATGTTAGAAAACGACATCAAAGTGATATCAAATGAAGTAGAAAACTTGATTTCAAGTACAGAAAAGCTTAGTAGTAGACAAGGTGACACAAGTGATACACAAGATGAGCAAGAAAACTGTTTTAACTCTTTACCAAGGGAGATAATTTTAAAGATTTTTAGCTTTTTTTCATCAGTGGAGTTGTGTCGCTGTGTGATACCAGTTTGTAAGCAGTGGTATGATGCAGGTCATGACCCGAGCCTGTGGAAGGAGCTGGACTTTAGTCGACAGTGCGAGCTCCCATCCACCGTCTTATGTAGGACAATTTCCAGAGCAACGTCACTCAAAAAACTAAGCTTGATGGGAAGGCTGGATCTAAGCACAGCTGAGGTGGCGGTCTTCTCTCAGTATATACCTCTCCTGGAATCCCTTAATCTGGGCTTCTGTACTGGTGTCAACCGGACCGTGACTGAGTACTTTGTGAGGAACTGTCCACGACTTACAGAGCTCAATGTGGAGGGGTGTCACACGGTGGACGACAGTGTCACGGCGGCCCTCCCCCGCGGAGAGAGGCTCCGGAGCTTTAACTTCTCCCACTGTAACCTGACAGATGACAGCATTGTCTTACTAGCCTCTGCAGTCAAGAGAATTGTGTCCCTCAATATTGATGGCATTTCCTGGATCTCTGACAGGTGCTTATCTATTGTTGATGTAAAGAATTTTAAGCTGTTATGCTATGAAAATCATTTAATTACAGATGGAGATTAAAAACACAACACAGAAATGCTTAACAATAGCTTGAAAGGCAATTATATATATTTTGTCTTGAATGGTATAACCAACTTACGTGCAAGACCTAGAAATACTTGTCAATGTACATGATGAATAAGGGGATCTTTCTGGCTGTGGAATGGTTGTATTTTCATGATAATGCCAATACAGTAAAACACCCCTATTCCAAACTGAAACACTTTGGCAAGAACTTGTATTTACAGCAGCGTGATTTTAATTCCCTAAAATATATGTTTCAGTGCTGTGGTCACCTTAGTAGACAACCAACATCAGAATCTAGAGGAACTGGTCCTAGACGGAGCGGAGCTCTCAGATAAAAGTTTCCACCACATCGCCAGGTGTGCCAAACTCAAAAAACTCCACGTGTCCTTCTGTGAGGGGTTAACTGACCAGTCCCTCAGGTATATACAGGTAATGACCAGTCCCTCAGGTATATACAGGTAATGACCAGTCCCTCAGGTATATACAGGTAATGACCACGTCCCTCAGGTATATACAGGTAATATGAATGATCAGATCCTTCAGGTATATACAGGTACATGTAATACAATGGTCAGATCCTTCAGGTATATAAAAGTTATACTTGTATGTGAATTTGTACAAAGACAATATTCAATTTTCAAGTCACATTTTGATGCTTAACAAAAAACTACATATAATATATTCTATATACATGTATACACATACATGTAGTACATATACCATTACTTTAATTTCATTTTATTTATGGTAGACTCTACAGAACCTGACCTACCTGAAGATGAGGAAGGGTGTGTATTTCACCACAGAGGGCCTGCTGTCTCTGTTTACCTGTAAATCCATGTCTCACTTGGGGGAGCTCGACTTCTCCGAGAGTACGCAATTCGTCAACGACTGCGTCATCCAGATGACCAAATGGTGAGATTCCATCAAACTCGTAATTAGCTTTATATTGTGTAGATCTGTTAATTTAAGGAATTTCACACAGAAAGGCTGCATATTTATGAGAAAGAAATTTCCTAAGAAACTAAAGATGCTACATTTAGAACAAGGAGATACTTAATTGCACTTAGAATAGATTAATTCATGTCAAAAGTTGAGATTTTCTATATGCAGGACAGTGTATATAAAACTTGTGATTTACTCTTAATTGTTATAACTGAGTACTATATATCATATACAGTTGTGGTCCTTCCCTCCAGAACTTGGCCCTGTCTTGTAATAACTTTGAGTACTATATATTACATACAGTTGTGGCCCTACCCTCCAGAATTTGGCCCTGTCCTGTACTAACTTTGAGTATTATATATTACATACAGTTGTGGCCCTACCCTCCAGAACTTGGCCCTGTCCTGTACTAACTTTGAGTATTATATATTACATACAGTTGTGGCCCTACCCTCCAGAATTTGGCCCTGTCCTGTACTAACTTTGAGTATTATATATTACATACAGTTGTGGCCCTACCCTCCAGAATTTGGCCCTGTCCTGGTGCTGGGACATCACTGACCCTGGGGTCATCTCCATTGTCGACCACTGCAGGTAAAGTCAATATCACACACAGCTGTCATGAAGTTAACAATCTATTAGATTCTTTTAACAGCTTAGATTCTCACAAAATCATGCCATTCAAAATACAGTCTACTTATTTCTGAAATTCCATTTTCTGTAAATTAATTGCTGAATTAGCTCATTTTAGCTTAAATTTTAGGGGGTTTTTTTGGACATTTTTTCCACTTAACCTTGCTGTGTCAATTCAAGTACAACACCAGCACATATAACGCTGTATACACATGATAATTGTTTGATTATTTGAATAACAGGTATCTTTCTAATCTCTCTTCTTTGACAGGAATTTAGAAGTCCTTGACATTATTGGTTTACATAAAATAACGTGTGATAGGGTAAGTGTCTACAGCAGTGTGATAGGGTAAGTGTCTACAGCAGTGTGATAGGGTAAGTGTCTACAGCAGTGTGATAGGGTAAGTGTCTACAGCAGTGTGATAGGGTAAGTGTCTACAGCAGTGTGATAGGGTAAGTGTCTACAGCCGTGTAATAGAGTAAGTGTCTACAGTAGTGTAATAGGGTAAGTGTCTACAGCAGTGTGATAGGGTAAGTGTCTACAGCAGTGTGATAGGGTAAGTGTCTACAGCAGTACGATAGGGTAAGTGTCTACAGCAGTGTTATAGGGTAAGTGTCTACAGCAGTGTAATAGGGTAAGTGTCTTCAGCAGTGTAATAGGGTAAGTGTCTACAGCAGTGTAATAGGGTAAGTGTCTACAGCAGTGTAATAGGGTAAGTGTCTACAGCAGTGTGATAGGGTAAGTGTCTACAGCAGTGTAATAGGGTAAGTGTCTACAGCAGTGTAATAGGGTAAGTGTCTACAGCAGTGTAATAGGGTAAGTGTCTACAGCAGTGTAATAGGGTAAGTGTCTACAGCAGTGTGATAGGGTAAGTGTCTACAGCAGTGTGATAGGGTAAGTGTCCTATCTGTAATAGGGTAAGTGTCTACAGCAGTGTAATAGGGTAAGTGTTTACAGCAGTGTAATAGGGTAAGTGTCTACAGCAGTGTAATAGGGTAAGTCTACAGCAGTGTAATAGGGTAAGTGTTTACAGCAGTGTGATAGGGTAAGTGTCTACAGCAGTGTAATAGGGTAAGTGTCTACAGCAGTTTAATAGGGTAAGTCTACAGCAGTGTAATAGGGTAAGTGTCTACAGCAGTGTAATAGGGTAAGTGTCTTTAGCAGTGTAATAGGGTAAGTGTCTACAGCAGTGTAATAGGGTAAGTGTCTACAGCAGTGTAATAGGGTAAGTGATGAAAGTGACGATAGGAATTATTTGTTAACTTGTACTTGTCATCAGTCTGATTAAAATGAGATCTTTTCTGATGGCCTCTGTACATCTACCATAAGAATTTTGGAGTGTTTAACAAAGATCTGATTTTAATCAGATTGATTTGTCATTTTCATTAATAATAAGTACATCTCTACACAGGTTTAGTTTATAAGTTTATTTTTATGTCATAACTATTGTGAAAATTTATATTAAAAATTTGGAGAACAAGTCCATTTTACTGAAAGTTTTTTCCCCTTGGTTTCAGATAATTGATGAATTGATCGAAGACGTAGTAAGAAAGAAGCCCGACTTGACAGTGTTTAATTACTACGGAGAACAGTTTGTACATGTGAAGGGGTGACATTTAATATCGTAGAACGGGATCTGGGGGTGACAAAATAAACTTCAGTGGAGAGAATATCTATAGTGCTCCATAGACAGACAAATAATTATTTATACACAAATATCAGATACATGTATTACTCATTTTACTGCCCATCTTAGATCTGAGTGCTGGAAATGGAAACCATTTTCATAAAATGAAGAGGAAAAGAACCCTACTCAGAAATCTTGTTGAAGCAGCCTGTAGAATTATTGATGGTTGTCAAAAAAGTTAAGAAGTTGATTCTGACTGTGCTGTAGATTGTTCTGTATTAAAAGGGAGATTAATATGCTAGTTACTGGTATGCATACCGATGCTTCCATTTTATAGGGTTGTACCATGTCTTTCATTTATCTAATGATCTAAGATACAACTGATTTTTTTTTCTTTGTCGTGTTTCATTTCAGTGTGATGAACTATGAACAAACACCATAAACATTACATCAGCAGTACCATGTTGCCTTTTTATTTATCTTGGTGTGCAGGATAAAAATCTTAACTGCACCGTCTTAAATATTGTAATTTCCTCCAGATCACATGCTTTGGCTTCCATGTATATGTGTTTTAAATCCTTTTGAAATGGATATTTAGTAGGGGTGTTATGCCCCCATAATGAAAGATTCAGAGGCAAACAGTTTTTGGTCTGTTTGATCCCCTGCCTATAAATAAATATTTCTGTAACATTCTTTCAAACCACTTCTCTTACTACAGTTTTGGTCTGATTTTGATACAACTTGGCATACAGGTTCGGATGATGGTTGAACTCTCTTTTACTCATGAGCCATTGAGGAGTTGTATTAAACTCAATATGTATTGTTGACAGAAATAAACAAGAAAAGAAAATATATCATTTATTCTTTGAATATCACAGTACATGTAAAGAGAAGTTTTTTCCTGTAGATAACATTGTTATAGACAACCTCAAGTCAAAAGTAATACCCTGTAACTTTTCTACAATTATTCTAATGCCACATGTAATCCAATGGCTAATTGCTGACTTTAATTTCTCTGGACCAAGAAAGTCCCATCTGAGGAAAATGCACTTGATGGAATGTTATAAGAGTATGTACGTTGAAAAATTCAATTTTTCTTCATTGTTAATAAAACTAAAAATACACCTAGAAATTTTCTATAAAATACATATAAAATCAATTGGTATACATGGTATAAGATAATAATTCAGTTATAAGTTTGTAACAATTCAAAACAACCAAGAAACTCCTAACAATAAAAAGAAAAAACACAAAACTTTTATTTCCATCCCTCCCAAATTACTTTGATCTCAGTTGACTACATTGACTACATACCATTGGTCCATAATTGTGATCTGAGTTGACTATATTGTAATGGTCCATAACTGGGATCCAAGTTGACCATATATTGTAACGGACATTACCATTGGTCCATGATGACCAGCATCACAGACAATTTTAATCATAAAAGATAAAAATTAACCATAAGATCTTGTTTAAATATCTGGCATCACCAGAAAAAGAAATTGAAAGTAAAATTAAGCTGATACAAAACAAGAGGTCATGACCTTTAGTCCCCAGGGTTGAAATTCTACCAGGGGACTCAAATCCATGCATAACAACAAGTGTCCAAAACATGATGTAAACTTACTGAGAAATTCACACCCAGATCAAGAAGTGTTTGTCATGAACTGTTGAACAAAGTTAAATTATGTCTAGGATTTGCAGTTGTAGAACTAAATGGCATCAGAGTTGTAGTTTGTGGATTTCTTTTCTTGATAATTTCATCTATAGATATCCAAGTTCCAACCACACATCCAAAAATCCCAAACGACATTATAACAATGTTTTTTACGAGGATGATGGGAGATATTTTTTCATTGGGCGCTTTGTAGGTAAGGATTTCTATCAGGGGAGGGAACACCAGAGCCAGGGAGCTACTGGCCAGTGCCCCCACAAGGGAGATAAGCAAGTCCAACTCCGGAACCACTATGGCTACAATAGCTGAAAAAAACAACGCAGGATTTAGTTTAACATTAGACATACTGTGTTACATATTTTATATATATTTGAATTTTTAAGCAGACTCCTAATGTATGTAATCAAATTTGTTTTAATGACATTGTAGAGTTATAATTGAATTTATATTGGTGAATACTGGCACAAGTTGGCTGTACAAATACACAAGCTTGCTAGTACATTTTTACAGTGAACTTGTGCCAATATTCACCAATATAAGTTCAATAACTGCTTCATATAATATAGCTAAAACATTTTCCCAATGAATTATAATAATTATTCAAACTAAATAACTCTTGTTTTTTTAGTATCATTATTCAAGTTAACGCCTGTCCTGTCAGTGTTCAATATCGCATCATTCCATATGACCTAAAAAACATTATTTGTTTATTTAGGCTTTAGTTGGGCTGATACATGCTAAATTTTAAATCAAAAATTTCATTTTTGTGTGAAAATAAACACATCTTACCTGCATGGTTGCTGCTATCTTTTTTGAATGCCTTTCCAAGATTGATCAGACAACATTTTTTTGTTTATAACTGGGCATTTGATATTGAACACTCGTATTCAGTATGTTTCCAGGCATACTCATAATACAAACTCAGCGTTCAATAAAATGCCAAGATATTGAACCCTAAAATTCTCTAGATTTTTATCAGTTTTTTTGGTATAGACTATTAGCTATATAAAAAAAAAATATTGAATTCCTTTTGCTATATGCGATTTACTAATAATTGTGCAATATTTCATTCTTATTTATTCAAGTATATAATATAAAGTGTAGAAAAAGCCATTTTTATCTGTATGTTACCTGTGAGGACATTTACCGGAGTATCTGTATGTTTTATGCATGCGAAGATCTAGAGGGGGGTCAAGGGGGTGGAATTTACAAGGTTAAAAAATGTATATTCTAAAGCAAGAAAAAAAGTTACCATGGACCCCCCTTCGAAAACACTGACACCCCCCCCCCCGGTAAACGCGAATAGGTGTGAAAATGGTATGAAAAGTGAAAGATTTGAGGTAACCCCCCCCCCCCCCCCCCCCCCCCCCCCCCCGAAATAGGTTTTTGACATTTGGGCGAGTTTTTTGTTTTTTTTTGTTTTTGGGGCTTCTGGATCCGCGTTTGATATTATCTTTATTTCCTATCAAGCTTGTAACACGAGCTTTGATTGGTTACAAATAAATTTCCATACACTCGACTTGAACCCAGTGTAAATCACATTATTTCCTATGTAGCTTGTAACAAGAGGTTTGATTGGTCACAAAATCCATGCACCCGACTTGAGCCGGGTGTAAATAAAACGTAACGTAACAATGCATACATTCTCTATGATAAAAACCAAATAATATGACGTACGTCACGATGCATTGTAGTACGTAGATATCTTATTGATAGACAGAGACACACTCTGATGTTTACAAAGCATTTTTGGGGTACAAAGGAAATAAATTCGTTATCCAGGTCCAATCAAGGGTGTACAGGGATTTACCCTGGGTTTTATTCCATACACCCTGAGGCCAAATCCCCGTACACCCTTGATTGAACCTGGATAACTAATAAGATGTTACAATGCATAGCTTCTCTATGATAAAAAGCAAATGATATGATGTCACGATACATTGTAGCATGAAGTACACTTTACTTATAGCTTAAAATACCGTTCATTAAACTTATGTTTACAAAGAATGTTTATTTGATTACAAAAAAAATAAATTTGTTATCCAGGTCCAATCAAGGGTGTATGGGGATTTATCCCGGGTTGTATTCCATACAATCTTCAGCCTTCGGCCTCAGGGTGTTTGGAATAAAATCCAGGGTAAATCCCCGTACACCCTTGATTGGACCTGGATAACTAACAGTATGTTACCTGTGAGGACATTATCTGTAAGTTACCTGTAAGGACAACGAGAAAAATCCTGAGAATATATTCTCCCAAGTGCTTCTTCTTTTTAGACACAAGGTAATGCTCTATCTTTGGCCAGATGATTCTGATTGGGACGTACAGTTGTAATGCAAATGAGATAAACAGTGATGCTGAAAACATCAGAAGAACCGCTTGGTACAGGCTACAAAGAGAACCACATTACTGGGTCAACACTCCAGGTAGAGAGATCAATACATGTAATGTTTAATATGATGAGCTATGATTCAAGAGGATCTTCACACGGCCCAATCTACAGGTGACTCTCGATCTCTCGAAGTTCAAGGGACCGCGAGAAAAGTTCGAGAGATCAAAGGGTTCGAGAGATGGAAAGTCAATAAAATCCGGAATTTTCAGTTCCGACCATCGATGTTTTACTTTTATAGATACCGGAAGTATGAGTAAATAAAGTAATTGCACATTTTCAATCTTATTTTACAGGTGGCTAATTGTATTCGGCGCGTCGGCGCGCTCACGCAACATATTTTGTTTATAAAATTTATCGCTTATACAAGCTTCGGGCTTGATCTCCTCTACTATTCAAAGTATTTAAAGTACTGATAGGAGTTGATTTTAATGACGGTTTCAATAAAATTTAATGTTTGACACTTTGGTCACAACTTTTCAAATTATGTTTATTTATGCTTCATAAGGAAGTTTGTGGGAATTGAATAAACTAGAACTGTCCAAACGGGACAAAATACCCCCTGATGGGTTTTTCAGAAGTAAGTTTTTCCATAAGAAAGATATGTATCAAACATGAATTATGAAATTTTTTTCCAGTGACCTTAAAGTTCCCCAAATGACCTTGGGTCAAGGTCATGACACACCCTGACACACCCTTGGGTCAAGGGCAATCTTTCTGTGAAATGAGAACCTACCAAGTTAATCCATACAAAAGATATGGACCGGACATGAATTATGAAATTTTTCTTCCAATGACCTTGAACTTCCATAATTGACCTTGGATCAAGGTCATGATAAACCCTTGGGTCATGGGCAATCTTTGTGTGAAATGAGAATCACCAAGTTTACCAAAAAAAAAGATATTGACTGGACACGAAGTATGAAATTTTTCTTCCAGTGACCTTGAAGTTCCCCAAATGACCTTGGGTCAAGGTCATGACACACCCTTGGGTCAAGGGCAATCTTTCTGTGAAATGAGAACCTACCAAGTTTATCCATAAGAAAGATATGGACCGGACACGAATTATGAAATTTTTCTTCCAGTGACCTTGAAGTTCCCCAAATGACCTTGGGTCAAGGTCATGACACACTCTTGGGTCATGGGCAATCTTTGTGTGGAGTAGTAGATTCTAATGTCCCTCCATAAGAAAGATATGGACCGGACATGTTTGCACAGACAGACGGACAGACAGACAGATGGACAGACGGACAAGGTGATTCCTATATACCTTCCCAAACTACGTTTGCGGGGATATAAAAAGAAAATGACATGATTCTACAGAGTCAAAAAGGTATGGTTTGTTTTGATCTCACCATAACCTTAGAATGATGCCAAAAAGTGTAAGACTTTTTCTCTGTTCAATTTTTTTTTCAATAAATTAATAAGATATATTTTTCTGACCAAAATTTTGTTTAAAAGGGCTTTTTATTGCAAAGCCATTTCTGTAACTAAAGTTACTCCCCATCCTCAAATTAAGTCAAGTTAATTTTTATTAGTAGTATTTAGTTTAAAACGTAACAAGCCTTACAATGAATCTTCATACACGATACCAATGTATGGCAGTTTACTGGCATGAGAATCAAGTCTCTAAAAAGGAGGTTAAACTCTCAAGTCTAGGGTCATTACGTAATACTTGTAAATTTTATTTTGTCACATTGGCATTGGAAGCAAATTGAAAGGGGGAGGGGGGGCTAAGTGAAAGAGAAATAAATTTCAAACCTGAAAAATCTTAACAAGCAAAAAAAAAAAAGGAAAATGTGTCCAAACACGAAAATCGTATTTCGAGGGGGGGGGGGATAAAACTTCTTTCAGTACCAAATTTTTCTTTCAAATACTACCACTTACCCTTCTTCGACTAGACTGCAACGTGCCTGTTGAAAGTAAGGGGGGGGGGAGGGGGGGGGCTAAACCTTCGCCCCAATGTTTACTACCTATATGATGTCTTTCTTTGCCAAAAAAAGGGGGGCTAATCCTCCTAAGCCCCCCCCCTCCTGGTTCCGACGCCTATGTGTTATACATTAAGAAAATTTATAAAAACCAATTGAAGCACTAAATATTTTTAAATGCTATAGTTTATATTTTGAGAGAGAGAGAGAGAGAGAGAAATCGAAAGTAGGGCAACTCAGAAAATTGGGGTAAATTTCGGATCACTCTAGCACAAATTGTGGTAAGGCATGCATGGATCAAAGGGGATCCGGATCTCTAGAAAATTCAAATTTATTTAAACTGTAAAATTACTAAAGGCTATGCCTCGGACTTCTTCCCCTTGCGCGCCGAAATATGGCTGAAATATTGCGGACTCGGCGTAAAACAGCAATAATCAATCAATTTGAAGTCCCCTTGCCTTTTGAGCCACCACCTTTTAGAAAAAAAAATTCTGGATCCACCCAACAAAAAATTACAATCGGGCTCAGTCTGTCGACTAGAATATAAGCAATAATGCTTAAATTATAAAGAAAATCGTTGTCCTTTGAGTGTTTTAATGAAGGGAGAAAATAGTTTTGTGATATTGAGATGAGATGGACGCGCCGAACACAATTAGCCTTATAGGTAATTTACTTGATATCAATGGTCGTATGTCGAATAAATTAAACGAATTCCTACAGTTTCAATATTTATTTGTTCTTCTTTCATGATTACATGAAACCCGAATAGCAATTATCAGTTTTGCTATTCCGCGGCTTGATCGGGTCCTTCACCAGCGTCACCAGATTTTTTAAAATCAGTATTCAGTCCTTGAAAAAGCACCTCGAATTTCTTATGTAATATTTGCTATGTGGTATTATGTAGACTCTAATAAAAGTTCATAGTCTATAGGAACTTATCAAAACGATTGTCCATAAATTATTTTCTAAAAATTATTGTCTCTGTTTCAAGTCAAAATAACCCAGTTGTGAATTGGTTTATAATTTACTAATTATAACCAATTAAGGTGGAATGCCACACCAACTTTTTATTTTATAGATCTTTGAGTCATCCTTTTTAAGCAATGGTTTCAGCATTGAAAGGCAAATATTAGCCCTTAATTATTTTATAATAATTTTTTTTGTATTTTTTCAAAGAAAATGAAAAAAATTATTTATATCCAAATAAGTTGTTTTCGAGTTAAAAGTTTGCTGTAAATGAATGCATCATATGAATATCTAATAAAATATGTAAAGAAAGGCTGGTTAGACTTCTTAATTTTTTTTATTAAAAAATATGTATGAAAATAAAACACATTATTTGTGAATATTTTTTAAACCTATGGTTAAAAACACCATAAAACTAGTCACAACTGAGGACAACATGTTTGTCAATCATATTTTTAAAAAAAATTGAAATGAAATTGAGAAATTTTAGAGAAATTAATTTTTTGATATTTGGACCTAACCCGATCAAAATTAAACTGATCCCGATCAAAATTAACACAAAATGAATAAAATCCTAATTTATTGCCTCTTCATGTATTTACAATGAAGAAATCTATTTTATTGTCATATTAGTTCAATAATGTTTTAACTAGGGATGTCAATTTTACTCGGGCAGCATAGTCGAATAGTCGGATGCTTTAGTCGAACGATAGTCGAATATTCGTTTAATTTTAATTATTTGTTCATATCATCTTCAATTTTTAACCTACACTATCACCATTATACCACGAATTTCTGAAATCAATATGTATCCAATTTTTTTTGTCCTCTCTTTACATATTTTTCTACGTGTCCGTCAATGACCTTTGACAGGTACACAATTCAAGCGTGTCGCTTATAAAAACAAAGAGAGAGAGAGATAGCTTGGGATAAATTTTAATTACCGGGTATGAAATTTTGTGCAAACAATCAATGATTGCATGAAATTAATATCAGAAAAAGAAAACACGGTTTAATTACTCTCATAACTGACCCCAATTTACATGTATTTTGAAGATATGTTTGCTGAAAATACATAGACGTACAAATAATTTCCTTTGAACAGTTATAGCGTACCCTTAATTTTTACATATGAAAATATTGATCTGTAAGTAAATGAAATGGGCAAATATAAGTTTATTGCCTTGAATTCAATTACTTTGATGAAACACATTTTTAACGAATAACCGACTAAAGAAATTTTAGTCGATATTTTATTAGTCATATTAGTTCAGTTGACATCCCTAGTTTTAACCCTTATTACACCCAATCAGACTAGTGTTCTTAGGGAAATGCTATTTATTTCCAATAATTGTACAATTATGGTTGGAATCGGTTTAATTTTGATCGGGATTGGCCAAAATTAAAAAAAATTATTTCTCTAAAATTTGGCTATTTCATTTCAATTTCTTTTACAAATATGATTAATGAACATGTTCTCCCAAGTTGTGACTGGTTTTAAGAACATTTTAACCACAAGTTTAAAAACTATTCACAAATTATGTGTTTTATTTTCTTAAATATTTTTTGTATTTAAAAAATTTTAATATCTATACGGCTTTTCTTTACACATATTATTAGGTATTTATGTGATGCATTCATTTACAGCAAAATTTTTACAAGAAAGCATATAATTTGGATGTAAATAATTTTTTGAATTTTCTTTGAATAAATACAAAAAAATTCATATAAAATAATTTATAGCTAATGTCGGCCTTTCAATGCTGGAACCATTGTTTAAAAAGGTCGACTCAGAGATCTATAAAATAAAAAGTTGGTGTGGCATTCCTCCTTAATTATATCAACACACGGACGACCCACAGGTGTAGTGTCATCTATGTAAACACCCAATTAACACCTCCATGCCAGCCCCAGGCGTTCACTGTTTTCCAGGTAAGTCCAGGCTGCATTAATTTTACGGTTGATAGGCGTGTACACACGCGCAATCAAAACTTCGAGAGATAGAGAGTAAAATTCAATGAAATATGTGTAACGGGACCACGGCTTTGGTTCCAGAGATAGAGAACTTCGAGAGATAGAAGTTCGAGAGATCAGGAGTAAATTTGCTTAGTTATATAGAGGAAAAAAACGGGACTGGAGGTTCACTTCGAGAGATCGGAGTTCGAGCCATCGAGAGTCATCTGTACTTGGTTTGCACATACTTTTCATGCAGCGTTGTTTCAGATAGGTCACAGTACCCTTGATTGACATCACGATTGAATACAATAACGTCCTAGTTAAAATGACGTCAAATTGCATTAAAATAAATCACCATTCTTGCATTCCTGGTATGACTTCACTGTGTGCCTTCATTCTGGCATTTAGAACTACATGATTGTATCAATTCTTATATTTTAATAAATTCATCTTTTGATTAAAAACAACTTTATGATATAATTTTTTGAGATATAAATTTTTAAGTATAAATGCTCGTTTCTTAAGCAATAACAAACTTTGTAATTTGTTGCCTTTTTAACCCCCTCCAAATGCATCAAATTTTTACATTTTGTCTGTCAGTTACCACTACTCACAATTCATCTGTGGGGAGGTTCAGGGTCACACTGCCCTTGGCGTCGTCCCCAAACTTGAGGTAGCCGTACCAGCCCATGGCGGTGTACAGAGAACAGATGGTTATCATCCCAAGGTTCAGGATTCCATTCCACCCAAGGAAATTCTCCGGAGTCCTCATCTTATTCTCAATCGGCAGAACCTTGCAAATAAAAGGGTTGTATGTTCATTGTTGAATGTAATTAAAGAAGGAATACTCAAAATAACATGTATCAGCAAATTCTCTCTAAACACTCTTTTTTCAAGTTTAAAAAAATACATTAGTTACATGGTTTTATTTTGCACACTAAATAAAAGCCCACTATTTCATTTAACAAGAATGTAATTCTGAAATGTTGTTATCAGGTGAATTTTTTATGGGAGAAGTCTAAAATATTGCACTTACAAGACCAATTCCTTCATAAGTAAACAGCGCTGTCCCAAAATACAGCGGCAGTTTTTCATAGGACTTATCCGCTGGTCGGGTGCTCTGGTCCGGTAGATTACGGAATAGGTACTCGAAAATAATCACCAATCCCACCGTGTTCAGGACGTTAGCAAACATGGCAAATGGAGCGAGGTGCACGAGATTCCGTATCAGACTGTAGGGAATGAGGAGGGCTGCAATAACGATGATATATACCGAAAGACTGGGGTCACCTGACCAAAAACTGTGGAACACCTGTACAGAATTGCAAAGAACACATCATAAGTATTTTTACTATATATATTTAGATCTCGGAAGAATTGTTATAGTAAAGGATATTCAATATTTTCACTTTTATATAATTTGACATAAACAGTACATGTTTGAGATTGACATAACCTGTTTGACATTGACACTGACCTTTTGACCTTGACATTACCTGTTTGACCTTAACATTACCTGTTTGACCTTGACATTACCTGTTTGACCTTGACATTACCTGTTTGACTTTGACATTACCTTTTTGACCTTAACATTACCTGTTTGACATTGACATTACCTGTTTGACCTTAACATTACCTGTTTGACATTGACATTACCTGTTTGACCTTAACATTACTTGTTTGACATTGACATTACCTGTTTGACCTTGACATTACCTGTTTGACTTTGACATTACCTTTTTGACCTTAACATTACCTGTTTGACATTGACATTACCTGTTTGACCTTGACATTACTTGTTTGACAGACATTACCTTTTTGACCTTAACATTACCTGTTTGACATTGACATTACCTGTTTGACCTTAACATTACCTGTTTGACATTGACATTACCTGTTTGACCTTAACATTACTTGTTTGACATTGACATTACCTGTTTGACCTTGACATTACCAGTTTGACTTTGACATTACCTTTTTGACATTACCTGTTTGACATTGACATTTCCTGTTGGACATTGATATTACCTGTTGGACATTGATATAACCTGTTTGACATTGATATCACCTGTTTAACCTTGACATTACCTGTTTGACCTTGACATTACCTGTTTGACATTGGTTGCAACAAAGAGGAGGTAAACACAGCAGAAACCAAACTGTGTCATCATCAGAAACATATTGATCAAAAAGCTGAAAAAAAATCAAATAATAAAAAGTTAATCTCAAGTTTAGACAAGTTAAGCATGTATATTTTCTTTGAAAAGTATGATTTTGAAATACCAAATCCCTGGAGTGGTGATAAACATAATGACTACCTTCCCAGACCTGCATATCTCCTGAGGAATAATGGACCACTGGACAAACTGAGACGGAGAGTTGCTGCATAGTCAAGTGCTGAGGTCTTCTCTCTGTCATAAAATATAACATCTAATATTAGAGATTTGTTACCTATCAAAATCTAAGGAATGATTTTGAATTACCTAATCATAACTGTATTTAAGGGAAAATTTATATGTATACTGTTTGCGTACTTAAAAAGCGGGCTTCATATTTTAGGGCTTTGGCGCGTACAACAATGTGCTAATTCATTAATACCATTAACGGTTAATAAATCTTTTATAAATACACGGTGCTGACGTATGTAGCACTCATGTATAATAAGCCAAACACTCAATACCCTGTGATTGCAATAAATTTTGAAAACGTCAGTTTATGTAGAGTATTCACTATAGATGAGTTTACCTCCTTCGTAGATGTGTGCTCGAGTTCAGCAGAGTATGCATACAGTGTGTTGCTAAAAATCCCAGCAGTAAAATACCAGTCGAACCAACCTGAGAAAAAACAAGAGATGTTTGTAAAACACTTATGCCTCCCTCCACAAATTGTAATTTTTCTAAGTCCAAAAGGGCATAACTCTGTCAAAAATGGTGGGATTGAAGCCAAAACAGAACTGGACCTAGATATTTATCTGATAAATCTGTATACTTAATTTCATTTCAGTTTGTGCAACCTCTGCGAAGAAAATGAACAGGAACTGCAAATACTTGGAATTTTTTCTAAGTCCAAGGGGCATAACTCTGTCAAACATTGTGAGATCATACCCAAAACAAAACTTGACCAAGATATTCATCTGATATATCTATATACCAAATTTCATTTCAGTATGTACAACGGTTGTGAAGAAAATGAATGGAAATAAGTGAACCGACAGACAGCAGCAAAGCAATGTGCCCTCCCTTCTTCGAAGGGGGGCATAACAAAAATATTGCAGTGCAGTCGTATATTGGGTCTTAATAATAGATATGTGACTCAAGTCAAACTTTGTTCTCTTGAAGGACATGCCAAGTTGTTTTAAGCCCTAATCATCATTTCATTAAGTAAATATGCATTTTAACCTTCAAGTTGACTTCTTGAATTTGAGGTCATCTCAAACTTTTTTGGCCAAATCAAGTTTCAGATGATTACATGTATGTTTTTTTTAGGATACACGAATACATGTATGTCATTTACTCTGTATATCTACTTACTGCCCACTTAAGAGTCATTTTAACTAATGATACACAGTCAGCATGCTTCACATATGGAGATGTTATAATGAGGACAATGACATGTTCATCTCATCTTATGATGCTCTAAGATTTAAATTAATAATTTTATAAACATATTGGAAAATATTACATGACATTGAAGTCATTATTTAGTCATTAACCAGTTTGATGTGTACTAGTATTGGTTTGAGCTACCTTGGCAGAAATCTCAGTCTAAGATTTCTGCCAGGGTAGCTCAGCGGTTAGAGCACCTGAATTTAGTGCTGGTATCTCAGGTTCATATCTCATTCCCCTCATAAATGTCCGACATTTTGTCAGGATCTGTATGCTAAAGACAAATACATTTGTATGTCACAAATAATTCATGAAGCAAGGGGCTCATGAATTTCCTTTGAGATCATTTGGTAGTGGTATATGAGATGGCAAGTTATAAAGAAGTATTTATATATGAATCAAGTTGACAGTATACATGGTATAGCATTATAACTATCAAAAAAAATCTCTCAAATGGTAGAAATTAATTGATGACTTTTGAATGAAGTTCATGTACACAAATGGTGATTTGTAATAGGGCCATTGCTTTCTGGAGTAGCATTACAAGCAGCTGAGTTGTCAAGAAGTCATTGTTCATTTTCAAGGTCATCAAACAATATTAGGGATATTAAGCTCTCCAGTCATTAATTAAGGTTCTTCTCCTCTCCACCAAAAGAACATGTCTCCAAGCCACCAATAGTAAGTGAAGTTGGAGGAGATTTACCTTGGATCTTCGTTAGCCAATAAACTTCAAAGGCTTCCTAAATATCAGACAAGGGCTGACCCCTAAATTCTTATTCCCCAGTCCAGAATTCCTGTCCCAATATTACCCTTGACCCCCTAAATCCTTTCCCAGAATTCCTGTCCCAATATTACCCTTGACCCCCTAAATCCTTACCCACAGTCCAGCGTAGCTGACCGCTATCGGCATGGCCAGTATCCCCGTACCAATATTACCCTTCAGAAGGTGCATAAGACTCTGTAAATTCCTGAAATAAATCAAAACAAAAACAAAATAAAGACTACATTGTCATTAAAATTGTATAATTGCTAAAAATATAAATAAGAAAGGGGAGGTAAACAATATTGTGTTGTATAATTTACCTTAATTCATAGCTCAAATATTAAAAGATATGTTATCAATATTTAATGTTTATATTTGTTGTTAACTTTTCCTCAATATGTTTAATTCTGACAATAAATTTGTACAATGTCAGGAAGTTTCTTCCTTTTTACGAAAGTAGAATCTGACTGCCATAATATTATTCTATTTCCTCCAACAAGTTGGACATCACTTCAAATTTTATGGCTGCAAATTAAAGAAAGAATAAAGACAAATAATTTCCTACATATTCACAACTCAAACTGCTGAGCCAAAATTGGGACATAAAATAAAAGTTTAATTAAACTGTTATAGATTATACATACGAGATTTTGAGCCTGTCTAGTGAGCTCAATTTTGAGTCTGTCCTGGAGCTGAGTTTACTTAACTGTTATAGATTATATATACGAGATTCTGGGCCTGTCTAGTGAGCTCAATTTTGAGTCTGTCCTGGAGCTGAGTTTACTTAACTGTTATAGATTATACATACAAGATTTTGAGTCTGTCTAGTGAGCTCAATTTTGAGTCTGTCCTGGAGCTGAGTTTACTTAACTGTTATAGATTATACATACAAGATTTTGAGTCTGTCTAGTGAGCTCAATTTTGAGTCTGTCTGGGAGCTGAGTTTACTTAACTGTTACAGATTATACATACGAGATTTTGAGTCTGTCTGGGAGCTCAATTTTGAGTCTGTCCAGAAGCTGAGTTTAATTAACTGTTCTAGATGATACGTACGAGATTTTGAGCCTGTCTGGGAGCTCCTCGCCCTGTGAACTGCTGTAGCTGTGGGACACGTAATCCTGGGAGTTATTGGGAACCTCAACAGATTCCAGGGCCGTCACGGATCTCTGTAGATTACGACGTTTGTTGCGGGCCATTTCCCTCGTGGCATCCCTTTGTGGTACCTCCACGGTGATCTGGGGGTTGTGATTCGGCTCATACTCAGAAAGGAGACAAGTTTTCTCTGAAGTGTCCTCCATACTTTAATACTGTAGAGAAATCATTTTAAAAATTCATTGATTTAAAGACATTGGATGTTACATGTACATGTGTCGATTGCAGTGTACTCATAAATTTATAAATATTTTTTAATACCGCATAAGTAGAATTTTTAGCGAGGATTTAATTTTGGCATTATTAGCGATGCTGTAGAGAAAATTGATTTTAAAAATTAATTGCGTATTATTTGTAATAGCTTCTTTACTGTGCATTTTCAAATCGCTAATATAACATCTCGCAAAAAATAAATTACCAGGTTTTAAGGACAAATCGCTAGATTTGCATCTCGCTAAAATTTCCACTTATACGGTAGTCTGAAATATTAATCAGTAATTTGGAAAGATTTATAATATCTTTACGTGAAATATCTGGATTTAGACTGGTAGATAAAACAAAATTGAACTGCGTTGATTAGCCTTTAACCAGGAATTGAACCAAAAAAAAAACTTCAATTGTATAACTCAACACATAATGCTCTGTAAAGGTACATTGAGAAGTTAAGTTTATAGGACCAACATCTTCACTTTAATTTTACACTTTTTTTTTTAATTACAATAAACATTCTAAATTTAAAACTTTAAAAATTACGACTCTCTGACTGGTTTTACATTATTTCATAGTAGGTCCTAATTATTTATTGAAAAATCATCCAAGTAAAGGATACATAGATGTTAGCCCCAGTAAATAACCTTAGTACATAAAATCTCTTAAGTTTTTCTCCGATAATTTGTAACTTACCGTTGAGGTGGCTCTGTTTTAATCCTGATATTTTCACGTCATGTTTGTGTCACTGCTGGTTCAAACTGCACTAAAGTACTAAGCATCCTCTGGCTTAGTCAACGACCAACTGTGTCAATCACATGATCGCTCCATACAAAACAAAGCGGCGTAACTCTACTTTCACTTTTAAAGAAACATTGAATTATCCTTCTTTGACTAAAGCTGGTCAGATTAAAAAAAAATATGATGTGGATAAAAATATATATTTCATCCAATATTCAGTTGTTCATGATCCAAAATCAAATAACACACTTTAATAAGAAAACTAGGCTTAACTAAGCACAACAATAGAGTTCAAGTAACAACTTCCATCATCTTTTTGACAGTCCAACTCCAAGTTCTCACTGGACAGGCCCCAATGAGTGGGGATTCCAGTTTCCCACCGCCTAGACCAGCAGACCCAAAGAAATTCAAGAATAAAGTCCTGTGTAGAATTGGAATCTTTTAAACTCCCTTTCTGATATAATTATATGTAAACTGATTTATTATATTGATACAAATTTCGAACCAGGACTAACACATGGAAAACAGGGGATAAAATTGGTAATTGTAAATTCAGAATTAATCTCATTTATTGATCCAATGAATACTTTAGTGTAGGTATAACAATGTTTAATAAATCTAGGGTAGAATTTAATATCATAAAATGATCCTGGAGTGAAACATTCTCTCTGATTGATGTTATAAAACTGTTTTCCTATACATGTCTATTTCAGAGCGAGTCCAGCACATGTAGAAAGTCGGATGTTACTTGAACACGGTTAAAGGCTATTTTATCATTGCATTTTAATGAAAACAAATAGAACAATTAAATAATCAAAAACAGAGGTGGCCCAAGATTTATTGAAATAACATGTCCAATAATAAATAATTCTTACATATACTTCACAAAAATATTTAATAATAATTTTAATATTTAAAGATCATTGTTGCTTACTACAATACTACTATGTTTTTTTTAAATAGTAAACAAACAAAACAGAAATTCCTTAATATATAAATATTCCATCCATTTAGACCTCACTCTACATCACTGTGTTCGCTATGTTCACAGCTACTCGTGGTGAAGACGACTTGACTGGGTGTCTCTGAATCTGAGTCTATGGCTTCTCTATCAGAGTTGGGGGTCGAGAGGACGATTTTGGGCCCTCCCTGTTGGCCAGAGTCTGTCTCTACAGTCTTGGTCTCTCTCACCTCCCCCAGATGAACATTCTCCTGAGCAGGAGCTTGGTTAATGGGTAAATCTTGTGATTTCTGTTCTGTTACATGGTTCGTTGACTCCCCTTGCTTCTCTTCTGACTTGGATTTCTCTGTTGTCTCCAGCTGTTCTTTTTCTGGCATCAAATGTTCGATTTTTCCTAGAACGGTTTTTAAATCCAGTAAATTAACAGGAACACCAAGAAGGGCAGACAACTGCTGAGGTGGAAATAAAGCCTGGAGACATTTCTGAAGATAGGGTAGGAGAGTTTCTCCGTATACGTCACAGAATTTGGTGAATTTCTCCTGCTCCCTTTTATCAAACGTTGCCTCCTCCGCTCTGTGAAAGGACAGAATGACATTGTTCACTTCCAGGAGCGAACTCTGTAGAGCTTCAGCCACCTCGTGAGCAACAGATACCGGAGCACACAGTCGCAGTTCATTAAATCCACTCAAAACATGGTTACAATAAACAGCTAAAGGGGAGTAATCCAGGAGGATCGCTGGAGGATAGAGTTCGTTCCCTTGTGCAATGTATGGGACTGAGCCCACCGTACTCGTCTGGGCTAACAGATTATAAGACTGCATGTCTAATTCAAATCTTTTATTGGCTTCCTTCATTGTGTTTCTGAATCCCATGACAGCAGCATGTTGGAATATCGGAGCAAGCAAACCCCGAAAATCTGCTCCAACTCGACTAAAAGAGAGTCCAAAGTACATACACTGCCCTAAGACAGAGTCTAATCTTTCACCCACTCCCATCATTAGATCTTGTTCTAATGTTGCCAGGAATTCAGAGATTTTGTGAACCACCCATCCATGAAATAAAGATGCTTCGCTGACCGTGTCGTCTTTCTTTGTGCTCAGTAGCGGATCATCATCAGAGAAAATGGCTCTGTACTGCGTAATGATGTCAAACAGATGCACACGGCTGGCCTCGATTGTTTTTGTTATGTGCACGTATGGATCTTCTCTGGAAATCGAGTTCAGAATTCCTTGAAACCAAGTACTCCTCGCTTGAAGAAATTTGATTCTTAGCTCTGTTTCTGTAAAGACATCCATTCGTCGAATGTAACCAATCACCCTTAAGCAGGCTGGGAGCTGGATATTGGTACGTAACTGTTGAATTAGTTGTTTCAGCATCAGCTGTGTGGAACCTTTTACCTCCGTAACTATCGTCCCTATAATGGAAATACTGCCATGTTTCTTCTCCAGTCGTTTGACATGAGCCGCGAGTTCCAGCGCCTCTTCATAATAACCGTTCCTTACACATGTGTCCATCAATTGTGGCATCTCGAGGATTTCTAGCAGTTGTGTGTGTCGCTGAAGGGTGAGATTATTCATTCGCCGACTGGCGTTAATTTCTTGGGCTTTCTGCATTACACCATTGCATTCCTCACTGAAATTCGGCAACTTTTCCAATAAGTTTCCAACATGTTCTTCTACTATTTGGAAATCTTTAAAAATGTCCCTTGAACATTCAGCTGTCTCTATGAACGTTTTGTAGTGCTGAAAAGCCAGGTTCTGCGTGGCTTGAAGTATCTCGTTCTTTTCTTCGGCCAGATGATCAGGCTCAAGTGACAGTTTTTGGACTCCATATGAACTCAACTCACTCAGGTACTGCAGGAAGTCGGAATTTTCTTGCCAGTTTTCAGGGAAAGAATCTTTAAAAATCCCTGCAAGAATGTTTTCGTCTTCCACGTCCATCTTCTTACCGGAAGTGAGTGTCTGGGGTTGGGTAAATGTAGTACTCGCAGAGCTCGACTCCCAACTGTGCCAGATTTTTTTTTACAAAAACTTTTATCATGGTCATAACTTTTGAATGAGAAGAGATACCTAGTGCTTTCATACGTTAATTTCCTGTGGCAAGACATTTCCAAATATACTAGCTATGGTTTTTAACCATGTGACCTTGACCTTGACGTTTGACCTACTTTTCAAAAAAATGTAACATTACACTAAATTGGATACAACTTTTGTAAAAGAAAAGATAGGGCTTTCATATTGCATATATATATTATCCATGACAAGACCTTTCTAAACATACCATGATTTTTTACCCTGTGATCTTAACTTTGAAGTATAACCTACTTTTAAAAAATGTTATCTTTACTTATAAATTTTGATTGAGAAGGAAAGAGATTTTCATATTTGACATGCGCGTTATCCACGCCAAGCTATCTCCGACCATGCTATAATTTTTTAATATGATTTTTTTAACCCAAACCTTGACCTTCAAAGTTTTACGTTATAATTGATTTTTTAAAATGAATATAAATTACACTTTCATGATTACCTTTGAAGAAATCGTTCACAATATACAATATAATCAAAACTAAAAATTAATGCTCATACACTGTATATTGAAATTTGATAGATTAAAGATGTTTACAGAGATTCATTGCGAGAAAAATATGTTTATTGCAAAAATGTGTCATTTTTGTAAATTTTTTATGTGAAAATGAAAATCATGCTTGATACTTTATTTTTATTCTAATTTAATAATCAATGTAAATAAACAATATTTGTTAAATTTAATGCTCAATGGTATTACAAATTTTGTGAATTAACATGTTATTTTTTATTTTTCGACATTATCAATCCTACAAGTATTAGAACTACTAAAAAACTTTTGTGCATTGAAATGAGGTAAATAAAACCTTCAAAAAAACATTATCTTTATTTTTTTTTATGAAAACAAAGGTGTTGTAATTCATTTTTGTATGTATGATGATTTTTTAAAAAAATATATTTTTTTAATTAATATGATTTTTTTTAACCTTGACCTTGACCTTCATGTTTGAGCTAATTTAAATAAAATTAACTTTCGTTATTACTGTTGAATGACATATGACATGGCGTTCACAATATACCATACATTAATGGCACCCCATCCACAAAGACACTGAAAGCGAGGACCAACTTTCTTTAAATTTGCTTGTATTATTTTGTTTTTTATTTATTCTTTCATGTATGAATTTTTATACAGATGAATCAAATGTGCATAGTATAAAACTAGTATCGCAATAATATAATCAAAAATAGATGAATGTAAATTATCATAAATTGTAAATTTAGGAAGGGATCGACTTTTTATCAAAGTCATAGTATTGTTCATCGAATTTAAATGCCTTTAGTTATAGAGATGACTTTTAATTTTTAACTTGAGTCAGACAGGTCGAGGATACGAGTTTATCAGAACGGCTTAAATCGAAACTAGCCTACTTGGAAAAATTTAAGATTTATATAAAAAAAAAATATTCACAGTGACACACTACTTGTGCTAGCTGCTCTTCCTGGTGTGTTTCAGGTTGTTTTATACATGTAACTTTTAGAAACGTGTTTTATGCCTTCTAGGGGAGTAAACTATATAACTAATCAGTGACTGAATCACAGAAAATTAATATTTAGTCGCCATCACCGACAACTTCAGTTCGGTGGTAGAGAGGACAAATATGGCTGACATTCCATGTACGACAGGTATGGTTGATGTAGGTATTGTAGATATACGATCTGGTTTTAGTTCTACTGTTGGACCCATGGATCCACGTCCAAGTTGTACAGTCCAGCGCGGGGAACAAACAAATCTCCTTCCACGCCTCAGTCCTACAGTACAGCCATTGCTACACATTAGTTCCACAGTGCGACCTTTCGATGCACTTCCACCATTTTCAGATCTCGGCTCTGTTCTAACAATATATTAGTTACTGAAGGAAAATTTCTCATACAACTTTTAATTTTCTTTTCATTATAAAAGGAAATGTACAAATCGATGTTGGATGGCTCTGATGTTTGATTTGAAAATATTGGTGGATTCTCTCTGTCATCATCTCTACAGAGATCAATTTAATTCACGTCATCTGTATGGTCTGAAGATTTTAATATCTCTACAATATGATTTAATCTGATTAATACGATTCCAGCCAAAGGATTACAATTCATAGCAGAATAATCTCTCTGATTTGAGGATAATAACAAATTACTAACATCTTTTTTTTTAAAAAAAAGGGGGGGGGGGGGAAATGATTATCACTCTGAATCTCATCTGTACATTACACATGCATCATCATGACATTCATGAAGTTTGCCATTTCTCCAAAAGATGCCTTATTTCTGCTGGCTTTCCTGTTCTAATCCTGGCTACAATGAGTTGGATGGTATCCAATGACACCCCTGCTCTAAGCAGATAATACTGCATACAAAATGTACGTAAATGAGCTTCTGAGACAAGCTCCCATGTACTTTGTATGCGGGGGGACCAGGGAGCATGAACAGGTGATAGGTAAAACTAGATCTATTATGAGCACTGAGCTCACTAATGATACCCCCGCCTCCTATATGTTATAATGGCAAAGTCTATATTTTACCCTGGGAGACACGAAAATAAGTGTTAGATAAATAAGTAAAATAAAGGACCTTGAGGTGCACAATGACATTAAATTTTAGTCAGTGGTATAGGAAGATGTTGCGGATAAAGGATGGGTATACTCTTCATGCAATATAGAAAAAATGGCAGTGTCAATTAATGTTTTGCTATTGGAAACCCGTAATATGTTTCCGATCAAAAAGTAACATAGGAGGTGCACAATGGTTCTATATATGTAACAAAGATGATTCTGTGAAAGTCTCATACATTTCCTTTCAGTGGTATAAGATTAGAGATGGGTATCCTAAAGCTTAACAGACAGATGTACGGACAGACGCGTAACAAGCGGGGGGTATAATGAAACCACTTATTCTCACTCTCCGGTTAGAAAAATCAGTCAGAAAAGTTATGTTGAGTTTCATGTAATAGATCATTGGCCTTGTCGTGATTTTAATTTTGCTCGTTTGAGGAATTATTTTTTTTTAAATTTTTTTAAAAAAATTATTTTTGCATAGAAAATATTTGAGAGTTTCACTTCTGTCTATATGTTATTGTGTTCTGGAGGTTTCATGCATTTCGCCCAGTCCAGTAAATCAAAATTATTACCGGTATAAATCATTCTGTGTCTATATATATTACATCAAAAGAATTTGATGCATTGACAATGAAATTCAAACAAACAGAAAAGGGGGGTTGAGATCTGCATGCCAAGAAAACTTACGCATTCTATGCGGAGAGGAAACTCAATAAAAGCCGAATTAAACGTTAAACTGTGATTCTTCCCCAGGGAGATGTGCGCGAGGCAATTAATGTCAGCAGTTTTGAGGGAGGGATCTTAAGTTTTATTGGGTTTAAAACATAGGTAGGAATACTAATTATTTAGAAGCCTTGCACCCACCCCTTTTTTAGGGGGGGGGGGGCATCTAAATCAAATGCTGTTAAAAAAGTAAAATAAAAAGAATGTTAAAATTAATTATAGTAAACTCATTCTTCAGTAAAAGTAAGCTGCCTCTCAAATATACTAGGTAGTTGTGAAAGTACAGCGTGGAATTATGGGGAAAAGGAGATGAAGAAGAGTACTAAATGAGTAGACGTTACCTGATTGGCTATGTAAATATTTTCATTTTAAAGTAAAAAAAAAAAATATCAATGATTGAAATAAATGGTGGAATGTAATATCAAGTTAATTTTTCTTTAACTAAGAAAGCTGAAAACCTAGGATCCACCCCCTGAAATCTGCTTCCGTAAATTGTCTTGCCCGAGTTTGGGGAATATGGGTGATTTGCATCAACAAGCAAATTCAAAGAATTGTGGTCCCCCGCTTTCGGTGTCTTTTTTTTTTTTTGGTGAGTTGTCATTTTTTTATGACATTTTGTGTCTAATATGAACGTCCTATCATAAGTCATCTATTTATATGATTAGAAATTATAACTGAACTCCAAGGTCAAGGTCAAAGTGTTAACGTTCTTGGTATCCAATGAAAAGTCTTCTCAAAAGGATTACATATGTCTAGTATGAAAGCCCTAGCCCTTACCATTCAAAAGTTATGGTCAAGGTTAAAGTTTTTTCATAAGTACGGAAATCTCCAAATTAAGGTCAAAAGGTCAAAGTAGTTGGTATCAAATAAAAGGTCTTGCTACAAAGAATACATATGTGAAATATGAAAGTCCTATTAGTACCTATTAGTCACAAAAACTTTAACCTTGCCCATATCTTTTGATTTAGTAGAGCTATGACTTTCATATTCCACATGTGTATTCCTTGTGACAAGACCTTTCTTTGGGTACCACCAAACTTGACCTTTTGACCTTGACCTTGGAGTTTGACCCACTTTTACACAGAAATTTCAAACTTTTACTTTGGCCATAACTTTTGAGTGGAAGAAACTAAGACTTGCATATTTCATATATGTATTGTTTGTGGCAAGACCTTTCATTGGATACCAACAACTTTGACCTTTTGACCTTGACTTTGGAGATTTACATACTTATGAAAAAACGTTAACCTTGACCATAACTTTTGAACGGTGAGGACTAAGGCTTTTGTACTTCACATATGTAATTCTTGTGAGAAGACCTTTCATTGGATACCAGTAACTTTTACCCTTTGACCTTGACCTTGGAGTTTTAACTATTTTTTAAAATCTTTAACCTTGGTCACAACTTTTAAACAGTTGATACTAGGACTTTTATATTTCACATATGCATTCCTTGTTGCAAGACATTTCATTGGATATCAACAACCTTGACCTTTTGACCTTGACCTTGGAGATTTACATACTTATGAAAATACTTTAACCTTGACCATAACTTTTGAACAGTGAGGGATAGGGCTTTCGTACTTCACATATGTAATCCTTTTTAGAAGATCTTTCATTGGATACCAACAACATTTACCCTTTGACCTTGACATAAGAGTTTTAACTACTTTAAAAAAAACTTTAACTTTGGTCACAACTTTTGAACGGTAAATACTAGGACTTTTATATTTCACATATGTATTCTTTGTGGCAAGTCCTTTCATTGGATATCAACAACTTTGACCTTTTGACCTTGACCTTAAAGATTTACGTACTTATGAAAAAAATTTTAACCTTGACCACAACTTTTGAACGGTAAGGGCTTGGGCTATCATACTTCACATATATAATCCTTGTGAGAAAACCTTTCATCAATAACTTTGAGCCTTTGATCTTGACCTTGGAGTTGACCTTCTTTTAAAAAACGTTTACTTTGGCCATAACTTTTTAACGGTCAGGATTAGGGTTTTCATTCTTCAAAAAAATCAACTTCAAAGATAATTTCTAAGAAATGACATATAATAGGATGTTCATATTAGACACAATATGTCCTAAAAAATAACATCTCACCAACAAAGACACCGAAAGCGGGGTACCACAATTCTTTGAATTTGCTTGTTAAATCTATATACTATTCCAAGTAATAGTGACCTTAGACCCCCCCCCCCCCCAAAAAAAAATCGTTGGACCTCTCATTGAAAACGCGGATTTATTTGAAATTGGTTTGATCGAAGCTTTAAAAGTCAACGACTATAACACCCCCTTACCACCTCCACCACCACCACCACCACCACCAAATATAGGTTTTTCACGTTTAATTGGAAAATGTTTACTTCTTTTGCTTGTCAAGAATTTTTTGGGGTTAGATATTTTTTTTTGGTCTGGGGTAGACCCCTCCTCTGGAAAAAAAAATCCTGAATCCTCGCCTGAAGTGGATTGTATATATTGAATTCAATTAATTGTGGTAAAAATAATTTTTTTTTTAAAATGTGACTTCTGATTGATCACAGTGTATATGTTTTATCTGGATAATGGACTCTGTTAGATTTATTCTGAATTTTATAACTCGGAGCCTTTTGTGCGAATTAGAACATCGCTTGTACGACTTAGAAATTCGTTTGTACAACCACAATTTAGTACATGTAGTTGAAGTTGTTCGAACAATTTTTTAAAGAATCGTTTGTATGATTTTTTTTTCTTCAGTAAAATCATGCTTTCGCCATAGAAAATCGTTTGTACATGTTTAAAACGGTTTTTGATAACCGTTCAAAATATTAATTTCTAACTCGTTCAAACGAATCTGCCGTTCCAACGGAAAAAAAATTATAAAATAAAAGAAATCGTTGGTAGGATTCAGAAATTTACTGTGCAATTCAAAATTTTTGCTGAGGTGTGAACATTTGTTGAATTTACCATTTTATTCAATCCATTGGGGTTCCTAACAATATTAAACTTCTTACTATTCGATATATAGGGTGTAATTTGTAGACAGTAATTAAGAAGTTTAATATTGTGAGGAACCCCTATGGATTGAATAAAATGGTAAATTCAACAGCAAAAACCTCAGTTGGCAAGTTAAGAAGACGATCTATGTGAGCGGTGATAAAAAAAAAACATCCTTGTTGAAGCTGTTCTTAAAGATCCGCCCATATTCATTGTTGGCCTTTGCGCAGAACGCATATATACGGAAAGATTCATCATGTGACCATTACGTCACTGAATTTTTGAGAGAAGATCCTTCTTTTTTAAATGAAAATAGTTTTCTCCGTTTATGAAGAGAAGTCAAACTTTAGCTTGGAAATTGATTTTATGCAAATTTTTTCATCTAATAGGCCTAGTACATGAATGAAATGTTTCCATATCAAAAGCGGTAATCAGATTGTTTGACGTCACACTAATCGTGACGTTTGAATATTCATGAGCTTCGTGTCCTCGAAGAAGGTGGGTTACATGTGCAGAGAAGGGAAAACGCTGATAAAATTGTAATTTATAGGAAACTGTTCATTTATGTGATTTACAAAAGGATTTTTCCTTTTTTCCATCGTTATAGATAGCGCACACGTACTAATTGTTCAATTTCTCGCGAGGAAGCCGACAACATCGCAGAAAATATTTGTGGTCGCCATTTTCCAGAAAGGAAATGCCAACTATGGCCCAAATCACAGACACAACAGGTACTGTGTTTATTATTTACTGGTTTAGCCGTTTTTACGACTGGCTTGCTTTGTTAGTATTTTGTTTACACAATGTTCTGCTGCTTAGTCAGCATTAGCTGACAATGATAAAACTGTCTGTTGTTTTACAGTTTTGGTTTATGGCACTGTTATTGATGCAAAACTTTTGAATTTTTACTGCGCACAATGCGTAGTACTCAGGAAAATAAAACAACTAACCTCACCTTATATTCATAACAATAAGGGATTTTGAAACCTCAATTTTTTCTGCATTTTTCTCCCATATCAAAATATTCTGTTTACAGTTATCATGGTTATGTTTTTATGTTTATTTTTAGTTTAAAGAGAGTTTTTTGTGTTTAAGCGAGTTGTCAAGGAATTACTCCTAACCTGTTTTTAAGCCTTGCATAGGTTCTAAAAGATTATTAAAAATCATGAGTTCATCCATCACACATCCCTCTTTCCTGAAAATAGAAAGTACCAATTTGCACAAAATTTTGCTAGTGTGAAATAGTTAACATATCAGAATATAGGAAGTTCCTCTCGTGTTCCTTAGTGAGACAGTATGTGTTGATTTGTAGGTTTGGCCGAGTTGGCCCATCAGGAGTACCAGGCCGGGGACTATGACAACTCAGAACAACACTGCATGCAGCTGTGGAGGCAGGAGCCAGAAAACACGGGGGTTCTACTGCTCCTCAGCTCCATACACTTCCAGTGTAGGCGCCTAGAAAGGTAGGAGACAGAAAACACGGGGTTCTACTGCTCCTCAGCTCTATACACTTCCAGTGTAGGCGCCTAGAAAGGTAGGAGACAGAAAACACGGGGGTTCTACTGCTCCTCAGCTCTATACACTTCCAGTGTAGGCGCCTAGAAAGGTAGGAGACAGAAAACACGGGGGTGCTACTGCTACTCAGCTCCATACACTTCCAGTGTAGGCGCCTAGAAAGGTAGGAGAGAGACACAGCTAGGTTATAGTCATTAAATTAAATAAACACGTGGATACTACTCTCCTCAGCTCCATACACTTCCAGTGTAGGCGCCTAGAAAGGTAGGAGACAGACACAGCTAGGTTATAGTCATTAAATTAAATAAACACGTGGATACTACTCTCCTCAGCTCCATACACTTCCAGTGTAGGTGCCTAGAAAGGTAGGAGACAGACACAGCTAGGTTATAGTCATTAAATTAAATAAACACGTGGATACACTACTTTCCTCAGCTCCATACACTTCCAGTGTAGGCGCCTAGAAAGGTAGGAGACAGACACAGCTAGATTATAGTCATTAAATTAAATAAACACGTGGATACTACTCTCCTCAGCTCCATACACTTCCAGTGTAGGCGCCTAGAAAGGTAGGAGACAGACACAGCTAGGTTATAGTCATTAAATTAAAAAAAAACGCGTGGATACTACTCTCCTCAGCTCCATACACTTCCAGTGTAGGCGCCTAGAAAGGTAGGAGACAGACACAGCTAGGTTATAGTCATTAAATTAAAAAAAACGCGTGGATACTACTCTCCTTAGCTCCATACACTTCCAGTGTAGGCGCCTAGAAAGGTAGGAGACAGACACGGCTAGGTTACAGTCATTAGATTAAAAAAACACTGGATACTGCTCTCCTTAGCTCCATACACTTCCAGTGTAGGTGCCTAGAAAGGTATGAGACGGACACATGTAGCTTAAAGTCATTAGATTAAACAAATGTTATGCAGTGTTGAACTATAAAATGCTGTGAGTGAGCTTCAATGGTAATTGCTGTTATATTTTTGATACTGAAAGAATAAAACAATTGCACAAAAATGCAGTGAACATGGGACTAAACTTCTGTTCTTGCATTATGATATAGGTCAGCATACTTCAGCCAGCTTGCCATCAAACAAAACCCCATGCTAGCGGAGGCGTACTCCAATCTAGGAAATGTGTTCAAGGAGCGAGGACAACTACAGGAAGCTCTAGAGAATTACCGGCACGCCGTCAGACTAAAGCCGGACTTCATAGATGGTTACATCAACCTGGCAGCCGCCCTGGTAGCCGCCGGAGACATGGAGCAAGCCGTACAGGCTTACGTCACAGCGCTACAGTACAACCCAGTATGTTATATCACTACATTACATAACAGAGAAAACAAGAATCACCACTGTACATTACAATAAAATGTTTGATCATATCAGTACTCAACATTACAGTTTAATGCTCTACAGAGTACAGTATAGAATTTTTGTAAATATCACAAATCTACAGTAAAATATTGAATGTTGCTTAGGTCCGAGCCCTGTATATTTGTGTCCAGACCTTTCAGTAACAGTTGTTTTGCCCTGTATTATTGTGTCCAGACCTTTCAGTAACAGTTGTTTTATCTTTCCAGGATCTCTACTGTGTGCGGAGTGACTTGGGAAATCTGCTGAAAGCTTTGGGAAGACTGGACGAGGCAAAGGTAGTGATTGCATCATTGCTATAAATAGAGACTCTACAGCTGATCCGACGCCTTAGTTCTCTCAGTGTTCTTTTGTGACATGTAGATACAAATGACTTTCATTCGTAAACCTCTCATGGAGGAAATGTTGAAGTCGTTTCATTTTGCAAATGGCCAAAAATTTTGTAGAGTTTTAGGTCATATAATAACATGAATCTGTGAATTAAAAAAAAAAGGAAAAACAATTTGTGGCAAATGATTTGCAAAATGAAAGTCTTTTGTGTCAATTTTCTTTCCATTTAGATGTGTGATTAGTTAAGAAGATGTGACTCACATTGAAAACAAAAATTGATCATGTACTGACTGACATAATTTTAAGAAGAGTATTTGCCAAAAAAATTAAACGATAACTCAATGTTACGTTCATCTTCTTAGCTATTGAATGCAGCTGGCGATAAGAGGCAACCAACATGAAGCAGCAAAACATTTCAATACAAGCCCTCATTCTTCTTACTCTTTCTGTGTCTCATGCTATGTCATGTTCTCAGGGTCCCTCCAGGATATTGAAATGTTTTGAAATGTATTTATATTGCAAATTATATGTAGAAAGTCATTTGTGTCTTCAGTGTTTTAGCTTTATTTTGAAGAATTTCATGAAGAAATAAGTTTTTAGAGTTTGACTAGAATTTATTATATGCATAGATAAAAAATATGTGAAGAAATTAAAATCTTCACTAAAAAAAGGATATGAAATGTTGTATAATTGAATCTTGTTTTGTTTTGACATAACCTGGTTTTTCTTTTGTTACTAATTTCCACTTACTTTGGCATTAATCTGAGCGTTTTCTTTATAATTTCTGTAATAGTACACGAGGTGCCACGCCTCCGTGCCAGGGATGTCTGCTGTATACAACTGGTATGACTCTATATGGTAATTATTGCCAGAAAAATTTGATGTTCTAGTGGTAAATTGGAGGTATTGTATGCTACATGTGTATGTAGTCTCAAATAAAAATCCTATAAAATCTGGAAAAAAAAGTCTCAGTGCTAACAAAATTGACATCTTTTTCAGAACAAAAAAAGAAAAAAAAATCTAAATTATAAATTTTCTCTATATAAAGAAATTCCTTCTCTACCATCACCCCGTGCTGCGCGCGCCCTGGTCCTGTCGCTGCGGTCGCTAGCGGAACACAGCCTTCTGACAGACATGTCACAAAATCAAAACTAAAGTATTCTTTGTCCTGTTAATGATTAAAAATTTAACAACATTAACTAAGACAAACTTGTCAGAAGGGTTGTTCGATTACAACTTGTCTGATTTGAAGTAGTCCGGACTTAACCAACTGTTGACAAACTTGGGCAGAGTTATGGGGAATAATGAACAGTGATAATAGAAATGTCATATGTCCAATAGTCAGGACTGCTTCAAACCAATGGTTTCTGATCTCAGTTTGACATCATACTAGTTAACTATCGATAATAGGCTGGACTTCAGTCAAGGATTAAAGGTTAAGTTGCTGAACTTTAGAGTTATGGCAAGCAGACGTCAGGAATCATATTTTATGCTCAGATGGGTTGTAAGAATTTGCGCGTTGTTCGCTCCCGCTGCGCATGCTGTTGCGCTGAATCTGTAAATTTTTCTCCCTTTTAACTTTGTATATTTTCTCTTTTGTTTAGACTTGTTATTTAAAAGCTATCGAGACACAGCCAAATTTTGCTGTGGCCTGGAGTAACTTGGGGTGTGTGTTCAATGCACAAGGAGAAATCTGGTTAGCAATCCATCACTTTGAAAAGGTAAATATTGTTTGTAGAAGAAAGATTGTTTGCATAAGTAATTGAAACTGTTGATTTGTGAAACCATTTTCTATGTCACTTTTTATTACACTCTGTTTCACTTCTATGACAGGCTGTTGCTCTAGATCCCAACTTTCTGGATGCGTATATAAACCTAGGCAATGTGTTAAAAGAAGCCAGAATATTTGACAGAGCTGTAGCAGCTTACCTGCGGGCCCTGAATCTGAGTCCCAATCATGCCGTGGTACACGGAAACCTGGCTTGTGTATACTATGAACAGGGGTAGGTCTCATCATCTGTACCAGTGTGTACAGCTGTGTTTATTAGCATCCCACTGTCAGCACATTCTTATCTATTTCAATCTTTAGAATAAATAATTTTTTTTTCTGGCATTGTAATTAAATGCACATTGTTTTATTCCTCAGATTGATTGACCTTGCCATAGACACCTACAAACGTGCCATAGAACTTCAGCCAAACTTCCCAGATGCCTACTGTAATCTTGCTAATGCACTGAAGGAGAAGGGCAAGGTGTGTACTGTCTACAATAATTTAATTAGAATCTAAAGATTTCCTAAGATTTACACTGAAATTGTCATAAGATTTAAACTAAAGATTTCGTAAGATTTATGTTTGTGTTATACGTTGATCAGGTGGTGGAGGCTGAGGAGTGCTATAACACGGCCCTAAAGCTGAGTCCTACACATGCCGACTCCCTGAACAATCTGGCCAACATCAAGAGAGAGCAGGGCAACACAGAGGAAGCTGTCAGACTGTACCTCAAAGCACTAGAGGTTAGTCCCACGGACTTGTTAACCAGTGTTGTGTATTACTAGAGAGATTAAAAGTACAGCTTACTCCACTTATATTGAACTCGGTTATTTTGAAATTCTGCTTATTTTGAAATAGAAATAAATCCCCAGTTTTTGCTTCTCATATTCTTTGCATTAAAATAACGGTTATATTGAAATCGGATATATTGAAATTTCGCTTATATTGAAGCCACTGATCGGTCCCCACAGGTGATAATGAGTTGTTTTCATAACGGTTATATTGAAGTACTCCCTAGCGGCTGTCGTTACGGTTGGTGACAGTAATTATGCCTGATTGACCAGTTGATATACAAAGGTGTGAATAATTAAGTTTTCACCTTATCTGTTTTTATACTGCATGCTCTTACGAAATAAAATTCTTCACTGTTAAATTCTTTGCGTCCACGTATATGATACGGACATATCGAGACTAAACATTTAAACGTAATATAGTACATGTAACCCCCACAGATCTAGGGAAAAAAACATAACTTTGAAATTAAATATGTACTGTTAATGGCTATTGATATGCCTAAATTCGAAATAACTAAGGGGTTGATTAACCTGAATACACTTACGATGAAATACAAGCAGCGTTCAGCAGTACTCAACCGTTTAAGGCCGGTGATTTTTTCCCAAAACGTAAATAAATGCGATCGGGGAATAATAACGGGGTTGAATTTTGTCTTTTCAATAAAATAGAAGTAAAAAAAATTAAATTTTCAAGGACTCATATTCTATGTAATCTGCTCACTGTTGTAGACAAACGATGACAAATCAATTTGTTCGGGTTTGTTCTTTATTTTAGATCGGGATTGAACTTGTAAAAATGGCGGCTTCACGATTTCGCTTATATTGAATTACAGATATATTGAAATGATTTGCATGGTCCCCTGAATTTCAATATATCCGGAGTAGGCTGTATTGCTGTATTAAGTTCAAACAAGATTTTATTAAGGATGACTTTCTTTTTTTTTTTTAGGTATATCCTGAGTTTGCTGTAGCCCATTCCAATCTGGCCAGTGTCTTACAACAGCAGGGCAAACTCCATGAGGCCCTCATGCATTACAAAGAGGCCATCAGGTGGGCATTGTTCAAAATCTTCTGTTGCCTTCTTGAAATAAATTTTTGCTATTTTAGCTCTTTTAACAAGTTTCCTTGCCTTTTAGGATCTCCCCCACGTTTGCTGATGCTTATTCTAACATGGGTAATACCTTAAAGGAGATGCAGGATATACAGGGGGCCCTGCAGTGTTACACCAGGGCCATACAGATTAATCCTGCCTTCGCCGACGCCCACAGCAATCTGGCGTCCATCCACAAGGTACATATAGGAGATGATTATGATGTGTCGGTAGTAGATCTGAGTAGATTGTTCATGAGTTGTGTGTTAGTGATCGGTAATATGTTTGTATTGTGTGTATTTTAGGATTCTGGTAACATCCCGGAGGCCATCGCTTCCTACAGAACAGCCCTAAAGTTGAAGCCTGATTTTCCTGATGCCTACTGTAACTTAGCACATTGCCTACAGGTAGGTCACTGAACAAATTGTTCTAGGTAAAGTCATCTAAAACTTTGAATTTGTACCTTATTTGGCCTAATCTATTTTCTTTCCTACAAAGTACAAACCAATTTATATTGATACAATAAATCTGAGTAGTTAATCAGTAAACAGTAAGTTGACATTGTATTGTGTTATAGATTGTGTGTGACTGGACGGACTACAGCTCGAGGATGAAGCGACTCGTTCACATTGTGAAGGATCAGCTGGCTAAGAACCGCCTGCCCTCAGTCCACCCTCACCACAGCATGCTCTACCCACTGTCTCACAAAATGAGGAAGGCTATAGCAGCCAGGCACGCTAACCTCTGTCTGGAAAAGGTAATGTCTGGAATCGGATAATGATTTAAAAACGTAAGAAAGGGGTTATGAAAATCTCGACAAGACACTAATAATATAATTTGTATAGGCTTCAGACATACTCTGTGACTAGTGTTCTGATGTATCATTTTTTTGAACAGATCAATGTTTTACACAAACCTCCCTATGACCATCCCCGGGATCTGAAGGAACCCAAGGGAAGGCTGCGGATTGGGTACGTCAGCTCGGACTTTGGGAACCACCCCACCTCTCATCTGATGCAGAGTATCCCAGGGTTCCATAACAGAGACAACGTAGAGGTAAAAATACACATGTAAAATAAGTTCACGAGTCATTCAACTTCGCTTTAGTTTTAAAAGGTGTATATTTAGTTTCTTTGTTAGATAAACAGGTATATTTATACTATTGTTTCTCTGTCACAGATTTTCTGCTATTCCCTGAGTCCTGATGATGGAACCACCTTCCGTGCCAAGATTAACGCTGAAGCTGAACACTGTATAGACTTGTCCCAGATCCCCTGTAACGGCAAGGCAGCGGACAGGATCTATGCTGACGGAATCAACATCCTGGTCAACATGAATGGCTACACGAAGGGAGCCAGAAACGAACTTTTCGCTCTCCGACCTGCCCCTATACAGGTCAGTATAGACATGATTCCAGATTGAAAACATTCTTCCCTGGTTGTGTCTTGCATAATCCAAAAAAGAAAGTGTGAATTAACTAGAAAAGGATGCTACATGCCATAGACACTGCCCTAATTTCTCTTTTGTGCTAATTAATGCAAATTGTAATCACATGTTAATGTGTGGGTGATTTGTAGGTAATGTGGTTAGGTTACCCGGGTACCAGTGGAGCTACATTTATGGACTACATCCTGACAGACGAAGTGACTTCCCCCCTAAATCTGGCTGACCAGTACTCTGAGAACCTGGCCTTTATGGCCCACACCTTCTTTATAGGAGACCACATGCAAATGTTTCCTCATCTGAAGGAGAAACTCCTGATTGAAGTCGACGGCAACGTGTCAGACAACAACATAATTCTGAATGGAGTCAACCTGGAACCTCTGAAACAGAGCGGACAGCTCAAGGTCAGTTTCTATAGATTAGGTCATAGTTCATATAAGTATAAAAAAAAACTTGAATGGTTTGAATTCATGCATTTGCAAGAGACTTGAATCCTGGAAATTTTTAAGCAGTAAGAAAATTGTTTCCTGTCAAGTATGTTGAAAAGTAATGATAAGTATGCCTATCCTTATTGCAGACTATAACCTACACTGCTGAGCACGGAGAGACCACGGATAACAATGATGGAAGCCCCGCCCAGGTGACCTTTGACTTCATGTCTCTCCCAGTTCAACCAATCATACAGACGATGACCCAGACAGGCCTCTCCCACTCCTGTATCAATGATGTCATCATTCAAAATGGAGTCACCACCAACCAGGTATAATCTGTCTCCAACACAATGTTATATTTGTTTTACTGTAAACTAATCAGTAAACTAATGCAAATGAAATACTTGAAGGCAGTGTTGACAGTCATTTGAAATTGTGTGACAGTATTTATTTAGGCAAGTTTTGTTTGGGATGATGTTATTTTTATTTTCCTCGTGATTACCTAGACAAACAACAAAGCTGCTACAGGAGAGGAGATTCCCCAGAACATCATTATCAGCGCTCGCTCCCAGTACGGACTGCCGGAGGATGCGGTGGTCTACTGTAACTTTAACCAGCTGTATAAGATTGATCCCCAGACTCTACACATGTGGATAGAGATCCTGAAGCAGGTGCCTGATGGTGTGCTGTGGCTCCTCAGATTCCCGGCCGTAGGGGAGACCAATGTTCTACAGACTGCTGCTAATGCTGGACTCTCTGCTGGACGAATCATATTCTCCCCTGTGGCACCCAAGGTATGATGGCTACCATTTCATACAAAGCTAGTGACATTCATAAGAAATTCAGAATTGCATCTATATTTGGCTTTATTTGGAAAAGAATTTTTTCTTTGAAGATATTTTTTTTTTGCAAAATTTTTTGAATTGGTTAAAATGTTTTCAAAAATAATATTCATCTTCAGTATTTTGGAACAAATTCATCAAAGTTACATTTTACTTAGAATTAAATAAATTTCAATTAAAATGGTTTAAAGAGTATTTTACATTAGATTATTGAAGGTTAGATAGTGGTTTGATATTCTGGTCTGTTAACCTGTTGATGCCTTCTTTGTACAGGAGGAGCATGTAAGACGTGGACAGTTAGCTGACGTCTGTCTAGACACACCACTGTGTAACGGTCACACGACAGGCATGGACGTCCTGTGGGCAGGAACTCCAATGGTCACTCTATTAGGTGAGGCATTAAACCCTGTAGAAAGTATTAATGGTCACTCCATTAGGTGAGGCATTAAACCCTGTAGAAAGTATTAATGGTCACTCTGTTAGGTGAGGCATTAAACCATTTTAAGCTCTGTAGAAAGTATTAATGGTCACTCTATTAAGTGAGGCATTAAACCACTGTAAGCTCAGTAGAAGTATTAGAGGATCCATATATGAAAACCGCTAACAATATAATTATTTACAGGAGAGACGTTGGCTTCCCGTGTGGCTTCCTCTCAGCTGACGACACTAGGATGTCCTGAACTGGTAGCCAGGACAAGCGAGGATTACATCAGAATCGCCTCAAAACTTGGCACAGATAAAGCTTAGTAAGTTGTCTAGCATGTGTAATTGTAAAGCACTCTCACATATTGGATGATTAATGACAAAAAATAAACAAATTGACAAATTGAAATAACTGTGACTTGAGGAACACATATTTATAATTGTTGGGAATGTTTTTGCAGTTTAAAAGCCATGAGAGCCAAGGTGTGGAAAGCGAGGATAGCCAGTCCACTGTTTAACTGTAAAACCTACGCCAGAAACATGGAGGTGTTGTACAGGAAGATGTGGCAGAAGTATGTTAACGGAGAAGATCCCAGTCACATCGTGGACACGTCCAAACACCGAATGTCCTCATGATCCCTCCTCAGTGTGTCCTTATCTAGGTCACCTGTGACACTGCCCCCCAGAGCTAATGTAATAGTGCTGTGTAACAGACAACTATGCCCCCCGTTACAGTGACTCCAGATAATATATACTATACTGTAAATTACACATACCATCATTGTACGAGATTAACCACTGTAACTGTGCATAGAGACGATGTAACAAGTATTTATTTCCTGTGTGTGTTTATGGTGCATGTATCTATTGTGTTAGGAGAGTCTGTTAACATCTCCTTAACCTGTACATTGATCTGTTCTTGTTATCAATGGTTTTCTTGGCTTGATTTTAGTTCTAGATTTAAAGCAATGATTTTTTGATTGCTTTTAGAAGTTATATTCCTATTTTGATTAAGATGTGATGAGCGAGTGAATAATTATGCATCTGAAAATGTTGGAAATGATGTTTGACTAATATGAAAATTCCTAAACATAATGTGCTGAAATGAAATGGCTGTCATGTTGTTTTGAGTGATTGTTGAATCTTTTTTTATGGCAAGTAAATTTAATAGTTAAAGCTTGTCTTCCATTGAAATGATAGTATGATGATGCAAAGAGAGAGAGAGAGAGAGAGAGAGAGATTAATGAAATGATGTATGCAGGAGCCATTGAATATTTTTGTTTATGTCTGAAAAAAAATCATTAAACCTGAAACTGTTTTGTTTTCAAGAGTTGAGTGCATTCAGAGATTGGAATGTATAGTTTGTCCATTTGTAGCTACATCGAAAAATGGGTTAGTGCCCTTTCTATATCTAGAAGGTATAAAAATATGAAAGGAGTGAGATGAGCAGTTTTCTTCTTACTGTCATTGATCCTAGGTCAAGACAAGCTTCTGCAACATTAGAAATAATTAGTGGAGTATGCATACCAAATATGAAGTCTCTATCTGTCATGTTTCAAAATTTATGGCGAAGGTTAATGTTTGCAGACAAACAAACAAACAGGCAGACAGGATAAAAACAATATATGCCCCGGATCTATCAATCCTGGTGCATAAAAAGTTATTGAGGGTATTCAATATCAAATCTATGCATTGCAAAGTGAAATGTGCAATTACGTAAAAAATGTAATTTAAAAGGACAGTGAGGTATCTGTGAACTACATACAGCACTGACGAGGTAGAAGCAGTCAGGTGTACCAAAGTGAAGGGTTTTAACACCCCAGGACTGAAAAAGGAGATGGCAAAGCTACTATGGTGTATGAGTCTTGTACAGTTTAAATGCTTAATCAGGATAGTTGTCTTAACTCCAAGGAACGAACACATTCTTATCGGGTTGTATGTACTCGGTGAGTGTCGTAAACTTCAGGGTCATTTGCAAAGGAAAATACACATGATGCAGGGAATGGAATAAAACCCAAGATTATGTGATCAAGTTTCAACTTAAAGATAGCATAAAATACCTAATATATCTTCATAGTATGTCCTACAGAACAAATAAAGCAGACATGAAGAAAGTTGGTTTTTATTCTCCGTGTTTCTGGGTCCATTGCTCGGTCGAAATTGAAATTTTTCACCATTAAAAAATATACCAGCGGGGTCTTTTAAAATAAACCAACATTTTTTAGGACAACTTAAACCATAAAAAAATTAATTTGCAAAAAATCCTATCATTCAGAAAATTTACGTCGAAGTTCAAGGTCGTCATTGTCTATTATTAAAAATATCGTATATATTTGCAAAAAAACGGTCATGTTTACATTTCTCGGGGGAAAACCCAACTATGACGTCACACATTCCTGAAATTTTTTCCGTCAACAACCATGTAAAAATATTTTTTGCGTTCTGAAATTTACAAAATACCCTACCATGTACATATTATGGCCCGTTTTTATGATTTTATACTACCCGTTTTTATCGTGTATGATCTTACTGAACTAAGAGGTCCACTATGACGTCAAAGACGCACTGGACGCGCAGAGTAGGGAAACGGCAGAGTGGATTAATCTATTCCGTAATTTGATAATATTTGCAAGAAATTTTGAATGTTTTAAGATATTTTTATACTAGATGGTGAACGCAAACAAACAGTCAAAAAAATTATACAAGTACTGTGGTGGTTTCAATCTCGTTTTGTACATATTTTATCTGAGATTATGATGTAAATCAACTGAGTCACGTGACCATACATCCTTCATCCCCTTAAAGATAGCATAATCTTCATAGGCGTCAGAAGCAAATTGAAGAAAGTTGGGGGGCTAATTGAAAGGGGGGCTAAACCAACATAAAAAGGTAAACCCCAATTTCCAATGTCTATATTATGTATATATTTGCAAAAAAAGGAGGGGGGCTACGCTTATGATCTTAGGTTTTATTCCATTCCAAGATGCTCTCAAAAACAGCAATATTGGGCCTATGGCCTTGACCATGTAATGCTATCGCCTTTGAAATTGATCTGAAAGAAAGCTATTAATCAAAGGTGATCAAACTGATATATAGAAAATACATTGGAAATATCAGGAAAGCAAAGACATGGTCACATTGTTGCAAACCACAGCCAAAATGTACGATCCTCTCCAATAGAGTTTATGTGAACACTGAACAGAGGCTTGAGACGATGGTAGTATAGATAATTCATGTTTGTTCAAATCATGACCCTTGGCTGTAGGATGAGGCAGAAATGATGGATCAAAGTTTAACATATAGGGATACTAGTAGGAAAAGACTTTAAATATTTTCCTAGGAACAGCATTAAAGCCATGATTAGGCATATAATTTATGTGGAAGCATCTGCAGGTTACGCAGATTCAGATTTATTCAAATCATTACCCCTGGTAGCATGATCAGGACATCATTTGTGATCAATGTTTTACATTAGAAAACGCAGGAAAAAATCGGATGATGAACAGGGCATTAGTTACTTGGGTGAACGTTGTGGCCAGTGGTTATACATCCGGCGTGAAAAAAAAGATTATTTCAAATCAAAATTTCAATAAATGAATAAATAATGGGATTCCTTCGTTTCTTGAAGCATCAAATTTTATGAAATAATATTAGTTAATTTATTTTGTCATTCAAAATTTCGCGGGCTGGTCAGTCAAAGCTTCGAGTGATATTGATCAGCAGCGTTAGCGAGACGCTTGTAGGAAGTGCGTTTACAGGAAGAAATTTTACGGAAAAATAAGCAGAAGGTAATGTCATTAAAATTTGCTTGAAAGGTTTCTCTTAATATTGACATGTATTTTTGCAGTGAGCAAATTATATTTCTGACGCAAAGTTTTGTTATTCTCACGTGCACAAAGGCAGTTTTTACTGTTGACGTGTTCCGTGAGGAAAAAAAAGACATTACCCGCGAGCGGGATTTACGAAAAGACGTAAAGAAATTAATTTTATTAAAGGTTTCAATCTGCTTTTTCACAAATGCCCCAAGAGATGCCGCCGATGCCCCTTATTTTGTAATAAATAAACAAAAAAATTTTGATACATTTTGAAAAATTCCGGAACACAATTCAACACAAAAATGGAGGCCATGCAGTGTTTATATCGATAAAATTAATATATGTCAACTGTGCTAGCAGATGTAATTGCAGTAGTAATTGCTCCTTATTCTAAAAGTGTATATTATCAAAGACAGAGATGCCAGATGTGGAAATTTTTACAGAACATGATACTTTGCTGCATAAGTTTACCATAAACAATACAGTGATCAAAATAGCCATGGTAGTCATCCATTGACAATGTCTTTAGGAGAATTTACAACTAGTAATGCATTTCTAAATTGAAATATAAAATAAGCACATTAGACATTACTAAAATAAAGTATTATATTTAAAAATTTTGATAATGTTAAAGTTATTTATTCATACTATATTACACATTATTTTAAGAAAAAATTCACAATTTCAGTTTTAAATCAAGGATACAACTCATGTCCCTTATTTTCCATTCACCATCTATTTAAAGCTTGAAACTGAAGACTGGCGGCCAAGTTAAACTACAACATTTGCCATGAATATTAAACAATTGTTTTTTATAATTTCCACATTGCCATGTATGAATAAACAGTAAAAATTAATGATGGTGTTAATATTAATAAAGTTTTATCTTGTTGTTTATTTTTTTTCTTTATAAACGGTGTGTTCCTAAATTTTGGCCATGTTGACTATGTAAATATTGATGACTGTTCTAATTCCACATAATTTTAGCAAAACAGATTTGCAACAATATCTAAGAAAGACTCTCACTGATTAAAGGCACGTGCCAAAATAGTCTTTTTTTATTTTTCTTTTCTTTTTAAATATATTCTAAACGTAAATCATATTTTTCATATCAATGAAAATTCTGTTTGTAATATTATTTACGTATATTCTTGATTTCTAAAAACATCGTAGACTTCACATCTTATAAGTTCATCACCAAAAACGAGTTATCGCCCTTTGAAGTATGATACGCTTTAAGCACAGAACATGAAAATAATTAATTTTACTGTCAGTTATGCTTTACTGAAATTAATTTTTATGAAAAACATCGTGTAAAAACATATGTAAGGGCATTTCGGTGATTCTGATGGGCATTTCGGTGATTTTAGGGGCATTTCGGTGATTACGGGGCATTTCGGTGATTCGTGTTACCCGTTTCAATCTGCTTTTTCAAACGGAGATATGCATGTAATAACATTTTGATACATGAATAACACAATTCTGAGAGCATTGATAAAATTAATATATGAAAGATTCTGTATACTGTACATGCCAGTAGGCAAAATAGTCATGGTAGTCATCCATTGACAATCCGGAGAGCAACAGTGGCACCCATTGAAAAAAGTTATTTATTGTGCAGAAAAAATTCACTGTTTCTCGATTTATTTTTCCTTAAAATTTTGAGATGGCGGTTTGAAAAACAATTGTTTTTCAAACCGCCATCTAAAAATGTTACTATACCGTGTGTTCCTAAATTATTCTTGTACTGTTTCCACAACAAAACAATTTAACATTCCTTATACAGGAATGTAACTTAATTGCAAATAGCTTTCCTGGGCTTGAATGGAAACCAACGAAAATTTTGCTTATGTACACTGCCATTTTTTAGACAGCAAGATAATTCGGTCCTTCGCGTTTTGTGAAGGTATAAAATATGAGAATATAATTGGTAGGTTCAAAGGAATTGTTTTAAATTACTTTTGTATAGCTGAGGTAAGAATTTGGAGAAATTAATCCAAAAATGAGCGCAACTTTTTGTTCGCAATACATATTTTATTCATTTTTTTTTCAATGGGTGGCACTGCAGCTCTCTTGTCATTAATCCCTATTTTTTTCAGACCAGCGAGCTACAGATCTGCGGCTACCTTCAAAGTTGAAATGAATTTGATTTTTGTTAGATTGATTGATCAACGCCTCTTTCGAGAATTTTCCACTCTAACTTATCATGCTTATAGAGACCTTTATATATATGCCGGCAAAGGGCTTAATTAATTTACCTCTAGAACATTATGCAGTCTGCATTCAATTCAGTATTGAGCAGTGCATGATGAATCTTGATCCTTCCAAGCCTTACATGATACAGTGCCTCATTTTTTTTTTTTAAGAGGTCTCATTCGAAGGACTCGCAACTTTCACTTCAGAATGCCAAGCACTATGTTGTCTTGACGAGAAACTATTTTTGGTCAGTCCCAGCCAGGGTTCAAACCCACGACTTTCCCATCACGGAGCAAACACTCCAGAGCCTAC